TACGGGAACGTTTGTAATATTCAGAAAAATGTGTTGCTCCATATTTAAAGCGCTTCACAGAGACAGATATTTTACAATAGAGAAGGAAGGTGGTTCTGCTGCGTGACAAAATTTTTCACCTTTGCACTGAATTTCCCCCTTTGCCCAATTTCCCAAAAATCGCCCCATAAACAAGAAAGTTATATCTAGTTGTATGAAGTCGCCTTTGTATTTTTACCGTTCCCGATCCACAGGAATTCCTGTAACTTTTATCCCTATTGATGGTTCTTTTGCAAACCATAAAGAAGTCGCAGTCGAAATTTCGAATAAAAGAGGCCGCTGTTAAAAAGAATATTCCTCACATGGATAGACCGTCGGAAAAGGATGTAGCCGTCTCTTACTACAAAAAAGCCACAAAAGTGATCTGACCGTGGGTTAGTTCGAGTCTGGGCCCGACTTTTACCCACAAAATCTCGGTCCGGAACCGGCTTTTACCAAACAAAATCTGGGTCCGGTTTTTACCCACCAAGACCGGGTCCCACACCTTCAACTCAAACAGTGCATTTCAATAACAGTAGTATCTGGACAATATTAACATATGTATTTATAATTTTGCTTGTGATTTTCATAACTTATGCCTACAAAAATGACATTTTGCCAATTAAAGCTTTTAAACCCAAAGAGGAAACCCTCGACATACAGTTAACAAATCCTAGTCCTAATAGGATTTGTATTTAAGGATGGAGGAGCTATGGTAACCCTTCACATGACATCAGCAAATTCCTTCGATGAGCAAAACTTATAATTTATTAAGTGCTTTTACTATGTATTAATTATTCCAACAATTAATGGTACATTTTCGAAATTTTCAATAATAATCGCCACTTTTGCACTATGTTCCAATTGTAACCGCGAAAATCTACAATTACAATTATTTTGTGTAACGACTGAGGCAAAACGTCTCACTTCATTTTGACACGTATATAAATGCAGGTAGGTACACATTGAATCGATCACTTGAAAAACTAACGAGGCGACTGCAAATACAAAGGCTAACGAACACGTATTTGCTCGATCGTACTGCAATAATTAAGTATAATGAAGCAGAAAGTTGTTTCAATAGGTTCAAAGCGTATTCCATTATATTTATTACATTTACATAACGTTTAAAAATTATTATTTATATTCACTCGTACGAAATTTACGAATAATTAAAAATCCGCTTTATTGCCACGTTTTCGTTTAGTCCGTAAATTGATTACGGTTAATTGATGCGTAAAAAAGTACTCGATTGATTGGTTTTGCGCGATATCTCTTCTGTTCAAACGCGGTATTTGTGTATACGAGACCCATTTCGTTTCACGAAGGAAATTGGAGGAGTGTCAAAAAAAAACGGATCGCGAAGAAACGCGCTCGCGGTTAAGTAAAATTTTCAATACCCCAATAAAGCTCCCTAACGGTATCAGTTGGAGGATACGTTACTTTTGAGCAAAAATTGAGAATAATTGAAGGGCGACTCGCTTTAGAAAATTATGATTGATGGGAAACTGAGCGACAACAACGCAAATATCGCCATTTCGAAATTACCTTTATCACAATTAACAAAGCGAAAGCATGATGTACTTTTGGCGTAAAATCTAACATGAATTGCTTTGACGACTGTTTACACTATATGATATTTGTAATTATGAAGCCGTTCTATACCGAAATGCGACTGAGGAGTTGTTTCCATGACTATGGAATATTTCCTTTCTTTAAAATTCAAAATTCGTCTGGAGCGAAGCGCTAGCTTTTTCGGGGTATATACGTACCAGTCATTGCCAAACTTCTGCAAATTACATTAATGAACTACTCGCTCTTTTTTTGGAATTGTGGGACTGAGATTTAATGATTGCATTGAGCATTGAGAGGGCTGTTGAACTGAAAAATGCCAAAATAAAAAATTAAGCTTCAGTCTGATTGGGCTACTAGTTCAAAAGTTATTTCATTTTTTTTCATTTTTCATTTTTATTTATTTTATGCTTTATCACGGATATTACATTTGTCAACTAGTTTCTTAAAATTAAAATATATAACACACTATATCACACATAATATAGACAAACAACACAACTTCAGTTTATGCCACCACCTGCGTGTAAAATATTGGTAAAGCCTTCGGTTAAACATTCGTGCACTGAAAAATATGCCTTATCAAATAGGTATTTCTTAATTATTGTTGTTAATTGTTTTTTGTTATACATTTGAACATTTTCAGGCAGTAAATTAAATATTTTTTGAGATAGGTAGTCATGGTTATTTTGAGTTTTTGATAATCTACAGTAATCCACTCTAATGTTGTTCTTATTTCTAGTATTGTAACTATGCAGTTCAGATTGAATTTTGTATTTGGCATAGTTCGTTTTAGCAAATAAAATACATTCCAACACGTACATGGATGGCAGCGTTAATATTTTAAGGGAACGGAATGATTTCCTGCATTCGTCTCTATAGGGTACGGAGTCAATTATCCTTACAGCTCGTCTCTGAAGTGCAAAAACATCTGTTGCTGCAGCACAGTTGCCCCAAATTAGTATACCGTACTGTATTACTGAGTGTACTAGAGCATAATAGGCCGCTACTAAGGTTTATTTTGATAAACTGTTACTAAGACGTCGTAGTACGTAAATATTGCTGCTTATTTTTTTACAAATATACCTTGCGTGCATTGAAAAGTTTAAAGTTCCGTCCACATACACCCCTAGAAATTTTACCGACTGGGGATTTTCAAAAGAATGTGTTTTTAACGTTTGGAGCAGTTTTTCAGTTTTATTTGTGTTTAATATTAATTCGTTGGTTGTGCACCATTCAGAAGCAATCGAAATTAATTTGTCTTTTAAAACTAAAGTTTCTTCTAAAGTGCCGCGCTGTACAGTTAAAGTGGAGTCATCTGCATACAGAATGCAATCAGCGTGCGGTTGCATGTACTGCACAAAATCGTTAAAATATATTAAAAATAATAAGGGACCTAAAATTGATCCCTGTGGTACCCCTCTCTTAATAGGTAATTTGTCAGACACCACTCCATCGTACACCACATGCTGAAATCTGCCAGACAAATACGAATGAATTAACTTTAGGCTATTCGTGTCAAACTTGTACATAATTTCTAATTTACTTAGCAATATTTTATGAGAGACGCTATCGAAGGCTTTCGATAGGTCTAAAAACAGTGCTAGAGAATATTGACCATGTTCGAAGCAGGTTAGAGTACTATTTACAAATTTAGAGAGTGCACTAATCGTGTTTCTTTGACTCCTGAATCCATACTGATTCTGATGTAAGAGATTATTTGATTCAAAATAATCGGCAATTTGATTGTAGATTATTTTTTCGTATATTTTTGAGAACGTAGGGAGTATTGATATTGGTCGATAATTCTTTATATCTTTTGAATCTCCCGATTTAAACAATGGAATGACCTGTGCTACTTTCAGCTCATCAGGAAAATATCCGGAGAGTAGTGTAAGATTGACCAATTTCGTTAAGGGCAGAACTAGTTGATCAATACTATACTTGATAATACAGGATGAGATTCCATAAATATCTTTAGTGTAACTTTTGATCTAGTAGCCCAATCTTCAAACTGTTTGAAATTATGGGCTCTCGATTGATCTCGATCTCAGACAATTTTTTTTTTCCGACCTCAAAAAAAGGCAGTACTTTTAAGTTATTCAAATATTTGAGAACAATTTGGAAATGTTTAGGGAAAGTTTCCATTGTCACAAAATCAAATATAAAAATCCGATACATCTGAATACCGAACTCGATAGTCTACTTAACTTAAAAACAATAGGGACCTTTCTTATATCCTTAAAACCATGTGTACCAATTTTCAAAGCGATCGCACATTTACTTCCTTGCTAGATGATTAATGGGGAGGGACAAAAGTGGCCATAATAATGTATCATTCTATTTAGACATATTTTTTTAAATAATAACTTCAGTAAAAAATAAAAACCATTTTGCAAAATTTTGGGTTTTTTTTTCGGACAATCTCCGAAAGTAGTTGGAATTTTTTCAGTTTCAGCAAATAATTTTCTCATTTGTGGCACTTGTTTATTTTCTGACATTCTTTTGTTTTTTTATTATAGCAGCCTACTCCGATGTATAAACACGTAATTAATGAGTAGGTACTTTTGTGAAAAATATTGAATAACAAAAACTGCGGGGTTTAAGCACAGGGCACCCCTTATAAGATGAAGAGAACATAAAAGACAATCGAATAGCGAAATAAAATAGTAGTATTTCCATTTGAAAAAGAATAGTTATAGCACTTTGAACAAATGGCATTGAAAGTGGCAGTAAAAATATGTTCTATTTAAAAAGATCAGTTATTTATTGACATCGTAAAAATGGGACACCCTGTATATTCATAAATAATTTCTGTAGATCCGCAATCACCAATATTTTTTACCCTGTATATAGCCAAATACTATAATATTGAATCAAAAATTTTTTGTGGCTCTTTAAATTTTGCAAATTGTAATTTTTGGCTCTTCCGTTTCAATAGGTTGCCGACCCCTGGTATAGACCATCTTTGCGCCCTTTGAGAATACCCTCCTTCTCTTCTCCACTCCTTTCCGCAGACTTCTGTATTGAAAGTTTGACTTTACCAGTAGATGTGTCTCGTCGAGACGTTCCACTTGCCCACTTGATAAAGGGTTGAGGAAATGGGCTGTGGTTGGTAGAAATTCATTCCCTTAATTGAGACCTTTCATTAAAGTACCATGACGGATAAAACCAGTCCCGTCAGAAAAATGGACGGTAGACGATAGAGAACAGTGCATTTTCTCGAGGCCATTTATTGGAATAGCATGACAGGTAGAATGTGTCCCCCCCCCCCCTTCAATTTTCAAAAGTTTTACTTGGCATCTGAGATCAAGTAATTGTCGCATGCCCATTAGAAAATAATTCATGGAAGGGGGGGGGGGGGCTCTTAAGACAACTAAATTTAATTGCAAAAAATTCTAGGACTCTATAAGGATCCGCCTAAAAGTAGTTCAAAACCGCACAAGTGGGCCCTGACAGACAGACAGACGGCCCAATGAAACGCAAGCAATAAGCACATTTTTTTAATTCGTAAAAAATGCGCTAATTATTTTATTTCCCCACAATACGTACAGGGTGTTTCGGAAAATTCATACTGCGTTTATTTCCTTTAGAGACTCAAAGTTGACAAGAATCCTACGAGACAGTCTGGGAGGAAAGGCGAAGACAATATTCATCGCGACGATTTCCTTTTCGGTGTCGAGCTTAGACGAATCGCTGAACACCCTCGACTACGTCTCTAAAGCTCGAACGATCACAAACAAACCGATCATTAATCGTCGAACATCCCAAAAGTCGCTAATGAACGAATACGCGGACGAAATCTCTTCGCTTCGAAGAGACCTAGACGCCGCGCAGGGACGCGGCGGCGTCGTGATCAACCCCGAGAATTACGATCAGCTGGTGGCGACGCGCCAGGCGACCGACGAGCAGTTATCGCAGGCGGTCGCGTCGATTAACGCGTTCGGCGAGAAACTGAGGCTGCTGGAGGAGGAGAAGGAGAACTTTCGGGTCGAGCAGGACGCGTTGATCAAATCGTACGGTGCGACGCAGAGCGAGCTTGCCAAGATGAAGGTGGAGTACGCGCGGATCGCGTCCGAGAAACAGGAAAACGAGTACCTCGCATCGTCCTATGAGAGGTCTGCGGAAAATCTGTACAAAAGTGCGAAAAGCCTACACGAGAGGGTCAAATCGGGTTCGCTCAATGAGTCGACGTTGCGCGAGAAGATCGAGTATCTCTACAAGGTCACCAACGACAATAACAACACCAGGAAAATGGTAAGCGTCAAAGTTCGGGCGATGTGCCAGGACATAGTGAGGGAGTACGGTGAATACGCTAAGGGTTCAATGTCTTTCAATGAGAAGTTGGCAAATGTCACCAGGAGTTATCATAACCAGCAATCGGAGCTTGTCAACGACCTTCTGCGCCAAATTCTAACCGTCCAGGACAACGTGCAGAACGCAGACAACGTACCATACCAGCAGGCGGGTGCGTCCTTGAAAAATTGCCAGCAGGCGCAAGGCCGCCGACTGACCGATCTCAAGCGCAAACTCGACGACTGGCAAATCTCCAACCTTTCCAACTTTAAGACGATCATGGAGAACACACTGAGACCTCACCTGGAAAACAAAGTTGCCAACGTTGAGAGCTTGGGCTTGCGCGTTTCGAAAGCCTTCTCCCAATTACCCTTCGACTCGACCTCCGCTGACATCAAAATCCTTTGCGCCGAAATTTTCGAGAACATCGACCAATTGGGCGGGAGCCTCTCGAGACAAAGAGAGGCCGGTGAGAAGAAGTTAGCTTCGCTCGCGAAAATTCGCGATGAAATGTTCGCGGCGGTAAACGCGAAGTTTGACGCTCTCAAAGGGGAGCTCCGCAAAGAGTCCGACGGCGATTTACGCGCCTTACAACTGATCGAAAACCTTCGAAAAACAGTTGATGGGAAACTACCAAACGTCGTCGCCGAGTTTGAGAAAGGATGCGACCGCGTTTTGGACACCACGTCGAACGAGGTGACCGAGTTTATCGATAAGACCACGCACGATTCAAGCCAGGTACTCGACTCCTACAAATCGTCTACGGACGCACTGTGGGGGTCCGAGAAAGAGAAATTGTCACAAATTGCCGACGAGGCTACGGATCAGGATTTTGTTGCTGCAACCGTTTCGGATTTGCACAAAGTTCGAAATTCGCTAAGCGTAAGCAAGTGTCCCTTTTGTCTTAGGATAACGCCTTAATTTACAGGAGAATGTCGCAACTCTCGCCAAAGAGACAACCGAATTTTGCCCCGGGAACTCAGAACGGGAGAACAGGGAGGTATGTACGCTCATCGACGACAATTATCAGGGATCATTAGCTTTGCTCAATCGACTTACGAGCGAAGCGAACGAGATCAAGATCTTAGTATCGGACACTTCGAAGTATGCGGTCGAGTTGCAACCAAGCGGGCACACTCCCCTGCGTAACCAATCGGAGCTCTCCTACCAGTTGAAGGAGTTAACTCCGAAGGAAATGGTGTTGCGCCGATTTCATCAATTGAAACAGGTACAAATCCGTCGAGCGGTTTCAGGTCAGGTTCAAATTTTGTTTTAGGAAAATGGAGACGCATCCAATCAGCAGCCAAAAAAATTATTTCACGAGTAAAGGGTAGGGAATTGTTGTTGGTTAGTTTAAGTGTAAATATTCAACTTATTTGTGATATTAAAACGATTTTCGATTCTGCATTTAATTTATTTTTAATGTCTACGCATTGGCACTAAAATTAAATTAAATTTAAAAATTTCAATGCCTTCACAATGCACAAATATGCTTTTCGATTGATATTTGAGGAGTGTCAATTATAGGAACTAAAAGTGTCGGAGGTGTAACCATTATAACAGATGTCACTTTAAACAAAAATGTTACGTCATCCTGTTTGTATAGTTCAATGACAAAGTAGTAGTTCCAACGTCTCACGATTAGTTGCATTGCATCAAAGTCTACGTTGTACAAAATAACTATTCTCATTTGGAGGATTTTTTTGGAAATTCAAGTCCTTTTGCACTCCCAAGTTTTTTCTGCTATTTGGCATTCTAACAGAAATTATGGCTAGCAAGTACATTAAACAAGAATCACTGGAGGATGAAGATTCAACATTTAGTGATGATGAGGTGTACATGACTTTTAACAACCAGGAGGAAATGATGCACTTCATACTGCCGAAAGAGGAGCTTGAAATCGATGACGGAACTGAACAACAAGTGCCAATAATGAGCGAGATTGAAGGGTTTTCGTGTGCACACTGTGAGTACATCACAACGAAGGAACACGACTTAATGTTTCATCTAAACGTACATCACCGCTCGGATTTTGTTTTTCAATGTGGACAGTGTGATTATAAAACAAAGCGGAAGCACACTTTAACTGTACACGTGAACTCTAGGCATCGTTCGAATGAATTTAAATGTGAAGATTGTAATTATAAGGCACGGTCAAAACTGTCTCTAATCAAGCACGTGATTGGCCATCGTACCCCAACAGAATACAATTGTGCATACTGTGACTACTGCACAAAATCAAAACGGTGTTTAAAGCAACATTTAAGTGCCCGCCACGATTCCGGTCGATTAAACTGTTCACTCTGCAATTACACAACAAAGTGGAAGACCTCATTAACTTATCACATTAAAAGTCGCCACGGTTCCAAGAAATTCAAATGTTCCCAATGCGACTATACAACGAATTGGAGACCGTGTTTAATGATACACGTAAACGGTCGTCACGGTGTCGAAGAATTGAAATGTGCAAAGTGCGATTACACGACAACCTGGAGGCATTCCTTAAAATACCACATCAAAAGCCAACACGGATCCGCCAAGTTTAAATGTCCGCATTGCGATTACAGCACAAAGTGGAAACCGTGTTTGGCTATACACGTGAGCGGCCGCCACGGGCTTAACAAATTTAAATGTGCACATTGTGATCATGAAACAAAGTGGAAGCAGAGCCTTACTGTGCATGTTAATTCCAAACATGCAGACGTCTTTCGGGAATGACTCAAATTGTGATTTAATTTACTTGAACAGAGACATAATTTTGTTTATAAATATATTTATACTACCGCTTTGAAAGTTTAATGGTATTTTGGCTTGGGGCTGTTTATCTCGCACTGATACAGTGCACGGAAAGCATTCTAATAGTTTCATACAGTATTCAATTCAAAAGTAATCAGAATCTTGCACTTTCAGGGTAGTTTAGAACTTTCTATACAACTTACAAAAGGCTCTTTTCTCTGAAAAGAATCAATGCTTTGAAAAGTCCGCAGAAGGTTCTGAAAGCCTTCCATTTTTCGGAACAATCGAAAGCTCTCCAAAGCCTTCTAGGTTCTTTCACTTATAATAGATTTGTCTCGGTCCTAGAAACCCAAGAAAAGACCCTTAAAAATGAAGTCTATGGAAAGTGTTTTAAACACCTTCCAGATTCTTAAGTGTTTATTTCCAAATGCCTTTTCCAGAAAGGTTCAGATCTTTTTCAAGGTTTTCTAGGCCCTGTTCCTTTTGTACTCTTTCCGTCCCGGTTCTGGGAAGCTTGCAGTGCCTTTGGTAGTACTGATCTCCCTGAGCTTTTCCTTGCCATTACCAGAAAAACATGAAAAGTGTCAGGTATACAATAAGGACCATTACTTGTCTGCCATCGTGGACCTAAAGCATGATGGGGAAATTAACGATACTTAATACTCATTTTTGTTAAATTAATTTAAAGCATTTGAGCTTTGGAGCAATAGAACATACAAGGAAATCATCATTTTATTCTTAAACTTAAAAAAATACAATGTACATATTTACATTCTATAACTTGAAGTTTACACGGCATGTTTCTTTGAGATAGGCACAGACCATTCAACAGTAAAAAATTCTCGACCTCACGTCATAACTAAAGTTCCAAATGGCAACTCTGCATGTGCAGAGACAACCTCTTATTAAATTTGGTTGAATAATCGCAATGAATGCACTTAAAGCCATCCGAATTATAGCAGATTTTCATGCGATCAACCAAGTAGGGCTGGAACCGACAAACATGCAGAGCTAGGGACTGTTTCGATTTCGAAACAAAATCACACTGTTCACATTTGGCGACAATATTTGGCACAAATTTATTTTTCCATCGGTTTGACCTATCGAAATCCGTAGCCGGGGTAGCATTTAGGAGAAGATCGACGTAATGGCGCCAAAATATGGTTTTTGCGAGACTATCTTCTACTTTCTCTGATCGATGATTATGTATATCAAAAGAACTTTCAGTTTTTTTCTTTGAAATTGGAGTGGTTTCTGGTTTCACTGGACCTTGATCCACTTGGCCCTTGTGATGTAAAAGCAAAAACGTTGAGCCATGACGACCACTAACGTGTGCAGTGAGATTATACTTCCATTTGGTCGCATAAGTACAACAATTACATTTAAACACCGGTAAAGAACGCATCCACTTTCTTACGTACTCGCAATGTGGATATTTAAATGTCGTTGCACGATGACGGCCACTCATATGGGCAGTTAAATTGTTCTTCCACTTAGTTATGTAATCACAATAAGAACAGTTAAATTCAGCTACTGTCGAACGTACTGGTATATAATATACAGAATATTGCTTTCGTTGGGAGTTGCAAATCTTGTTCTCAAATGGTGTTCGTACTATTTCTAAAAATGAGTAACACAGTCATCTCTTTAACTGGATACGTACGTCTACAAATTTGGAAAAGTACCTCATAAATGAGATGCAATCTCCAATTGAGACTGCATTACCTTGACTATCCTTTCTGCTAACTCCCTCCTGTTTGATACTTTCTCGATTAACATTGTGATTGATCAAAAGCTCCTGTTCACTAATAAATAAACTGAGTTCGGTTTCATACTCCAAATCAATTGGGTCTTCTGCTTCCTCTTCTTCGTCATCTACCGTTTCTGGACTGGACATGCTCGAACTAAAACAGAATTAAAAATAGGTGTTTTTCTTATATTCTTCCGCAAAGAATGATATACCATAACCAACAAAACAGGATAACTCCCGCGAATAGGTTAGGATACGTTAGAACTATTGCAGAAACATTGGAGCTACTCTGGAAAGAACATTTGAAGTAGGTACTAATAAAAACCAAAAATTTAACAGTAGAAATAGAAAAATAATGATCAACTTTTTTATTTTTAATTATTAAAAAGCAATTTTTATGCACAAAGAAAGTCCATCCTGTAAAATGTACTCTTGTTTTTCTTACGGTTTCTACTAAAAATCGATTTTTCACAAACATACAGAAAATAATTAAAAGTCCGAATACGTCCGTACCCTTCAAAAATCAAATTTACCTTATATTTATTAATTACTGATTCTTCTTCTACTTCTTTTGCCTCGGAATATCTGGGAAATGTATAGAAATATAAGATTAGAAAATATTCTGGGACAATGTCAGAAAATTTGTACGAATAAATGAAAATTTTGAGAAAATTAGGAGGTTTATAGCAAATTTTATAAAGAAGTAGGTAGCGGAAAATCTGAGGAAAAAGGTTCTAGAGAAATAACGATGGCAAATGAAACAACATTTTTTAGAAGACCACACACTTCGTATAAAAACCTTCAGGAAAAGAAAGAAAACAACGAAATGGAGATACTCTGGATCTGAGAAGCATAAATTTGGGAATTTTAACCAATTGCAATTGAGGTAAAATAGGTGGGGAATGACTATGCGAAAATAAAACTAAATTAAAGGAATTCTATGAATATATGTAAAATTAGTTGATAAAAACAAGAAATCTTACGAAACAGAAAATTAGTAGAGAATACATAGATATTTTTGAGAGTATAAAAATTCTTTTTTAGCTTCACGAACGTACTACGCAAACTTACTATACTTAATTAATATTTCTTCGACTGTGAACAAAATGAGGGTGAACGAGTTACGAGGTGTTATCTCATTCGCCCATAAAATGTGCAGGGGGTATGCTTTGCATCTTTATTTCACAGAGAAGGTACAAGAAAGGATACAAGAAAATCAAAAAATGGTTGAAGAAATTAAGTAAAGAGAAATCTTTGAACATAAAGGAATTTTTAATGATGTATTTATAATTTTCAGGTAATGCAAGAACCTTTTGGAAAATTAGGGAAAAAGTTTGCGTCAACGCCGGAGCATAGGCAACTCAACCTACACATCAACCGAGCTTTACATACAAGAGACACTTCCAACTGTTATGATGGAATTTTATTAAGAAAATCGGATTTGAATCCTTCGTGAAAGAAATAAATTTAATTTTCTTAATTTAAATGTTAATCGCATTAATTGTACGAAAATTCTCTATTTAAATGATTGGAAAGTGAAAATTGTTGGCCGAGAATGACCGAAGCGGCCTTCGTGCATTTTGTTTTGTACTCGTTCGGTATCTTGTTTGCGTCTTTATTTGTCGTGTAGTCATCTTTTTCTGTGCGTGAAAATGGCAGACATCTCTAAAGAGGATCTCCGTAAGGAAATTACCGGTAAGCTTAAAATTATTGCTAATTTGGGCACGTAGCGAGTTGAAATATACAAAACAAAGTTTGTAATTTTTTTCTGAACAATTTTTCTTAATGTCATTTTACGGGTTCACAGTGAAAATCGGGCATTTTACTCTTGTCGAATTTGTGTTTGTGCTATACACAAACAATGGCTGTATGACGCCAGTGTAGCAGCCATCAATTTACATTGGCACTTATTTTGAAATATCTCTGCATTTACGCCGTTATATTCAAAATACCGTTAAGAAAAACTGTTCAGAAAAATTTGAGCGATTTATGTAGGTGTTTTTCTCCCTCGATTTATGGGCGGTTAAATAATTTTTTTATCAAATTTGACTGTTGACGTTAACGTACTTGACTTGTAATAGACTCGCCAAGTTCGTATCCGACATTAATTTTGGGTCAATATTTAATTGTTCACACAAATATTGCCGTTAAATTAGGGCAAGGGCCCAGAAATAATTATTTATTTTTCTTCATTTGGCGCTTAAACAAGTTGTTTGCCGCCTTTGAATTGTAAGGTGGCGCATACGGCGGTCGGCATTATAACTAAAATAACGAAAAATTACAGCAATCTTGAAAGACGCCGATCTCGCAACGACGTCTGCGAAAAAGGTCCGCCAGCAGCTCGAGAAAAAGCTCGACGCGAACTTGCTATCCCGCAAAAAAGAGATTGACACTCTAGTTATGGAGTACGTAAATTCTAAAGACACCGGTGCTAAAAAGAAGGCGAAAAAATCAGAGTCCGACGAGGAGGAGGAAGAGAACGAGGACGACGAAGAGGAGGAGGGCGATGAGGACGAGGAGGGCTCCGAGGACGAAAAGAAGGACGGTAAACGGGCCGGCGGCAAAAAAGCGGCGCCCGCCAAGCGCTCCAAGAAGGCCTCCGATTCTGAGGCGAGCGAGCCGTCCGACGAAGGCGAATCCGAGGAGGAGTACTCGCCGAAAAAATCCAAGCCTCCGAAAACTCGCAAGCTTCCCCCGAAGAAGAAGAAGGGATCCGAGTCGGACTCCGACGAAGACTGGGCTAAAACCAAAAAGGGCGCCAAGAAAGGCGGCGTAAGTTTTATCAATTTCACTCGTTTCGATTTCTACTGTAATGTTACAGGGTGCTGGCGGAGGCGGCGGCGCCAAACGTGCCGGAAGCGGTTATACTAAAAGCATGACGTTATCGCCAGAATTGGCGGCGTTAGTCGGACAGAGCTCGATGGCGCGTCACGAGGTTGTCAAAAAGATTTGGGAGATTATCAAAGAGCGCGATCTGTACGATCCGAAAAATAAACAGTTCGCTATTTGCGACGATGCACTGTTTAAGGTGATCGGTACTAAACGTTTTCGTACTTTCGGTATGATGAAGTATTTGAAAAGTCATTTCATAAGTTAAATTATTACAAATAATTACTAATTGATTGTAGTTATTGCAATACTTTTAGGTTTTATATCTTAAGTAAGTCCTTGACAAATTAAATTAGTTTTCGTATAATCACACTTTCTCAATCTTTCCGTTCGCGATTGTAATAGTCCCATTTCTTCTGTAATTTTCTACAGGAAAAGTCTGTACTACTTTTGAGTTTGTTTAGTTTTTGTGTTAAAACGTAGGCGAAATATAAATTCCACTTTGATGTAGATCTACTGAATGTATTTTTGTGCACTACCATTTTTTATGTAATGTGCATTATGTCTGTATCAAACAAGTTTAAAATTATAACAAATAAACCTTTCTTTGTTTTGTTTAATTTTATTCCTGGTGATAATTAGGTTGTACTGTTGTTCTCCAAACTGCACACTTTTTAAAGCCAGTATTGCCCTGGGGTATCTACCCCTAGTATGAAGCGAAATACCAAAGATGGAAGCGATTTGCATGATCAGGCAATACGCCTAGTGTTCCTATTAAAATTAATAGAGGGTGCTCAAGACATCTTTGGTACAAAAGACTGTCGAGTAAAGATCAATTCGAGAACACTGGCTGTAGGTAGTAAAGGAGTGCCCGCAGGGTATATTTTCTGGCACATTTCGGAACCTCGAAAGTGCCCCCGTGAACCATTGGACTAGCACTAAAGCACCTATATACACTTTTCAGAAGTAGGCGAACCCAGAAAACTGGAATTGGTCTAAAAAAGTCTGGGCAAGGGCCTAAGAAATAGTTCTCTTTAAAAAAAAACAAGTTGTAAATCAGCATATGCATTATTAAAGCGCATTTTTGGTAATGCAGGTCAGTATTTTATTAGCGAAGTTTAAAATTATCGATCTCACGAGTAATTTTGGCTGCGTTAAATAATTAATTTTATTTAATTTCAATTGACGGTGCGTCTTCATTTTGTAAAACAAATCACAAAGTAAATAATAAGCTTTTATACTGGTAGCGCTATCTAACGGTAAAAATATAGCACCTCCGAAACCCATATCGAAATTATTTTCTTCAATTATCGATCTCACAAGTAATCTAACTCAAAATAGACTAGTGCCTGCACATCTACACTATAGCAGAAAGCTTTTAGTGAAAATTTGAATTCTCTAGGTATTGTAGTTGTGGAGATCTCACGCGGACAGCCGGCCTGCCAGCCATAACGAATATAATAGCGTATTTTTTTCAAAAATGCGCTAAAAAGGCGGCAGAGAGCTGGTTGTTTTTTGAAGTGCAGAGGTATTTCAGGAAAGCTTTCGAATGTCCTGAACCAACACGTTTACAAGAGCCCGCAAAAGACTTTAGAGAAGGACCGAATTCCGCCTCGAAGTGCTTTCCAACGTTTTATAAGAACATTCCTCAATCTTTCCGATAGAGGTGTCTATGTTCTTTCCATAGCTATCCAAAACTTTCCCTTTTCCAAGGCTGTGTGACACCGGCACCATCCAAAAAACGTCTACTTCTAAAAGGAACTAGCAACCTCTATAAAGGAACCAGATAAGGTTTAGGGGTATGACTTTTGCAGGGCATTTTTGAGTCTTTCCTTCTTGACGAACAGTCATTTGTAATACTCTGGAAACAGTTTTGACGACTTTCCAGTGATCCATCTAGGTTTTAGAGCATATTTATAGATCATCAAGACAGGCTCTGGCTCTCTTTTTTTTAAAAGTAATGCAAGACAAATTATGATTCAGAAAAGAATATTCTCGGGAAAACACTTTTTCTTATTAACTTTGGTGCGTAGAATCCAAAACAATTCGTACTTTTTCGATCCGACTTCTCAATCAAAAGTTATTAACTAGAAACCAATTTCGAAAGAAAATTCAAAGGGCTGTAACTTTTGAACTAGTAGCCCAATCTTGGAACTGTTTGAAATTATGGATTCTACAGGCCACATTCTATAAGAAAATGTTTTTTCTCGGTCGATCTGAGACAATTTTTTTTTCGGGCCAAAAAAAAGGCAGGGTTTAACCTTCCTTTTTTATCAAAAGTGGACTGCACCAAAATTTCTCGAGAAAACACTTTTTCTTAGTAATTTTGGTGCGTAGAATTCAAAACGATTCGTACTTTTTCGATTAGACTTCTCAAAAAAAAGTTATAGACTAGAACCAATTTCCTGAGTTTTTTTGTAAATTATTAAATATTCAAAGCAAAAGCATGGTCCTGACATCTATCATTATTAAAGAAGACTAACATGTTATCGATAAATGCAGGATACTTTATTATTACCATTATTTTAATTACACCTATTTCTGGAAGATGTCGCTACACAATTTTTAAATATAATTCATGAAACCAACGTTAGATGTCAGAGCGTTTTTTTTACTTACAGTAACCTTAGATACATTAACAAATAACAATTAACCTCAAAGTCAAATGTACAAATAAAAGTTTGTTTATTTTTTAATCAAAAAATGAACATTATTATCGCTCCTTTCGTTCTTACAGGGTTAAATTAGGGAACTACTGGGAGTGGCAGGAAAGCGGCAGACTATTGAGGAAAATGAAACTGATCGCTCTCGGTCATCGGATCGGAAGATATGTGGTTCTCGATGGATGAGAAACGTTAGCATTGAATTCAGACAACACAAATTGTAATCCAAATAGGCGGACACGGTGGAGAAACCGTTCAAACATCTCAACGTTAAAATCGAAGCGTTCACATGTTTGCAGCAGCTGCAGATGGTGCGAAGCTATTTTAAAAAAAAATTAGCTTCGAGGAATCATTCCATAGAACTACAGATACAAAAACGGTAGTGGAACGTGACAAAAGTGTTACGTAGTTTGCAAGCACGAAAAATGGATTGTTATTTTTGCGAACTTCGAGTAAAAATTGTAAATCGTACCAGTGTCGAATGTTCTATCGACTTTAAACGAAATCCCGTGCAAGAAATTACCGACAACAGTAGAAAATTAGTTTTCCGAACATTGAGTATGATGTGTTGCGTACAAACCAGGCTATATATTTATCAAGTTTTTTCTGTCATATCCGACCGTTGGCTCAGTTAGTCCATTTTGGCCTACAAGAATACAAAACGACCAGAGCCTGAAGACCTACATCATTGAATGATTTTAGTTTATAGTTGATGATCTTAAATACCGTCCCGTCATCTGGCGTAATTAACGCAGAGTCGGATATTACCAATAAATGTGGAGCACCTCTATATTACCATTAAATTAGTTGTTTAAGCATAAGGACAGATGTCACCAGTGACATGAAACAGATTTCCTTTAACACACGAGCTGCGAGTTCATTAAACTAACGTTAGATGTCAAAAAGTTACGTTTTCAAATGTAAATCCTTTATGCAAAAAGGGACTCGTTTTGATCACTATTTTCTAGCATTTCGGCAGAGGGTAGCAATAGCACTTATCTCATTACGGTGTCCTTCATGTACTTAATTGGGGAAAATCAAGCAAAGCCCGAAATTTCAATATGGGTACTCGATATTTGTGTAGCCTGATTTGTAGGCAACACATCATGCTCAATGAATAGAAAACGAACATGTGCTTTTGCAATTCGTAACTTCTTATGCATGGGAGTTTATTTAAAGTACTTGGAAGAACAATTTCAATACAAGTACATTAAAGTCAACCATTTTACAACAACTTTCACACAAAGATCGCACAAACAACACATTTTTTGGGTGCTTGCAAACTAAGTAACACTCGCTCCGTTTCGTTGCCAATTTCACTACCGTTTTTATAACTTTAGTTCTGTCGAATGAACTCAAGGCTCAATTAATTGTTTAACGAATAACTTCGCCCCATCGGCAGCTGCTACAATCATGTATAATCGTTTCGACTTTAACGGTGAGAAGTTTGAATTGTGTTTGAATGGGTTTTCTGCGAGTTCTCCAACGTGTCCTCCTGTTTTGGTTACAAAGCCTTTCCCTTTTCAATTTGTGTTGTCCGAATTCAATGCTAACTTTTCTCACCCATCGAGAACTACATGTCTTCGATTGCACGACCCAGAGCGAACAGTATCATATTCCGCAAAGGTTGAATCTGACGCTTTCCTGTCACTCCCAGTAGCCACTAGCCAGTTCCCTAATTTAATAATAAATAAAGTCACTCTAGATTAAATACAATAAGTACTAGTGCGCCATCTCCATGGCAATCGATTCACTTTCTATCAGTTATAGTTTTAGAAGTCTAGTTGAGATGTCGCCACGTACGCAACTTCTTTTAAAATTTCATTTGAATTTATGCGATTAATAGCAACGTCGCACTTATTATTCCTTAAATGGCAGTACAAAATGTACGTTGTCTTGCAAGATCTGTAGAGCAATTGGAGTTTAATGATCCGGTTTTTGAATAGATAGATTAAATACAATAACGACTAGTGCGCCATCTCCATAGCAATCGATACACTTTCTATCAATTATAGTTTTAGAAGTCTAGTTGAGATGTCGCCACGTACGCACCTTCTTTTCAAATTTTATTTGAATTTATGCGATTAATAGCAACGTTGCACTTATTATTCCTTAAATGCAGTGCCGTTTTTAAGTTTTTCGGGGCCCTGGGCCATTCCTTCGTCGAGGCCCTCTTTACCCTCAATAAAAACGGCAGATTGGGGAGATTCAAGCAAATCCCTAATTTGAATATGGGCACTCGATATTTGTGTAGCCTGGTTTGTAGGCAACACATCATGCTTAATGAACAGAAAAATATATTTTTGCAATTCGTAACTTCTTATGCATAGGAGTTTATTAAAAAGCCCTTGAAAGAACAATTTCAATAACAGGTACATTAAACTGAACCGTTTTACAACAACTTTCACACGAGGATCGCACAAACAACACATTTTTTCGTGATTGCAAACTGCGTAACACTTTTGCCTTATTTCGCTGCCAATTTCACTACCGTTTCTATAACCGTAGTTCTATCAAATAAACTCTAGGCTCAATTCTTTAAAGAATAGCTTTGCACCATCGCCAGCTGCTGCAATCATGTAATCGTTCCGATTTTAACCTTGAGAAGTTTGAATTGCATTAGAATGGGTTTTCGGCGAGTTCTCCACGGTGTCCTCCTGTTTTGGTTACAAAGCATTTCCCTTTTCAATTTGTGTTGTCCGAATTCAATGCTAACGTTTCTCATCCATCAAGAACTACATGTCTTCGATTGCACGACCCAGAGCGAACAGTATCATATTCCGCAAAGGTTGAGTCTGCCGCTTTCCTGTCACTCCCAGTAGCCAGTTCCCTAATTGAAACCTGTAAGCGAGAAAGGAATGATAACAAAGTTTAATTTTTTTCTATAAAATAAACAAACATTCATTATGCATTTGAGGTTAAAACTTCATATATCTATGGTTTTTAAATACAGCGCTCTGACATCTAACGTTAGCTTCATAAAGTACATTATAAAATTAGTGTGGCGACATCTTTGAAGTGTAAGTTCCAACTAAAATAATGGTGGTAATAAAGTGTCCTGCATTTGGCGATAAAATGTTAGTCCCCAATAATAAAGACAGATGTCAGCACAATTATTCCGCTTTCTCAATAAAGTCACTGTATTCTGCTTTAATTCCAAAAACTCAGGCAAGTCTATAAACATTTTGGGATTTGTGCCTTTCGCTGTCAAAGGAGTAAACCACGAAACTCGAAAATTAAACATTTCGCTCCTGTATTATAGCCTATTCCTTTGTGTCATAGCGTTTTTGGAATGCCAAAAGACAGGGCGGGTAAACGGACGGCCGTCCGTATACCTCTTTGGTATACCTACACCTAGATTTTTGACGGTTTTAATAAAGTATCTGTTCGCAACACACGAGTTAAATCGCCATAATGGGCTACTAGTTCAAAAGTTACAGCCCTTTGAATTTTCTTTCGAAATTGGTTTCTAGTCCGTAACTTTTGATTGAGAAGAGAATTATATTCTACTGATACAAGATTTCGGACCTAACCTAACTACCACGCTAACCTAACCTCACTAATATTTTACCCTAACCTTCAATCTCCTCGCACATTATATTCTCCTGATACAAGATTTCGGACCTAAGCTAACTATCACGCTAACCTAACCTCACTAATATTGTATTCTAACCTACAATCTCCTCGCACATTATATTCTCCTGATACAAGATTTCGGACCTAACCTAACTACCACGCTAACCTAACCTCACTAATATTGTATTCTAACCTTCAATCTCCTCGCACATTATATTCTCCTGATACAAGATTTCGGACCTAACCTAACTACCACGCTAAACTAACCTCACTAATATGTTATTCTAACCTTCAATCTCCTCGCACATTATATTCTCCTGATACAAGATTTCGGACCTAACCTAACTCCCACGCTAACCTAACCTCACTAATATTGTATTCTAACCTTCAATCTCCTCGCACATTATATTCTCCTGATACAAGATTTCGGACCTAACCTAACTACCACGCTAACCTAACCTCACTAATATTGTATTCTAACCTTCAATCTCCTCGCACATTATATTCTCCTGATACAAGATTTCGGACCTAACCTAACTACCACGCTAACCTAACCTCACTAATATGTTATTCTAACCTTCAATCTCCTCGCACATTATATTCTCCTGATACAAGATTTCTGATCTAACCTAACTACCACGCTAACCTAACCTACCTAATATTTTATTCTAACCTTCAATCTCCTCGCACATTATATTCTCCTGATACAAGATTTCTGATCTAACCTAACTACCACACTAACCTAACCTCACTAACATTTTTTCCTAACCTTCAATCTCCTCGCACATTATATTCTCCTGATACAAGATTTCTGATCTAACCTAACTACCACGCTAACCTAACCTCACTAACATTTTTTCCTAACCTTCAATCTCCTCGCACATTATATTCTCCTGATACAAGATTTCTGATCTAACCTAACTACCACGCTAACCTAACATCACTAATATTTTATTCTAACCTTCAATCTCCTCGCACATTATATTCTCCTGATACAAGATTTCTGATCTAACCTAACTACTACGCTAACCTAACCTCACTAACATTTTTTCCTAACCTTCAATCTCCTCGCACATTATATTCTCCTGATACAAGATTTCTGATCTAACCTAACTACCACGCTAACCTAACCTCACTAACATTTTTTCCTAACCTTCAATCTCCTCGCACATATATTCTCCTGATACAAGATTTCTGATCTAACCTAACTACCACACTAACCTAACCTCACTAACATTTTTTCTAACCTTCAATCTCCTCGCACATTATATTCTCCTGATACAAGATTTCTGATCTAACCTAACTACCACGCTAACATAACCTCACTAATATTTTATTCTAACCTTCAATCTCCTCGCACATTATATTCTCCTGATACAAGATTTCTGATCTAACCTAACTACCACTCTAACCTAACCTCACTAATATTTTATTCTAACCTTCAATCTCCTCGCACATTATATTCTCCTGATACAAGATTTCTGACCTAACCTAACTACCACTCTAACCTAACCTCACTAATATTTTATCTAACCTTCAATCTCCTCGCACATTATATTCTCCTGATACAAGATTTCTGATCTAACCTAACTAGCACTCTAACCTAACCTCACTAATATTTTATCTAACCTTCAATCTCCTCGCAGATTATATTCTCCTGATACAAGATTTCTGACCTAACCTAACTAGCACTCTAACCTAACCTCACTAATATTTTATTCTAACCTTTAATCTCCTCGCACATTATATTCTCCTGATACAAGATTTTTGATCTAACCTAACTACCACACTAACCTAACCTCACTAATATTTTATCCTAACATTCAATCTCCTCGCAGATTATATTCTCCTGATCCAAGATTTCTGACCTAACCTAACTAGCACTCTAACGTAACCTCACTAATATTTTATTCTAACCTTCAATCTCTTCGCAGATTATATTCTCCTGATCCAAGATTTCTGACCTAACCTAACTAGCACTCTAACCTAACCTCACTAATATTTTATTCTAACCTTAATCTCCTCGCACATTATATTCTCCTGATACAAGATTTTTGATCTAACCTAACTACCACACTAACCTAACCTCACTAATATTTTATTCTAACCTTCAATCTCCTCGCAGATTATATTCTCCTGATACAAGATTTCTGATCTAACCTAACTAGCACTCTAACCTAACCTCATTAATATTTTATCCTAACCTTCAATCTCTTCAGATTATATTCTCCTGATACAAATTTCTAACCAAACTTAAACAACCCCCCCCCCCTCCCCCTCTCCCGAAACACCGAAATCCCACTTCACTGCATTTAAATTTAGATTACAAATGAAACCTATTCACTGTAACGTTTGTGGTTGCAAATTTGTATATACATGGTAATTCAAAAATATACGATATTCAGGTGCTTACCTTTGGAAGTGTCTCCAAGTGTTCAAAGACTACGGAAGGTCTTGATTTAATGACGACTCACATCCTGTAGTAAAAAATACAGTATTTACTTTTTTCCGGTGCATACAAAATATGAAGTTGATTATGGTTTTTCAAAGACGAAACGTCGCAGTGAAAATCCGTGGCCACCATCTTCTAGAGCTGAAAAAGTGCCCAACATCATTTTACTAAGCCCTAAAATACGCATTGTTTTCTCAGTTAACCAACTGGGTATCTCATATGGTTTTTGTTTTCCCTATACTGTGCATTCTTATCTTGAACACAATGTATAGGGTGGTCCGTATGAAAAAATGTAGTTTAGGGTCGTATAAGAAAAACAAACACTGTATAAAAACTGTGTACCTATCGCGATGGATTGAACATAAATAAGTGCTCTTTGCCTTTCCTAAAGAAAGTGTCCAATTTGGACCACCCTATACAGTAGACATAAATTGCTAAAACACTTGACTGTTACAGGTTGTAAGCGGCGGACTAATCGGCACCTACCTGAAACAAACCAAGGGCTGCATTCACGAAGGTTACCTAAAAACCCCCCTGGAGGACTTATCCGAAACTTCAAGCGGCGACAAGTTCAAGGCGTACGTTTTACACGTTCACCCTGTAACAAAACAGACCCATTTTACCTTACGTCCGACTCTCACGGCCGCATCTAAACACAAGAACGGCCCCGTTTTAACTTGCCAGGTAAGTTACGGCGCGCGCATCCCGCACCATCACAACGCGCATATTTGCAGTTCGTGAAAAGGACGAAGATGGGCATCCTTCTGCGACTGGCCGACGGCGCCGTGGGCTTCGTCGCTCGGAAACGGCTCGACATGCTAAGCCTCGACGACGTGCCGTCCAAGTGTCGCATCTTGGACTATCGACACTTGGAACAGCTCTACATTTGTAGCTTCGATACGGACGCACCCGACAAAACTGACGAAACTGACAATTTAAAAATCGGACAAACGGTTCGCGCCACCATTTCCGGTATAAACTCGAAAGGAATCGCGCTAAAACTCGGAAAAGTCGGCGGGTTTATACAAAATGTACACCTCGCCGACGAGCCGTACGATAACGAGGTTAAAGAAAGATTCAAAGTTGGCGACGTTATCTCCGCAAAAGTTTGGAATATCAACGAAGGCGGAGTGTACTTTACTTGTAAGGAGGCGTTGTTGGACAAGGAGGTCGGTCCGATGTCGCTTGAAGACTTCGAAATTAATAAGCCGTACCCTGGCGTTGTAGTGAATAAGAGTAAAAAGGGGATTATGGTGGTCTTCTTCGGCGATGTGAGGGGGATACTTTTTAAGGACTATTTGAATAGAATATTTGGGAATCAGTGGCAGGATGCGATGTACGAAGGCGAAGTGGTATGTAGTAATTTAATTAAAACCCCACAAAATGTAATGGGTAAAATTCATTTTATTTCGTGCTCCGCGTCCAAATGGCAGATGTCATTAGATCATTTGTTTCACTTTATCTATCCTTGCGATTAAAGAAATCAATTTAACAACTAAAAAGAGACTACTCAAAATGTCAATTTAACATCTGCTATAAAATATAGAGATGCTATACCAATTACGAAATACAGGGTACAGAAAAAATTCCAAAACAATCAATTATCTCCGCAACGAATTTATTAAGCGGCAGAGCAAAGCGATGGAAACTTTATAGGGGAGTTGATGGCGTCCGTGACCACGAAACTACCAAACGCTCGGGTTGATTTCGGTCCAAACTTTGCACAGTTGACCTATCACATGTAACAAGCCTATTGAAAATGGGTCAAATCCAATCCGAGGTGCTCTGCCGTTTTTTTAGATCCGCTTTAGGGATTTATTGTCTACAATGTCAATTTTTTATTACGGAAATTGCACCTACTAATTTTTTGGTAATGAAACACCCTGTATGTTTTTTTTTTAATTTTTGAATACGCAATAAAAAAAGTCCCCCAGACCACCCGGTGCTATGTTCTTCCCCAGAAACGTAAAGCGTTAGCACTCATACGATTCTTTGTGAGAGAACATCATCAAACCTATCAACACAGTCCTGTAGTGCATGGAACACTGTACAGGGTGTCCTATTAATAAAGGTCACAGTCCTTATCTATGGAACCGTTAATTGTACAGCTTGGGGCAAAAGATTTTGTTAACAAAAGCTGCCAGGATAAATCGCTGGAAATTATTTTCAAGTTTCTAGGTTAACCGCTAGAGGGCGCATGATACAGGCAGAAGCAAAGAAATGTTTTTTTTCCAAAAATATCCAATAAATACGCATAAAAAGTGCATGCATCGCAATTTTGCACCATTTTGAGCCAGAACATATTCATCTAGCTCATAAAATGTGAGGGGTGGGGAAAGGGGAATATCTCATTAAGGAATTGAATGTAACTTCGGTTTAGGTGACCCGATTCTGAAAAAGCTCTCTTTGTGTAATCAGAGTTTACGTGAATAGACATTTTTTAGTAAATGTGATGAGTGGTAGAGGGCGCGATTTGACATCCACATAAACAAAAAAAGTATTTTGCCATGGCCAACCAGATCACGCGACCTAACTTGCTTAGATTTCTATTTGTGGGGGAGCTTAAAAGACCTAGTCTTTTAAATAAGGCCATATACAGGATGTTGCGGCGAGAATTAGACATGGAATTCATAACATATTTATGGCTGACAGCTCTACTGTATCGAAAATGATGGCAGATATGGTTAGTATCGCTTCTTATGTGTTCTTTTGTTTCATTGCTGACTTGGATGAATATAAATATTGCAATTTAAATTTGCGAATGTGCGTATTTTCGCCAGTTTTACGAAACACGTATCAAAATGCGGTTTTCACTGAAATTTTCAATTTTTCATCTTATTTGATATCATTATTCGTTTCTTTTGAAATTTTTTAAGAAAATCTGCAAAGTTCATGTGGAAGTCCAACCGCGCCCTCTACCACTCATCATAATTACTAAAAAAGGCTCAGTTCATGTAAAATCTGGTTCCGCAAAGAGAGCTGTTTCCGCAATAAGACCAATTATGTGAAAATCAGTTTACCTAAACCGAAGTTACATTCAATTCCATAATGAGATATTGCCCTACCACCACCCCTCATATTTTATGAACTAGAGCAATGTTTCCTGCCCCAAAATGATGCATGGTTGTTAGGTATACTTTAGTAAAAAAAACATTTTTCTTCTTAACCATTTATCTCACGCCCTCTAGTGGCGAACCTAGAAAATTGAAAAAAATTCTCTTGTCGCTTTTGTTAACAAAATTTTTTTCCTCAAGCTGTGCAATTAACAGTTCCATAGATATGGCCTGTGACCTTTATTAATAGGACACCCTGTACAGTCTACACTCTACAGGAAAGAAAGATTGGTCTGTCCGTTTTCAAAAGAGCCTTGAAGGCTGGGCAACCTTGTGAAAAAAAACGTAGTTCTGGGGGGTAAGGTATACCTCTCAGCATTTACGAAGACTTGATTACTTTTAGGGTAATTTTTTGAAAGAAAAAATTCTCTTTATGTGACGGTTTTGTCCGTCTGTCTGTTCCCCGTCTAAGGAAAAGAGACAGCGATGTGAAACCTTCCCCAATCTATTGCTACGAGTTCCAGGATCAGTGCTATTGAATATGAGCCGGATCAAAAGTCTGGTTTCAGTACAAGCTGAGCGGCAAAAAATTCCCCGACTAAAAATCGTATGCGATTCTTCGTAATTATCTTGTTTCTAAACGTTACCATGATGGTGCTAAGGGAAATACAGATGAATTATAATCCCACAGCTCCACTAGTAACTTTTGTCTACACTAAACAAACATTTAAGGTACTTCCCGTCGTTGAAAAAATGGAAAACGGCATACTCCGCCTAAAATTTAGCGTACCCGAAGTTCACTCGGTAGCTCGTCCGTTAAACGTGGGCGAATACGTTGCGGCCCAAGTTACACAGAATATACCGCAAGGGCTTCATATAACCATCCCAAGGAAAAATCAAAAAGGATTTATACCTGTGGCGCATCTGAGCTGCAGCTTGTCGTTGACGCCGCAGTTATTGGGTGAGTATACGAAATCGCGCAGACGTATCTCACGCGCCCTCTTTTAGACACGTACAACGTCGGCGATGATTTGGACGATTTGATGTGCGTGTCTGCCGATGACAAGACGTTTTCCATACGAGAAGGTCGACGATTCAAGCTGAGAGGTGCGCAGGTGCCTTCGTCGAGCGATGTACGAGTGGGATCGTTGCTGAGGTGCTCCTACTTGAAATCTTACAATCAGCGAGTCTGCGTTTCCGCCCTGGTCGCACCCAAGCCGATGGTTTTAAATCTCTACAACAACGTACGTATAAATCGCAGATTAGAGTGACCTGTTACCGAATTTTAGGAGATGGATGTCGAGTCAAATCGCAAATTTGCCAGTCAGCAAGGAATCACTGTCAGAGTAACACGCATTAATAACGATAGGAAGCGGATTAAAGTATCGGCCCGTACTACTGATGTTTACGATTGGAGCTTGGAGGTAATCGACGATCTGGTGCGGTTTTCGGCTAATCGCTTAGATTTTAGGACGCGGTGTATGAATTAGAACAATATTTAAGTGATATACGCAGAATACAAGATCGTTCCTCGCACGTAACGAAATGTTGCCTGGGACAGCAAGTGGATTGCACAGTGAAGACGGTTGCAAAGGATTACGCGACAGTAACTGTGGAGGGGGACGTTGAGGGGATCGTTGTGAAACATCACTGCTTGGGTAGGGTTTTTAGGTGTCGGCTTTAGTTTAATTTTGTCTTTGTTCGATAGCCAAGATGGAAGTTGGTGCCGAAGTCCGAGGACTGGTGCTATGGGTAGACGTTCAAAAAAATCTGATGATCATTTCACTGAAGATGGACCAATTAAATTTCAAACATGGTAAGAAAAGAAAAAGAGCTTGCTTCGTTATTGATCACAATAAGTGAGTTATTTAATCCTGTTCCTTCTGCGGCTCGAAAGTGTTCCTTCGCCGACATCTCAACTAGACTTCTAAAACTATAATTGATAGAAAGTGTATCGATTGCCATGGAGATGGCGCACACAGTTCCAAGATCGGACTACTAGATCAAAAGTTACAGCCCTTTGAATTTTTTGTGAAAATTGGCCCATAACTTTTGATTGAGACGTCTAATCGAAAAAGTACGAATCGTTTTGGATTCTACGCACCCAAATTAATAAGAAAAAGTTTTTTCCCGAGAAATTTTGGTGCAGTCGATTTTTGATAAAAAAGGAAGGTTGTACACTGCCTTTTTTTTGGGCAGAAAAAAAAATTGTCTCAGATCGACCGGAAAAAAATATTTTCTTATAGAATGTGGCCTGTAGAATCCATAATTTGAAACAGTTCCAAGATCAGACTACTAGATCAGAAGTTACAGCCCTTTGAATTTTTTGTCGAAATTGGTTTTTTGCCCATAACTTTTGATTGAGACGTCTAATCGAAAAAGTACGAAATTTTGGTGCAGTCGATTTTCGGTAAAAAAAGGAAGGTTGCCTTTACCGGGCTTTTAAACTACAATTGCTCTACAGGATCTGGCAAGACTCCGTACATTTTGAACTGCCTTTTAACGAATAATAAGTGTGACGTTGCTGTTAATCGCATAAATTCAAATGAAATTTACAAAGAAGTTGCGTACGTGGCGACATCCAGAGCTGGGAAGTAATCGATTACAATTGTAATTGATTACAGTATTTAATTACTTTCTGTCTAATCAGTAACTAAATACTTTTAAAGTACTGTAATCAGTATTGTAATTTAATTACTTTTCTCAGTAGTAATCGTAATTAGTAATCATATTGTAATCATGAGTACAAAAGGAATCATGGCAGTTGTTGTAGCAACGCCATTAGGTCCTCGCAGCTTGATCGGCAATGGTCTTCGTTTAACTTGAGCGCTCACCCTTTGAACAAGGCTGCCAACTTGTTTAGGTTCCTCTTTTGGTTTGTCCCCATGAAGGAGTGTGCAATGCTTACTCTCATACCTACTTCTGCGGTTTTGAACTACTTTTAGCGTACCTGGAGTTTGTTGCAATCCTTGAAGATGTTCCAGACCTCCACCAAATTTTGCTGTCTGAAAGCCCCCCCCCCCTCCCCCATGAATTATTTTCCTAAGATCTTGTTTTTGAATGTAAAACGTGCATAACTTTTACATTCGAAAACCAACTGGTCTCAGAATTTGCGTACGCGTGCCTTTAGTGGCGCCAAGTACAATTTTTGAAAATGGGGGGGGGGGGCACAAGTTCACATCATGGTATTCTAATGAAAGGTCTCACCGAAATGCGCGACCCCTTTCCGAGATCAGTAGATGGCCTGGGGGGAGTAGAGAGGGGATAGAAATTAATTTTATCTTTCATGGTACTCCAATTAAAGGTCTCAACAAAAGGAACTGTTTTCTACCAACTACCGCCCTACTTTCCGACTCATTTTTTGTTATTTGTCCCTCTTGTTCTAGGCCCTCAACACACAAATACAGAGTGACCCCATAACGCTTTTTAAAGGTGCCCCTTATCAAAAGAGAGGATGGGTGGGGGGGGGGACTGGTTTTATCCTTCATGGTACTGTAATGAAAGATCTAAACTAAAGGAATCAACCATATCCTCCTCCTCGACTCCTTGTCATGATAGGATATAACTAATTCCTTATATTTCAAGAACAGATTCTCGGATGATGGTACTCACAAAAGACGATTGGGACGTCTGGAAGAAATATAACTATTGGTGATGTCAAAACTTTATCTAAATAGATTGACTTATAGCAGTTAATATTATTTATCCCTTACTTGTACTCAAATTAATATGCACGAGGGCGATATTCACTATTTATCACTTCGGCATCGATATTGGAACTTCTATTAAACACAATTCAATTTGCATAATTTATATTTTTTAATAATTCGGAATTAAAAACCGAAAAAAAAATTGAAACCGGAACCGAAAATTACGAAGGCCACAGAACCGAAACCCTTTAAAAATAATTCTACCTAAGTAATGCAAAACCGGAACCTATACTTCATATGGGTTGGGTTCCAACCCCTGACTGAGGTCGGACGAACCCCACTGCAGAAATTTTTAATATTTGAGTGCCTGTCCCGATAATAAAACTATGCATTTTTTATTTGTGCAACATACAACAAAATGTTGGTGAAGTCCCCTGAGTCAAAACAATGAGCTCTGTGTAGTACAGGATAGTTCAACAAAAGGCGTCAGCATTCAGGAATAAATATTTGCAAGTTCGAGACTACCATTGTACAAGTGTCTGAATATAAAATATAAATAGCCAATAGGAACAAGGTTTATAGTGCGTCGCTGACCAACGAAACCATACCTTTGTTGCTATTGGTTATTTCTTAATGATCTAATGATAATGATTGTATACACTCACCAGTGACATCTAGCGAATGTTACTATCTTTGCAGATTCCAAGGCCCATTTGAATACCTCCACTGAAGCTTCCGTTCTGTATTTTAACGACGACTTCGCAATGGTAATCACTAAAAGTAATCACGCCGTCTTCATTCCAATGTTGAGCAACAATAAATTTTTGATGGTTGGTCAATACAAACCCAATCAGAAAGTCAATGTAATCGTTAAACGGTATGTGCTCCACCCATCGGTCATTAATGGACTGCGCGCGCCAATGCCAAGCACGGATACTGTAGCTGAGAGAGAAGGGAAAACTAACGGTCTTACGGTTACGCATCTGATTGGTCCTTTCAAATTTATTAAGAGAACCAATCACCCTCTTCGTTTTCCCTTCTCTCTCACTTGCAGTATCCGTGGTGGCATTGGCGCGCGCAGTCCATTTTTTATATGTCGATGACTCTACCAAAGTGCCTGTCGAAATACAGCTTTTGTTATTTTTAGTATAGTCAACGGTATGGCGGTGGGTATCGATGAAGCTATTTTTAAGAGATTTAGTTCTAAGCAAAAAGTGGCGCCATCTGTGGAGAAGGTTATAAAAAGCGAAGATGAAGAGCCAGTGGATGGCAATGTTTCTAGTTTAGAGGAGGAGAGCAACAACGATGAAAAGGAAATTTCACCTGCAAATGAAAATTCCCAACGCAAGACGGTAGCCCCCACCTTGCCAGGCCTCGATAACTTCTTCAGCGCGCCAAAAGTGGTCGAATCGGAAAGCTCGTCAGACGAAGAGGTGCCGCGCGAAAGGAAGTCAAAGAAGAAGAAGAAGCTCACCGCGGCGGAGCGTACCGAAATGATACGTCATAATGAGGAGAAAATTCGCGCCAAGGAAATCGAATTGGCCGACGCGTCCCTGGAGCCCGACAGCGAGGAGCGTTTCGAACGGCTCGTCGCCGGCAATCCGAACAGCTCCGAATTATGGGCCAAGTATATCGCGTACTGTGTGTCGGTGAGTAGGCCTCCCTTTACACTCCCCGCTCGCTTATCGAACATTCTAGAATGCAGAAATCCAAAAAGCGCGAACTATTGCGAGACATGCGCTGAAACGGATCGATCTCAATGAGACAGTCGAACGCTACAACGTGTGGATTACGCTGTTAAATTTGGAAAACAGCTACGGTGACAAAGATTCCTTTAATGCCGCGTTTGAGGAGGCGGCGAGGTGCAATGACGACCTGCAAATCTACCTGGACGTCATCGACTTATTTGCAAACTCAAAAAGATACTCGGAAATGAACGAAAAAATCAAGAAGATGAAAACGAAACATAAGACCGATCCGAAAATGTGGACGGGCATCGCGCGCGTCTATTACAAGTGTGGCCACCTACAGGACGCACGAAACGTGCACAGTTCCGCACTCAAGACCGTCCACAGCAAAGCAGACCGTGAGTAAATCGACCGTCGGTGTCACTTTTCAAAGTCGTCTTTCAGATGTCGACCTTGTTGTTCAGTTTGCGGTGATGGAATTTAAGTACGGCGAAAAGCACCACGCCGAGGCGCTGTTCGAAACCGTATTACAAGAGAATCCCAAGCGGGTCGACGTGTGGAGCACGTACGTCGATCAAATGGTGAAGAAAGACAACATAGAGGGCGCTAGGTTAGTTAATCCTTTCAAGTTTGCAATTAATTAAACTTTGTTTTATCGTAGGAGAGTATTAGAACGGGCTGTTTGTAATAGCATACCTCCGAAAAAAATGAAGATCTTATTTAAGAAGTTTAAGGAGTTGGAATTGAAGTTCGGTAACGAGGAAAGTGTTCAACATGTAATTGAGTTAGCAAAGCAGTACTTAGGGAATAAATTGTAATAAAGATATTAGTACTCTTTTGTTTTTTAAGACTAAGATGAAGCAATAGTTAAAAAAGTCTTGATACAACCCTCAGTAGCCTCGGCCACCTCCCACAATTCCAAATAATTGAATTTAAAATTATTACTTAGACACAAAACTGATCATTTACAGAAGACATAAATTTATTCGGTCAATAAAGCCGCATAAAAGGCCAACTAGCTCGTGGTTAAACACAAAATAAGATCTTATCATGGGTTGAGCTCCACCATAGAGGCAATACAATCCTCTATGGCGCCACTCAATTATTAACTTAACTCTCCCCATATGAAATTGAGACGATACGAGGGTGTGTCATTAAAAGGCAACCCACAATGGGATAGCGTAACATACAAATGTTCAAAATTACATTGAAACATACCAGTTTAACAAAACTCGAATCAAAATTCAAATCAAATTGTTTACTTGATCAAAACAAGGTTCCACAAAGAAATTGATGTTCTGAACACAAATTCGCACGAATAGGCCAAATACAAGTAAAACCTAAAAAGACAACGCTTACCCTATTGTAACTTAGCTGTCATCCAGAGAAGTGAGCTCGGTTCCCGGATCCACAAACCTGCAAACAAAAGAAAGCTTCCATGTCGCAGAGCTCGAATACAATGAACTGAAGGCCTTCACCTTACTTGTCTCAGGTACGATACTGACTCGGCCAACCGCTCCAGAAGGAAGTGGCGGGCTACCCATAACATTCGCGTGTAAAACTCGACCATCGCCAAGATTAGGGACATGACCTCGTGATGCAATTTCAGCAAATGGCGGCTTATCAGCAGATGGAAAAGTAAAGCGTCTCCCAAGTCAAGCTGGTAACAATTAAAGCTAGACTTTGAACTTGAATCCAAAATTAAAACCCTAAGAGAAAATCAAACATAACCCCCTCCTCGTTGATAACCTTATATAACGTACACACCTCTTTTTAAATAAGAGGGCTGATTATATATGAATCTGCAACAATTAAACAACATACGCCAGGCGGCCATTAAAATCCCATGCGTTTTTAAACTAACGCCTTAGCTAATAACGTGCACTTTCACAGCTTGCAATCGAATGAGGAAAATAAATGTCGACATCGATAGCGACTATAATCGCGTGTTTAAAATTCCAAGGTTACGGCCGTTACGTTATTGGCTGCTTTGTACTGAAGAAAATAAACCGTTATATATATATGCTGTGTAAAATTGAGACAAATTACATTTAAACGAAAATTCTAATTACCTTAATGAAGAATAATCCTAACGTACGGTCATAAATGCTCTTTTCTTTCACTTGATTGGCAACAAATTGGCTTTGTTGTAATTTCAAATATAAAAGTGGCTTTTTGGTGGTGGATTATGCGATTATTGCTCCATTAAGACACAGCTTACAACACGAACTTTTAAACCTTCGCTTTTACAAAAACTTTAGAACCACCGAGACTGACTGTCTTTCACAAAAAAAGCACCGTTACGCCTATTTAAAATATTCTTTCATTCTTTTTAAATTCTGATCTGAATTAGAAAAAAATAGGAAGCTTATAAGTTCTCCCGTCGATATCCATGAAAACAGTAGATAAGTAAGGCCGATCCGGGACAACTTTGATCTTCAGTCCTGCGCATGCGCCAATTCCAAGGTTGAACTACTGCACCATGCCCAAAACACTGAATCTCATCGTGGTTGTTGTCAAAACTAAGTGGGGTTCTTGTCTGAACTAATGTCGCTGAAGGTCATTGTGATTGTTGTTTAAACTAAAAACCCTGAGTAATTAATTTAAGGGCACGAGTCATTCCTGAGATCGTTGAGTGGAGGCAAATTTCTTTTTATTGATCAGTTATCAATGAGCATATTGCTTCAAGGTCACTAAGATATTATGATTATCGATTTGGGGGATTCTTATTGGTGTGAAAAAGAGGAGAACTTGAATATCCGGGGTGTAATGGAAAACGGCACGAAGACGACTAGGAATGCGAAGCTAACAGGAGGGCGCGTGAAAATCGCGAAACATCCATAAAAAAGGAATGGACAACCGAGTGCGTAAAATCCAAAAATGGCCCCAGACTCCTCCTCTTCAGAATGCCATAACTCCCCGTCATTTTTTGAGATCGACTTGCGGTTTTTTGAGTTTGACAGAGAAAGTGTGGGAGACTGAGTGTAGGGGAACCGCGCATAGACCTGGAAATAGAGGGCGAAGGGAACATTTACAAAGTTTGCTAAAATCTGAATAAGTTAAAAATGCAAACGATCACCACTAGAGGGCGGATCATAAACTCAAAGATACAAAAATAAAAATTTCTAGATTACTTCATTCTATTATTTGCAACTCATCTATACGTTTCAACTGATATGGTATTACAGTTCAAAGATTGTTTGGAAACGATACGATCTTCATCACGGCTTTGGTTCATATACATGTGTCCGTAAATTTTAACTCTGAACATACAAATTTCCTATGTTCAATTCTTCAAAAAACTAGGTACACGCAAATGAATCCTAGTCGGGCCTAGTTTGGCGCCAGTCTGGTTTCAAACCGAAGAAGGCGGTCACCACTACTGAAGCATGCAGTTTCGGTGGGAAACTTTGGAAGATCTATCGTAAGGTCCAGACCATTCACTCTGTGACTTTCATGTGTTTGGATCTCTAAAACAGGCTATTCGCTGTTTGGCTCCTTTATAGAAGCAAAGAGTACCCATTACTCTTTGATAGAAGTCACATGCCCCTTAAGATATGCAACCAATCTTACCTTACTTTCATAATTTTCAAATGTTTTTTAATAAGTATTATCGCTTAACAAAATGTATTCAAAAAAAGAAAAATGCCCATAAGCCAATCCTATCAATTGACACAATTCACAGCATTAAAAACCTTCATGTTGATGGTTGTCTTGGTAAAATACGTTGGTACTCGCGATCAGCCGATTTATCACGAATTTTTTAAGAAATTTTGTACAAGCTTTAAAAAGTCGTCTGGCTTATTGTCTAGCTTTAGAATAAAGCGGAGGTCACCTTGGAGCATCTCTTGTAAATTGTTTCCCAATACCAAAGAATACTTAATTTGGGTGCGTAAAATCCAAATCGATTCGTACTTTTTCGATCAGACTTCTCAATCAAAAGTTATAGACTAGAAATCAATTTCCACAAAAAAATTAAACTTTTGACCTAGTAGGCCGATCTTGGAACTGTTTGAAGTTATCGATTCTACAGGCCACATTCTATACAAAATTATGGCAACATCTAACTCGTCATCCAGGTCGAAGGTTTGCTGCAACTGAACGCTGGTGTGACTATGACAACAACAACCTGTTTAAAATAACACACGTCGTGAAATCCGTTAAATAAACCCTCGTCTGCCACTGGCCTTAGTTACAATAAAATTCGTACAAGTGCGCCATCTCCTTGTTAATCGATACACTTTCTTCATTTTATAGTTTTACAAGTTTAGTTGAGATGTCGCCACTTACGTAACCTTTTTCGAAATTATATTTGAATTTAAGCAATTAATTACCTCGTTGCACTTAATTTTCCTTAAATTGCAGTTCAAAATGTACGCAGTCTTGCAAGATCTGTAAAGCAATTGTAATTTGATGACCCGGTTTCTGAATAGTTAATTTAAATACAATACGGTGACTTTACAATAAGTACAAGTGCGCCATCTCCCTGTTAATCCATACACTTTCTTACATTTTATAGTTTTTCAAGTTTAGTTGAGATGTCGCCACTTTTTCGAAATTATATTTGAATTTATGCAATTAATAGCCTCGTTGCAAAGGGCTGTAACTTTTGATCCAGTAGTCCGATCTTGGAACTGTTTGAAATTATGGATTCTACAGGCCACGTTCTATAAGAAAATATTTTTCACTTTTTCTGATTAATTTGGGTGCGTAGAATCCAAATCAATTCGTACTTTTTCGATCAGACTTCTCAATCAAAAGTTATAGCCTAGAAACCAATTTCGACAAAAAATTCAAAGGGCTCTAACTTTTGATCCAGTATCCCAATCTTGGAACTGTTTGAAATTATGGATTCTACAGGCCACATTGAATAAGAAAATAGTTTTTTCCGGTCGATCTGAGACAATTTTTTTCTTCGAGCCAAAAAAAGGCAGTGTATAACCTTCCTTTTTTACCAAAAATCGACTGCACCAAAATTTCTCGTGAAAAAACTTTTTCCAATTAATTTTGGTGCGTAGAATCCAAAACGATTCGTACTTATTCGATTAAACCTCTCAGTCAAAAGCAAAAAGAGGCAAGTGTAAATTTCCGTTCACAGTCCTGTGCTTGGTCCAAATCAATTCCTTAGTCCTTGTCCTCCTTCCAAGTCGACGCGAGGATCATATCCTTTCACTATGTCTTTTTCTCTCTGCCATGATGATTATTGAAACCACGCGCGATTTAGTAAAGCTCGAAGGACCAAATGGTACGTCCACAGACGAAATAAAAAGTCTTTCAGAAAGTAACCAAACTATTTATTTGTTACATAAATAGCTCTTTTTTAATCTCTCCTACCCTTAGCACGAGGCTATACAATAACTTTTCGTCAAAATGTCAAGTTCATTTCCAGAAAAAGCATTAATAAGATTATGACTGTAGAAAATGATACAATTTAACTGGATTAGGAACCCGCAAAAGTTCATCGAGTATAAAAGAAACCTTCGCGACTACGCAGTGCCGCATTTTACCCCCAACTTTATAAAAAATGGTGTTCAATTTTCGCGTGTTTAAAAAATGTTCGCCCAACGGGAAAATCTCCCTGTACATGGCGAAGCGAGATTTCGTCGATCATGTCGTAGGCGTCGAACCGATAGGTACTACCCTTTGCCGGCGTCCACCGTTTCTGTAAGTGTCTGGTTTTAGAGGGTGTCATCGTTATCGAGGAGGATTACAAGGATCGCAGAATTTTCGCGCAGATCATATGCAGTTTCCGGTACGGTCGCGAAGAGGACGAAATGATGGGTTTAAATTTCCAAAAGGAGCTATGTTTGGGTTCCGTGCAGGTTTATCCTCCACCCGAGAAGCAGAACACGTCCAAATTGCAGGATCGGCTTATTAGAAAAATGGGTCCCAATTCGTACCCGTTCACCTTCGTTTTGCCTACTAGCGCCCCTGCTTCTGTGACCATTCAGCAGGGATCCGACGAGGACGGGCAGCCTTGCGGAGTGACGTATTTCGTGAAAATATTCGCGGGTGAAAGCGAAGTTGATCGTACCCATAAGAGGAGCACCATTGCCTTGGGTGTACGCAAAGTGCAATACGCGCCTTCCAAGCAAGGGCGCCAACCCTGCACCGTCGTCCGCAAGGACTTTATGCTCAGCCCTGGTGATCTCGAGTTGGAGGTAACTTTGGATAAGCAGGTATTTGCCTCGTGTTCTTTCGGAGAACTCCTCCAAAACCAGATTATGTTTCAGCTCTACCATCATGGCGAAAAAATCGCCGTGAACGTCTGCATTCGCAATAACAGCAACAAGGTGGTGAAGAAAATCAAGGCGATGGTGCAGCAGGGTGTCGATGTTGTTCTTTTCCAAAATGGGCAGTATCGCACAAGTGTTGCCTCCATAGAAACTCAGTAAGTCATCTCCTCAACGCGCGTCGTTTCAAACAGTCCAATTTTAGGGAGGGCTGCCCTATTCAACCGGGCTCTAGCTTGCAAAAGATTATTTACCTGATTCCTCTACTTTCCTCCAATAAAGAACGTCGTGGAATTGCACTTGATGGACAGTTGAAACGGCAGGACACGAACCTTGCTTCGACAACTTTGTAAGTTAACTTATTGTCATTTAGGTACCATAGCCCACCTCTCACCGAAATATTTCAACGCCTTACTTCGTCTGAAACTTTACAAAACTTGTATCAGGAGAATATAATGTCCGAGGAGGTGATTGAAAGTTAGATTAAAGATTTAGTGAGGTTAGGTTACAGTGGTAGTTAGGTTAGATCAGAAATCTTGTATCAGGAGAATATAATGTGCGAAGAGATTGAAGGTTAGAATAAAATATTAGTGAGGTTAGGTTAGCGTGGTAGTTAGGTTAGATCAGAAATCTTGTATCAGGAGAATATAATGTGCGAGGAGATTGAAGGTTAGGAAAAAATGTTAGTGAGGTTAGGTTAGTGTGGTAGTTAGGTTAGATCAGAAATCTTGTATCAGGAGAATATAATGTGCGAGGAGATTGAAGGTTAGAATAAAATATTAGTGAGGTTAGGTTAGCGTGGTAGTTAGGTTAGATCAGAAATCTTGTATCAGGAGAATATAATGTGCGAGGAGATTGAAGGTTAGAATAAAATATTAGTGAGGTTAGGTTAGCGTGGTAGTTAGGTTAGATCAGAAATCTTGTATCAGGAGAATATAATGTGCGAGGAGATTGAAGGTTAAGAATAAAATGTTAGTGAGGTTAGGTTAGTGTGGTAGTTAGGTTAGATCAGAAATCTTGTATCAGGAGAATATAATGTGCGAGGAGATTGAAGGTTAGAATAAAATGTTAGTGAGGTTAGGTTAGCGTGGTAGTTAGGTTAGATCAGAAATCTTGTATCAGGAGAATATAATGTGCGAGGAGATTGAAGGTTAGAATAAAATATTAGTGAGGTTAGGTTAGCGTGGTAGTTAGGTTAGATCAGAAATCTTGTATCAGGAGAATATAATGTGCGAGGAGATTGAAGGTTAGAATAAAATATTAGTGAGGTTAGGTTAGCGTGGTAGTTAGGTTAGATCAGAAATCTTGTATCAGGAGAATATAATGTGCGAGGAGATTGAAGGTTAGGAAAAAATGTTAGTGAGGTTAGGTTAGCGTGGTAGTTAGGTTAGATCAGAAATCTTGTATCAGGAGAATATAATGTGCGAGGAGATTGAAGGTTAGGAAAAAATGTTAGTGAGGTTAGGTTAGCGTGGTAGTTAGGTTAGATCAGAAATCTTGTATCAGGAGAATATAATGTGCGAGGAGATTGAAGGTTAGGAAAAAATATTAGTGAGGTTAGGTTAGCGTGGTAGTTAGGTTAGATCAGAAATCTTGTATCAGGAGAATATAATGTGCGAGGAGATTGAAGGTTAGGAAAAAATGTTAGTGAGGTTAGCTTAGAGTGATAGTTAGGTTAGGTCAAATAAGTTTGTCAAAATTTTAGGCGACTAAACCAATTTGACCTAACCTAACTAGCACTCTAACCTAACCTCACTGATAATTTATCCTAATTTTTGATCATCCTCTCACATTATGTTCTGATACAAGATTTTATACTCCCATCTTTATGGTCATTTTCTTCAGATGGAATGACAGTTCTCATAATGGTGTTTTGACGGGTTATTGAATAATCCTTTATTTTTCTCAGCAGTTCATCAAAATAACATACAAGGTGCAGGAGACGGGGTATAAAAGCAGCCGGTGTGAAAGTTTTGCATTATTTATAGGATGCATCCACCGTTTGCGTTTTTTTAAATTAGTTTCAAAGACAAATACAAAAATATGGCAACATCTAACTCGTCATCCAGGTCGATAGTTTGCTGCAACTGAACGCTGGTGTGACTATGACAAAAACAACCTGTTTAAAATAACTCACGTCGTGAAATTCGTTTAATAAACGCTCGTCTGCCACTGGCCTTAGTTACAATAAAATTCGTACAAGTGCGCCATCTCCTTGTTAATCGACACACTTTCTTACATTTTATAGTTTTACAAGTTTAGTTGAGATGTCGCCACTTACGTAACTTCTTTTGAAATTATATTTGAATTTAAGCGATTAATATAGCCTCGTTGCACTTAATTTTCCTTAAATGGCAGTACAAAATGTACGCAGTCTTGCAAGATCTGTAAAGCAATTGTAGTTTAATGCCCCGGTTTTTGAATAGTTAGTTTAAATACAATACAGTGACTTTACAATAAGTACAAGTGCGCCATCTCCCTTTTAATCGATACACTTTCTTCATTTTATAGTTTTACAAGTTTAGTTGAGATGTCGCCACTTACGTAACTTTTTTAGAAATTATATTTGAATTTATGCAATTAATAAAGGGCTGTAACTTTTGATCCAGTAGCCCGATCTTGGAACTGTTTGAAATTATGGATTCTATAGGCCACATTCTATAAGAAAATATCAGGCCCATTCCAGTTATTAAAACTCTTCCCATCTGATCTAACAATTATGTTTCAGGTTGGCATCGCCCGAAGATCGAGATCCATTTGGAATCATCGTGTCCTACGCCGTTAAAGTGAAACTTTACTTGGGAGCTCTCGGTGGAGAGTTGGCGGCCGAGCTTCCGTTCGTCTTGATGCATCCCAAGGTACGAGGTTCGTTTCCATTAAAAACACTAATCAAGATTTGTTCCAGCCTGGAAGGGAGAAAAAGATGATACACGCTGATAGCCAGGCGGAGGTGGAGATGTTCCGTCAGGACACTGTAGATAACGAAGTCGATGCCTACTAAAAGTAGAATGACGGCAAAGATTGTTCATTACTTTATTTATAATTAGTTGAGTAATAAATTGAAATAGTTTCACACAAACTTCCTGTATTATTAATTAATATACACATATTTTCGTACTTTTAAGGACAGATTGTTCACAAAGCGCGAAAAATAATATGTCTATGACTATGATCTACATAAATAATTCTGCTTCGACTTAAATTTATCGTCCTGTTGAATGTTTACAGTTAATATGCGATCCACTAAATTACGAACTATTGTTATAGATAATCTAATATCAAAATTTTATTGACCTGTGATGTAAGATCTGAGATTACATAAACGGATCTGTTCGCACGGACACTGTAGGCAATAAAAGTACAGTGACAATAATCTCATTATCACAAATACTTAAATTTACGTTTAAAAAATCACTTCGCAGTGATCTCAAGTGGCAACCCTCATCACTCATTTTTTTTTAGGCTAAATCACTTCCGTCCAGAAACTAAACGTGACAAACTGATATGGCTATATTTGTCTAAATTGGATTTAGCGTATTAAATTGACACTAAAGCGCACTTAAAAGCAAAGCCTCTCATGCTTTATCGTAAAAAAAGTATAAAGCCGTATAGGTAATTCACGAAAATTTGTACAAAATTCAAATGAGCATGCCGTAAACTATCACTAAATACATCAAAAGTTATACTCGTAGATGCTATGATCCTTTCGAAAACCTATATATACAAAAAACTGCCTCAGTACAAATCGTTCACATCCATCTACGTGTACCTTGTAATAAAAATAGAAAAATATAAGAAAAACAAACAAAAAAAAAAACAAATCTGACCAGATTCAGTACACTTACTGTCGTAATTAAAGTGAAAAAGAGCACACGAAACACATAAATTACTTTTTTTCTTTCATTTCGATATACAGGAGCAGAAATATAACTAATCTTTTATACAGTGCGCCTACTTAACTCGGCTTCGGAAGCGGCCGTACTAAGTAAAGCTTTTCGCCTTGCTTATTCGTATAAATAGGAGCTCTCTGGTAGTGATCGACCAGTTGGTCGAGGGTATGGAATTTTCGTTGGCCTATGCAGTAAAGCGCCCCCTCCACGTGCACTCGGAAGTGCTTATTACGACCGGGCGCCTTCAGTGACACCGAGTAGTCGCCGACCTGCAAAACTGTTCGGTTAAATTGGCTTTATCGGGCGGCGGCGACTCACATTTGTTTCGCTATCACGAATGAGAAAGTCACCGTCGTGGCCGTGCTGATTTAGGACGCCGTCGCACTGATTCCGGGTGATACAGCCGTAGTACCACGGTTTACCGATGAGATGGGGCCGATCGGACGCGATGCCGTCCGGCTGCTGCTGCGGCGGCGGCCTCTCGACTAATTCGGTACGTTCCTGCCTCCGTTCCTGGTACGGCTGCGTCAGATACTCGGACAGCTCTTGGAGATAATTGCGGGGGACGAGTCCAATTTGGCCTTGAGCGTTACGCGCCTTGTACCTGAAATATTAATAGACTTAAATTTAGTTGTCGACGGTATAAGTCTTCTAGTGAAATGTTAATGTAAATTATTGAGTAAATTGTTCATGAAGAATAGCACGAAAATATTTTCAAGTTCTAAAAATGACCAACAGAGGGCGTAACTGCCATCTTAAATTTTAAAATTGAGTTTTCTTGAAATTACTCATAATAAACGAAAACATTTTTTCACATTTTTAAAGACAACCAGTTTATCATTTTCGTGAAAACAAAAACTCAGTTATTTCAAAAACAAAGATGGCGTGGGGCGTTCAATTGTTTTTACAAAGATGGGTACTCTTTGGTTTTTGCAATAATAATAATCTTACCCTTTGATCTATTGTAACAAATTTGGTATAATTGAAAAGAGCATTCCTTGAGCAATGAGAATCAACCATTTCATTTGATTTTTTTAGGATTTTGGGTCATAGTGTCAAAGCTAGCCCCCTGGCGGAGAAGGATTAGACTAAATTAACTATATTTTGGTTGATTCTCATTGGCCAAGGAATGCTCTTTTTAACCATACCAAATTTGTTAAAATCGGTCAAACCGTTAAGAAGTTAAAGCATGTTATTGCAGAACAATTGAACGCCCCACGCCATCTTTGTTTTTGAAATAACTGAGCTTTGTTTTTTTCGAAAGTGATAGATAAACTGGTTCTCTTTAAACATGTGAAAAAAGAATATTATTTAGTTTATTATGTGAAATTTAAAGAAAATGCAATTTTAAAATTTAAGATGGTAGTTACGCCCTCTGGTGGTCATTTTTAGAACTTGATAATTTTCCAGCGATTCTTCATAACAGATTTACCTAATAATTTTTTTTACCCCTAAGTCATATGACGAACGGTCTTATTGGGTCACCCAGTACCTACTCTCTGGATACTTCTGATAAAGTATTGTCTGTTGGCACTAAGAAAAGGAGATATAATTGTTACCAATCATATAACTATGTAGCAAAAGGTTACTGAAGTGGCTGAAATATAAACAATGCATTATATGCATGTGTGTGACAGCCAAAATTATACTGTCGCGAGCCGCTTGTTAGGTTCCGTCCCAATGGGGCCAGTACCGCCCTCTAGTGAGCGCTAGAGGATTCCAGGTGGGCGGTAGGGGCACTCAGGCGTAAGTGGGGGTCGTTGGCTATGTAACGTGTATCCTATTTTGGTTGAGATTGCAGTGTATCTCAGCCTAGGTCTCAATTGATTTTCAAGATATAGACTTTTTTGTGAAACCACAAACAGAATCTCTAACTACGTTTGTTTCTGAGATACAGGGTAAAGACGGAAAGTTTGACATTTTGAGAAACTGTTTATTTTAGATATTTTTACTTAGAATCCAGTGGCGTAGTAAAAAGTTTTACCCACCGTTTCTGAAATTTGACCAAAAGTTAGTATTTTTTAAATGCAACACCTGGTATGTCTTAACGTAATTTTTTGTATTATCTTTCCCGATTGCATTGATGTATAACACCCTATATTTTTTTTAAATTTTAGCCATGAACCAAACATAAAACCTTATTTTTTACAGTTTTTAAATAGTAGGCCATGGATTTATCAAGATTTTGTTTTGTTTATTGTATCCATGGCCGACTTTGTAGTTCAATGGTATAGAATAAATCGAGAATAAAACCGGAGATCGGGTTTTCGAACCTGGACTGAGGTAAGAATTTTTCATCTGTGACAAAGATGGGAATTTCCTTAGATCAGTGGGCTACTCCGAATTAGGTTTTCCTGTAGTTTTCCTAATTCATACGGTAAATACTAAAGTAGTATAAATAAAAATGGCAGCCGATGCGAACAATAAAAATGGCTGACAGTAAAAACATGCCATTTCAAAATTTTGAAAAATATAAAAATACATAAGTTGTAATATATCAATGTAATCAGAAAAACGAATACAAAAAATTGACTTTTAGATATATAGGGTGTTCCATGTAAAAAATACCACATTGGGCCGAATCTCAGAAATGCTTGTCCAAAAATTTTTGAACTACGCCACTGGATTCTAAGTAAAAATATCTAAAATAAACAATTTTTACATTTATTCTTTATTGTTTCTGTTTGTGGTATTGAACGTTTCACAAAAAAATGGCAGAGGGTCGCGAAAACCTTAAGTCTCTATCATTAAAAACAGCTGAGATACACTGTAGCCTCAACCAAAATGGGACACACTTACAGACGGATGAACATTAATTTGACTGAAATATTTATTAATTTAGTATTATTAAAATGGATAAATACGTACGACCACCGACCAAAGTAATGATAATAGGAAACTTACTGCCATTTAGGCAACCAACCATACAATATCTAGACGTGTAAGTTTTCCGACGGGGATTCGTGTAGGATAGGCCGCACGGCGTCGCGCATTGTCGTCTTTGCTTCGGCGTTTCTTCGTCACTGCCTTGATATAAACGCTACAGCAGATATAATTACAAGAAGTCGCTGCGGTTTTTTTAGACCAGAAACTTTTTAGACTGAACGAGAAACTTTTACCAAAAAATTATCCAAATATTTCCTCTGGTACCTTAGATCAATAGCTCTTTCAAGTTCGGAGTTGACAAATATAAATAAATTTTCTTGTAAAGAATAGGATTTTTGCCTTAGAGATCTGGATGGCGAGTAAAATACGTATTCGCAACCATTTTTGACGTAAATTCATAAACTCTGATTAGGTTTCCAGGTCGATCCTAAAGAATTCAAAAATTGGTGATGTATCTTTGGTAGTAGTAAGAATAAAATTAGAAAATGTCAGCATAGCACCCCCACCCCTCCGCTGTCTGAAATATAATAACACATAATATAGTGCTTCTTATTGCTGTAAAGTTCATTTGGCAGAATTCATTTTTTAAATTGGGAGGTCCTGACACATCGGATTGGAGCCCCCCCCCTCAAACGGATCTATGGTCCTCCAGATCTTAAAAACGGTCTTTTCTTTGATACCTTTGCTAAATGAGTAAATGCAAAATGTCAATTTTATACCGCTTTTCTACTTTCACACGAGTACACAAACTTATGCTATTGCTCTTCTAGTATAAAAATAGTCACGTCTATCATCGCAGGTAGCCGCCCACTGCAAAACTGGTCGCCTGTGAGGTGTGCACAAATTATGCTATTATACATTCGTCTCTATCTAGCACATGCGAAGAGATAGGCATAAGTTTTGCAGTGGGCGGCTACCTGCGACTGTTTTTTTACTAGGCAACGTCTAGCCAATGTTTTTTCAAATGATGAAAGGTGGGTCCAGTAGGAAATGTACTATTTCGATGATAAGTTAACAGATATTAAGCAAGATGTAATCGTTTTTCAGATCAGTATTGAAACGTTCGTTTATTTTTTCTATGTGGCCATTAAGATTTTCTGCTTTTGGCTCTTGAGAATTTAACCACCTTTTTGTGAAAGGGCGAACACCCTTGTATCACGATCCACCTTTCTCATGATCAAATTGTTGCCCTTTACTCCGTTAACATGATTGCTCAAATTAATTTTTATCAAAGTGAGGCTTGCATGTGCGAAAAACTATATAAGACAACAAATCAAACAGCGAATACGTTTCGATGTACATGAAAAAACTAAATATATACAGGGTGTTCTGTTTAAAAAGTCAATTACGCATTTACACTCTAAAAATGGAACACCATCCATGGTTTTTTTATATTTTTAGGAAAGACCGACGCCTTGTTGCAGGACCTACTGTAAAATACAAAAAACCTGTACAAATCAGTAAAACAACAAACTATTATTTATTATTCAATTGAAACAGCTGTATCACGTGCATGACATAAAATATGTCTAGATTCTCATCTGGACGGCAGATAAAAACATAAGAAACTGTAAGTACCTAATTCAAGCAGTGTTACCAACTGCAGGAATTGTGTTTTCCCACCCTCCCCCAGTCAAATGTTACTGTTTACATAGTATAAGATTATGCACTTACCATTCCGGATCGGAAGGCGGTCTATCTAAAATTTCTAACCGATCTCCCTTCTCGAAGGAGAGCTCTTGGTCGTTCGTTGACGAAAATGAGTATAAAGCTACTACAATATCTAATACGTTTTCGGCCATCGCGTACGTGTGGAGGGTATCGTCGCCGTCGCCTTCCTCTTGAGTATAGTTCGACGGAAACCAGCCGACCGCGTTGCCGCTCTGACCTCGCCACCAACCTACGGGGGGAGAATGATTCAAAAAAGATTCTCTAATTTTCAAAAGCATTTTTTTCTGTTTTTTTAAATCCCTTGAATCTTTTTTTCAAGTCTTTTTTCAATTTCTTTTCTAATGTCATGCCTGGTGTGCTATATTTTTGAAATGAGAATATTTATCTTTCTAGATTAAAATATACAGGGTGCTCCATTAAAAAAAAGAAGGTTAGATCCAATAACTTTTTTACCTGGCTCACTATACTTATTTTGAAAACGAGAGTTAAAAAAGATACAGAAAGTATTTATTACAAAACAACTTTTATAATGATTGTTTAATAAACTGACGTTTTCAAAACAAGTATACAGTGTTAGGTAAAAAAGTCATCGGACCCAACTTATTTAAACACCTTGTATATTTTAACTTAAAAGAAAGATATTAAATTCTCTCTTCACAAATATCACTAAACATTTAAAAAAATTGATTATTAAAACTGGTTTAAAAGATTTAAAAAAAATTCAAAAATCTTAACAATTTTTTCGTATTTTTTTTAAATCGTTTGAATCTTTTACTCCCTTTTTTTAATCACAAATCTATCTATAAGAGAGTTATCTTTTTAGACTAAAATATACAGTGTTCCATTTAAAAAAATGAGGTTAGACATAGGGAAATTTACACATATCGGGCTCAAAGCGAACGAGAACAAAAGTATGTCTGGTGATAACAAGAAACGTTGTGGGAAATGCGAGCACACCCTTAATATTTGCATGGAATTTTGCCAAATGTCTTCTAGTAGAGTCTTTGTACAGATGTTAGGACAATCATCTCATTACCTCGTTAGAACTCTTTAGAATAATTTGAAAATCTTCATCCAATTTTCTTTTTAGTTTCTTGAATTTTTTTCAAATTTCCAAAAACTTTAAATGTGCTATTTTCCCCACTTTTTTCTTGCCCCCCCCCAGGATAGAGGTGCTACATACCGAGACCGTGGTTTTTGGTATAATATTCCAAACTCATTATGACATCAAACCTGCTATCATCAGCAAACAAATGATAGCCAACTTTGTGAATAAACGAAACGTTATTAATTAAATAATTAAGAAATTTATTATTTATTATGAATGTTTGATCTTTAGAAATTTTTAATTTTTCATTTGTTTAAATAAAATTTAAATTTGACGTAAAAAAAAAATTAAATTAAAAAATGTGATTTAAATCAAATCAGAAAATACTGTGAGGCATACAGGTCAATTCCCGAATACTACAAGATGCTCCCCCCAAAATTTCCCCAAAAACCTCCTAAAGAAGTGGGGGAGTCATGCTACAGGGCCTACCACTGATATTAACAATAATCCAGATATTAGCTTTGTACAAATAAACACAATTTCCGTTGCTGCCTCCCAGACTAAAAGGCCACAACTAAACCTACCGTCATTGCTCTTCTCGAGTATGAGTATTCGCGAGCCTTTAACCAGCGAAAGTTCGTCCGGCTGCTGAGCTTGGTAGTTATATTTGACGACGGCGACTCCGATCGCCTCCGAAGGATCTGCGGGCAACCTCCTAGTCATGTTGGGCGACTCGACCGCACGCGAAGGGGAATTGTTCGACGGTAACGTCTTCGACCCCGAACCTTTCTTTACCTAAACGAAACAAACGGATGACACAGTTTCACACTCGACAAACGCACCTTCTTCTTAATGCTGTCGAACAGTGACGGTTTCTCCTTCTTAACGTAATTACTCGGCACGTATCCGGAGAGATTTCGCGAATTTTGCACCCTCCACCAGTGCTTGGAGTCGTCGAGGAGTAAATATCGTTCATTTTTTCGTAGGTCAAGCTCTTGGGTTCCTTGTGCCGCATAATCGTACTTCGCAACAACATAACAAACATCGTCCTGGTTCGTTTTGCCTGCATTTAAAACTCGATTAATTCCCTTAAAGTTGACCGTTTTCACCGTCTACGCCACACCGACTATTTCAATTTACTGACTACATCGAAATGACAAAAACATTAATTGAGTTACGTTACTTAAATTGACTGAAAAGAAGTTGTGACATACCATGTCTCATGTTAGGGGTTGCCATATGATGCGGTGGCGGCCTGACACCGTAGTTGCTTTTGGCTTGCCACGAAGGTGGATCCGGTGTGCCGCGCATCGATCTCGTCTCCAACATGACCGCAAGCACGACTATCTAGCTATGGCCCACACTCATGCTCTATGCTACAACACGATGCCACTTCAATTGAGGCTCTATCCGACTAGAAACATTACAATAGCAAGCAGTACGTAAAAAGCATCTATTTTGACACATTTCAATACAAATAACACAAAAGATTTATAATTTTAGATTTAGAAGAAAAGGAAGAGAGCAGCGTAGGTATTTTCCGCCTTAAAATGCATCTCGCATTTTCCGACCGGTTGTAATCGAATACAGTGAGCAAGTTATAGTTTTAGCAGCGTACCAAGTTTCAAGCTGGACATATTCTTCTTAAATTCATAGGTAAAGCAGATAGAAGACCAGACACCATTTAATTCACAACAACTCTCCCACCCTGAACAGATTTGACAGATGCTCATGCGGCAGGGAATTTGTATTTTAATTTTCGAAAAGCATGCGGTTGGCACAACTGAAACTTCAAACATATAGGATGGTCATGCAATTAGATGTATATAGGGTGATCCAAACTGGATTACTACATGAAACATTAACAAAAATACCTTGTGACCCTTAAATCTGCCGGAATGCCATGAGCCCTTTTGAGCTAAAGCGAACCCAACTCGAGAGCCGCCCGAAGGGAATGGTGCAAGTGACCCATAGTGATTCCAATCACTTTCTCGTAGTCCCGAGCTAAAATAAATGCAGAAATCGAACTGGCCGGCTCCGGAAAACCTTTTGAACAAGACCCAGTAGTGTCCCGTAGAACATTCGAAGTCCCAGAACCGGAACCCTAAAAAATCACCTAAAAGTAATGCGGAATATGGGTTCCAACTCGCGGTGGTGATTTAATATTTCTTCACCAAACGCTCTCCGCCACGTTCGTCCTGCAACTCTTGCCCCTTTCTATTTTGCCTTAGAGTTGTTTAGCGAAAGCCCTTGGTCGTAGTGTAGCGATATCAGTAAATCCCACCCCCTCGGACGTAGAACTGCCCCCTCGTGCGAGGAACTGCAGCATACAGATGAGTTTTCGAGATCAATGTCAGTTGGATAGCATTGCAAGTTTTTTTGGTTACAGAAATTCCCATCTCTGCGATTATCCTTTCACAAGCAATTCAATACCTAATTTAATTAAACATTTACACTAAAAAATAATAACGGTGTCCAATATTAAAAGTTAACGAGACTTGATCCGGCAATTGAAGTTCAAAACCAAAGTTGATAATTATAAAAAAATGTAAAATGTACCTGCATTAAATAAACAAGAAAGCAATAAAATTTAAACTATACGATGCTCTTTTCGTGACAGTTAAACTTAATATGACCGATAAAAGCATTCGCATTCGACAAGGTCGCGTGATTTTTGAAAAAATGTACGCCGTCATAAGTTGTATATACAGGGTGGAACCACTCAAACTGTACAAAAATCTTTGTTCGTGTATTTTTGTGCTGGTCAATGCAATGAATAAAAATAATCTAGCGGCTTGCTTCTTATCTACATTTTGAAAAAACTCTAAAAAGTTTTGAAAAGGTCTTACGAGCTGTGGAAAACCTAGAATGATTTAAAAATGATCTATAAAATCCTGAAAAATGAAAAGAACCAATAGTCCAGTCGATATAATGAAAAATAGAGGGGTGTCCTAAAGTGTGTATCCTAAGTTCTTGGAAGGGAGCTAAAAACCCTAAAATGTTCGGACTTTTTTCAGTTTTTCGCTCCTATATCTCGTAAACTAAATAATTTTCAGCACCTTTTTTGAAAATTAAAAAAATTGGGGGAGAGGGAAACACACGTTCTACCCTTCATGGTATTCTAGTGAAAGGTCTCGTCGAAATAATGAATTGGTATGTACAAAGTATAACCTTCCCGCGCGACTCTTTCGAGATCAGTGGGTGACGGGGCCTGAGAAGGGGAGGAATTAATTTTATCTTTCATGGTATTCTAATTAAAGGTCTCCGTTTTTACCTACTGTCCTTCTTTCTGACTCCTTATCAAAAGAGGAGGTTGGATGGGGGGGGGGGGTTCCTTCATGGTACTCTAATGAAAAGTCTCAACGAAACGAATTAATTTCTACCAAACATAGTCCTCCTTCTTGACCCCTTTTCGTGATCGGATATATTCCCTTAGCTCCAGAGCGGATCTGATCATAAGAAACAGATGTTTCTGATGAACAGGCCTGTTCTGATTATCCGAGTTGCTTCTGATTAACAGACCTGTTTCTCTGATCAGAAACAGACCTGTCTCAACAGATTTGTTTCTGATGAAGAGACCTGTTAGTTTAGACACCTCTTTTACACCTAACACCAATTTGCTGTTTAAATCTCACTCTGTTAAGTTGTTTAATAAATTACCTAGGTTGGCAGATATAAATTTCCATTCCCAAAATGATATCTTAGCGCTATTGGATTAAGTTTGAGTTTAGTGATTTTATATTCAGTTAGGATTTATTAGGTTTTCTTTTTCTTTGTTATTTCAAGGTACATTTGTGTAAAGATTTATTTTGTTTGTTTGTTTGTTATTGTCCTGTAAATGGATTCTTTTTTCTGTAGGACAATAAACTATTATTATTATTATTATTAGACAACAACCATGATGACCTTCAGAGGATTTTTAGTTTAGACAACAACCACGACGACCTTTAGTGATTTGATTCATGGAATTGGCGTAAATTTGACCCGGACCAACTGCCGAAATTAGACGACAGGCGGCATACAAGTTAATACGGCCCCCAAAATTTTCCCACACGCACAAGGGCCCCAATACCTACTTTTGTGGAAAGCGTTTAGCCGACTTCAGAACTTCCACATTTTTCCAGAACGTTCTGGAACCTTCCAATATGATTTACTAGAGTCTTTTTCCTTAAGATCCTCCCACCTTTCCAGATTTTTTTAGACCATAAGTCTAATGTTGAGTCACTGAGGCCATGCTAGTTTTACTATAATTTGTATTTTTTTTACTGGCACAGTTAACTTGGTCTCTGGTTATATTATGTACATCCCTCCACCGGTGGGGGACGCTTTTATTTTTTTTAATAATGTGCAAAAAAAAGTCACATGAAAATATTCCAGCTCGTCAGATATTGATAGTGTATATGCCCCACGCGTCTCTGATATTGGCGGTACTTACATATGTTAATCTTACGGTTTGCATGGTGGGGGAAACTGTAATTAAGAAAGGTATAAAATGGGATTTATTTGAGCACGTTAGACAGAGTGGCACGTATAATTTGACGTACACGAGCGCCTATGATCTCAGCCAACGACATATAGGTATATGCTTCAACTGCTGAACGCACTGGACTTTATGGACGCATTGTTCCACTTTGGCGTGTGGAAATTGGCGGATTATGTTACTTCCGTTAGTCTTGAACTCAATCCAACGGCGTCGAGAATCTCAAGGTTGTAACGCTCCCTCTCGCCACGCTAAAATCGTGAGATTGTTGAAATGCAAACCTTTCAACACGTAGTCAACCCACCTTACTTTAATCTGACGCGGTATCCCTTAATATTTTTGGAGCTGTTCGGGAGACTAGAAGGTGATTTACGAAGCAGTGGCGTATTTACGGGGGGGGGGGGATTAAGGGGATATATCCCCCCCAGAAGAATTGAGTTACCATCATAGCTATTAGGAATTTAAGTTCAGAAGCCGGAAACCGCCACTTTGATCCAAGGAGCACCACTCAACCTCCAAGTTTCGGGAAAGTAGACATACCTTGTGTCTCGTTTCTACTGTAATTTGGATCATTTCAAAAGAATTATTTATTTACATTTGCCAAATTTTGTAAAATTACAATGATCTTTTCGACAGCATCAAAACAATTTACATCATGACTGCAAGAGTGAATGAGTGCAATTAGGTGAGAGTATATATCGACAACATTCGTTGGTGGAGTATGTAACAAACCACCTTCCATCATGGGCCAAGGAGCTCTGTCTGAGAGAAGCAACTACAAGTGAATCGATTAAATGTGACACCTGAAAATGTCTCTAATTACCTTGCAAATGGCGTAATAATTATGATCGCTTATTGAACTGTTGCATATTGCACTTTCAGAAAATGCGAAACCGTCGGCATCGTCAAACCGCTCGGAGATGTGCAGATTTAAATCTACAAATCAAAACTAAGTCGGAAACAAATTTCATTCACATACTTGCATTGTGTTTGCCGGTAACGATGACGTTTTCTAGATCAACAAACGTGACTTGTAAATTGTCGCTCACAGCAATGTTATCCGGCGAGACATCGGTGAGATAAAACCTAAAATTGGGGTGTCGACCGGTGAAGCGTTTTGCTGCGTTTAATAGTTGCAGAGTCAATTCGGCACGTACATGCCAATCTGCATTTTTAAACGCATTTAACGCGACCCCACAATGCGACTCAACAAGACACCGGCCATACATGCCGAAATATCGAGGAACTGGCCAAGCGTGTTCGGCCTTGAGCACCTGTAGAAGTAGAGGTTCGGCATTGACTCGCAAAATGCTGTGCCAATACATTGCCATTGTCGAATTTTCCATGGAGATTAAACCGAGGAAGTCTGCAAGCAAACTTGGGGGGCAAATTTGAAAGTTAGTGTTCGTTTCACTGTAAAGATCACTGCTTAAATCACCTCGGAGTTTTTTAACCACCACCTTTTGATTATTAAATGACCCGTAAAAAACATATTTTACACTAAAGTAATTAGAAAAGAGCTCTACAAATGAATTTGACTGTAGACTAATGTAATCGAAATCGGTCTCACAAATCGTGGGCAGGTTTACTTTAAAAAAATTGTATAGAAAGAGACTTAAAATAATCGGAATTATAAAGTATTTCATTGTCTTTTATCACAAACCGCTTTTGACACCTTGCTGTAAAGCCTTCTGGCGATATACATATAACTCTTTAACCCACTTCTCCGTACGAGCTTCCTCACTAAGGAACAGCTAAAAATCGACTTATTAGTAGTCGACTAGACACCGTCGGATCTTACATTATGGTGAAAAATACTATCTGGTTCGACCGGCTCTAATTCGGGTACAGTAATGGTTTGCTTCTTCAAATCGATGACAATAGTGTTCGGCAGCTTCTTCTTGGACGAAAACGACTTCTGTTCGAATGAATCCGTGTTAATCGCATCTAAAACCTCGCGATCCATGGGCGGTATATCGAAATCCTGCTTCTCGTCGATCTTCAGCTTGACATTACCTTTGGAATTCTTCTTGGCATCACTGCTCGAAACGGAGTTTGATGTGGAACTCGACGAGCTCGAACTTCGTTTCTTGCTGACGTACTCCCGAATATAATCCTTGGATTTGGATCGTCTGTGACGACCTCTCGAACGTGATCGCCGGCTGTCTCGATGCTTTAGCTTGGATTTGTAACTTTTATAGCGCGAACCACTCCTAGACCGCCTGTAAATCGTAGATTAAACACTTTCCCTCGTTAAACGACACGTACCTTGACCTGTACGATCGATCCCTGCTAGACGTTCTAGAAACGTTTCTCTTATATCTACTTCGAGAGCTACCGGACTCAGAGGAGCTAGATCTATTAAGGCTTACGTTAGGTAGAACCGAATTGATAGGAGGACTAGTTTATAATCGACACAGCATGATTTTCTTACCTTCGTTTATTGTTACTATGACGTGATCGTCTATTCCTACGCTTTTCGGAGTCTGAGTCATTCGACAACTTACCCATTAAATGGATTATAAGTTTTCACGGAGGTAAGGTAATTTCTTGCTTTCGATTAGTTTAAATCAAACAAAAATTAAGCGATACATAACCTACAATGTGACACATGAGGACACGGAGATACAGTCAGTCGAACAAGAGTGTCTCTTGCACCTATCAGTGATGTGCATACTTTCGTGTATTGTTGGCTGCCTATTATACAAAAGGAAAGGTAGAAAAAACGCACACCAACTAGAATTGTCCATCCTTTACACCACTCAAACCACCAACGCACCCGAAAATAATTTGAGAACGCTGCGACAACTCCACAATTACAATATTTGTAACCGCAAGTTTGATTTTGGCAGAGGCCGAAAATTTCTGTTGCGTCACTAATGCTATATCCTGTATGACACACCTCCAATTAATCCTTAGCACGACCTTCTATTCTATGAATGAATCCTAACCTCACAATTTCTCCATACTTTGTTTTTTTCAGGCTTGTTTACAATGTCGACATTCTCCTCAACTTCTGTAGAATTAAGCTCATACCGTGACCAACATTTTAAGGTACGCCCTTCGAGTTTAATCCAACATAAAGTCACACTTTCCAGGGTACTCGAACGGAACAAGACAAACTGCTACGACTTTCGACAACTCTGTATGTCGGCAACCTCTCATTCTACACCACCGAAGAACAAATCTACGAGCTATTCTCGCGCTGCGGCGACATTCGCCGGGTCATTATGGGCCTTGACAAATACAAGAAAACCCCTTGCGGATTCTGCTTTGTCGAATATTATAATCGGAGCGACGCCGAAAATTGTCTGAGGTACATTAACGGTACACGATTAGATGATAGGATCGTGCGTACGGATTGGGATGCCGGGTTTATAGAGGGTCGACAGTACGGACGTGGAAAAACTGGAGGACAGGTATGATTGTTTGCAGATTTACGCCGTACTTACATTATTTCGGTAGGTCCGTGATGAGTATCGTACCGATTTTGACTCGGGCAGGGGGGGATACGGCAAAATTGTGCAGCAGAAGTTAGGCGGCTCTGATGGACCATTTGGAAGATAATGATTTTTGTTTTTGTATAAAATTTAAATAATTAAGAAAGAACTGTTTATTTTTAGAATACGTAATAAATATATATTAATCGTAAACTGTCTCTTTTTTGAACGTTGTGAGTGTAGGGACTTTTAGGCGCTTTCGAGAAGTTTATAGGCTCACCAAGCTTTGGAAAGTGTAAGGAAGTAGCTCTAAACCGCCTAACAACTTAACAAGTTCAGAAGCCAGCTGTAAAGGCCTTCCAGAGACGCCTGGGAGCTCGTCAAATCATTTTGATATAACAGAAAAGACTGGAGATGAGCCTTTGTACTTTACAAACAAGATTTAAAGATTCTACATTTGAAGAAGAAAGATTGCATGTTTCTTTCAACTCTATGTAGGTACCTACATAAAATCTTTATGTACTGGGGGCATTACAAAACGTTCAGCACTAAAGACTCTTATGGTATGAAATCCCCTCCCCAATAAATGAAGGTTCTATGGTCCTTTCTTGAAAACTGCAATAGTACTGAGAAGGGCCTAAGCGCTTTGGTGGAAAGCATCAAAGTGGGCGAGATAGGATATAGTGCTTAAAAACAAACGGTTTTCAAGAGAATGTAACAGCAGGGAGTCCAAGAGGGGGGGGGGGGAATACGTCACGGGAACAAACCAGGAAAGGACAACAATATTACTTTACATTCCCATAAGATTTTTGTACACTAGAAGATAGGTATCATTCAAACTACAAAATGTACAATCACCAACTGGACCACTTCCATAAACAGTTCGACAGAACCAATGCCCATGAAACCCTCACCATATCCACAACGGCAACGAGTTGGAGGATAGTGTGGGACGCCATCTTACGCATCTGCGGCTGACATATCTATCGCCAACCAATGTTCCATGGATCAAAAGAGTGTACAATCGAGGACCTTCGTACCATACTCAAAGCGTCGTTGATAGCCAGGAACAATACGATACGCGACGACCTCGAGGTAACCACCGTAAAGGAACACATACACTCGCTGAGGCGAGAAGATCTTCGACGGCATAGACACCTTCACCATATTCCTCACAACAGGAGAATTGCATAAGAACACAAGAAAGACACAAAAACGCCCCAGGAGGATGCTGGAGCGATAGAAAATAAAGAAAACAAAAGAAGGGAAAAATGTTTTCGCTAACTTGAGCGCATTTTCCATGTCCATGAATTGATCCGTTGTTCCCCAAAGGGCATGTAACGGCCTATTTATGTGTCAAGGGGAAAATAAGTTATGGTATATTATTTCAAATAAGAAACTTAGCATTACAGTCTGCGCATGCGCACATTTCATGTTTAAAATATGCGATATGTTTGCCTTTACCAGAAGAATCTTTGGTTAAAATTCCAAAGAAATATCTCTACAAATGAGAAAGTTAATGAAATTGATTTAGGTACTCCACAAAGAAAGTTGATATTATACGAACATCTGATTTTAACAATCTGTGATATGCTTGTCTTTACTAGAAGCATCTCTGGTTAAAATTTAAAAAACTATCTCTATAAATAAGAAAGTTAACATTACGCAGGCTGCGCATGCGCACATTAATCGTCACGGTTTTCCTTGGTTGTGGTGCAAGAGCTATAAGCTACCGAATGCAAAAAGAACGAACTAAGTATCTTGAAAACTGTAGGAGTAGTAAAGGCCTCGGACGGATAAAGTGGCCATAATAGCGCCTCCCAACATGAGTTGGAAAATGCTCTAAAAAGGAAGTGATAAATTTAGTATTTCATTCGCCTAATTTAATTCCTAAAAATTTAAATAAAACTTAAGTTACGGAAGAAAGCTAAGAGTAGAAATGTTTGTTAAATAGGTCGGAGCCCAGTCAACTTTGGGTACCAGTCTAGTCTATAACTTTTTTTTGAGAAGTATGAATCGTTTTGGATTCTACGCACCAAAATTAATAAGAAAAAGTGTTTTCCCGAGAAATTTTGGTGTAGTCGATTTTTGGTAGAAAAGGAAGGTTGTACCCTGCCTTTTTTTTGGCCTGAAAAAAAATTGTCTCAGATCGAACGGAAAAAAATATTTTCTTATAGAATGTGCCCTGTAGAATCCATAATTTGAAACAGTTCCAAGATCGGACTACTAGATCAAAAGTTACAGCCCTTTGAATTTTTTGTCGAAATTGGTTTTTAGCCGTACCACTGCTCTAGCCGAGGAAGAGATCCTGGGTGATCTATGGTTAAAGCAAGATGGCGCTACAGCTCACACGGCTCTAGTCTATATCCATGTTTTGAGAAAAATGCCACATTGAGAGATCAGAGTTCAAGGAATTCATGCCATTCCCATCGCAGTTTGCCGTTGGGCAGTGGAAAACTTATCAGAGAACGTCTTCAACAATGTATTGACGCGAACGGGTGATATAATTTTATACTATTTTATGATAAAAATACAAAACCTTTTTAGTATCTGATTCCATTAGTTTTTTTTAATAACTTTTCAAAATCTTAAGTGCCCCACCCTGTGCATTGAGTAGGTTTCATATACGATTATAATTATAACATTCAATTCTGACAGCCAGGCCCGTTGATGATGTCACATTAGCGTGGGGATATAACATTCTTGGGTTTAACCATTTGCCTTAGAGGATTGTTTCGCCTCACCCCCATTTACTAAAATGTATTCTCTTACATCAAAGGCGATATCATTAAAGAATAACCATTAAAGATTGATTGTTTACCCTTTCCCCTCACCCCTGAGACCCCAGAAGACAGTTAGTAGCCGATGCGCAGCCGAGGATTACATAACAAAAACCACGCCCAATTTAATTAACCAAAAGAAGTGCATTTGTAAAATCCGTTACATCTAGCACACTTGTTTTAGCAATAGAATTAAATTCCAAAGAACCAGCTATGTGCAGGGCAGAATTACTAGTTATCATCAAGTCAAGTTAATGCATGCAAATGAAAAGAATTACCTTGTAGTGAAGTGTGGTGATGTTGACAACTTGCTGTCATTTCCATTCTTCTTAGTTTAGTTTTTGGGTTCCTTTTACACTGTTTTTGTACATTTATCTGGCTCGCTTGGCATAGTTGAATTTCTAAGCCTACTCGGCTATTTTTGCTACCACAATCATCCTGAAATACCTGTTCAGAAGATAATGATGTTCACACTTAAGTAAAGTTATAATTAAGACATATCTGTTTATTTGTGGCTTACATCGTAGATACCAAACAATAACTTGGCGCGGAAGCGTTTTAAAACTAGATTAAAAGAATGTTTGCTAGGGGTGAGAAATGGCGAGCTCGGGCAGCACCATTTCTCACCCGATACAGCATCAGGTGTTTTTGTTTCGTTTCTGCTTGTCTCTGGTGTGCAACAGGGAGTCTACACTGCCGTAGCTATAATCGTTGTTAGGTGTTAGCGGCGTTGTTAACGAGCTGATATGGTCGGATGTGCCGTTAAGGTACGGCTGTGAGTAATTATTTACATTGAGTTTAGTTTTTAATTTGCTATGTTCGCCCTGTAAATTAGTAAAGGCAAACTCCTCCTGTCAAATGATTTTATAATAATCGTTGAAATTCAATCGGACACTTAATAACTGTAAGTTTTGATCGGAACTGACCGCCAAAAGATTGAGATACTTTTGAACAAATTGCTTATACTTGTAAGCTATTTGTTTAATTTGATGCTTAATTACGTTTAGGCTATTGTGGAATTTGCTAATTCTAAGTTTGTCCTCCTTTTCTCGCTCGCGTGTCAGCGAGAATTTGCCGGCTCGTTGCAATTTCTCGCGTTCTCTCTCGACGGCACAGAGCACTTTGTGCTCCTCCAGCGCCACCTTGTACAAAGTTTCTTGTGTTGACTCGAGGTGTAAGATGAGGTTGTATATAATTCGCAATTGCGCGCACATTTCCTGTCGAAAAACGTGAGTCAAAATGCTTCGGGAAATTCTTATACATACCGAAAACCCCCTCTCGTTTACTTCCAAGCCGGAGTCCAAGAGAACACCGCACTGTACCGAGCTTAAAAATGTTGTGTGAGCATTTATGACGTCGTCCAGGCATTCCGCTTGGTTGACCTGTCGCATCATTTCGGCCCACGAGCACTCGAGCACCTCGAAGAGAAAGTAGTATTGCGTTTGATGTAAAAAGTGTATCATGGCACTCGACAAAATGTGTATTTGGTGAAGGATCGGCTGTAACACCTTCATCTTGCGGAACTGTTTGGCACTAGTGATCTGCTGCTTGCGCATATTCGAAAGGACGTATTCCATTCTTTTCGCCTTCCATAAGGATCCGAATAGGCTTCGGTACTCGGACATAGCCGGCTCGAATATAGTCCCGACAGGACCGTCGACGATGTAGACCAAAGTGAACACGTCCCAACCGGTGTCGCCATGTGACGAATGCAAAAATTCTACGACGAGTCTTTTTAATATGTCTTCATCTTCGTATTGTGCATTTGTAACACGTATTGCCGATTCCAAGATTGCTGACAATGTGTGTACGTATAGGTGTTGAGCGGGTTTACCCAGTTCGGGTCTAAAAGTAATAAGGTAAGCTTATTAGAATATACAGGGTTAAGTATATGTCAAAAAAATTGGGTGGGAGAGAAAATCAAAACAATCATTTTTTTAAAATAAACTGAAGTTCAAAAATGGATCGTTTGGGAACTACTTTAGATTTGTCTGTTTGTCACTCCTAGTGGCAGAATTTAGTACTACAACAATAAGTGAATGAAACTTGAAGTATAAGATGGCACCTCAATCAATTGTATAATACAGTGTGGTCACAATTGAGTTTAAACTCCTCCCACTCGCCATGTTGTGAAAAAATCAAACAAAGAGGTTATGTAAATTAATTAATGTAGATTAAACATATACATTAAATTACCACTGTACTTTAATAATTGAAGATATTGAAGTTTGTCACATCATGGCTACCCAGATCTGGGTACTGCTCGCGAGCGTTTCGCTCGAAAAAGCGCTCCAAGTGGAAAAAGCGCTTGCGAGCACTTTTCGGAGCAGCCGCTTGGTGCTCGGCGCTCAAGCGCTTTTTCCGCCCTCAAGCGCTGAAGGATTAAGCGCCGCTCGCGAGCGCTTTTTCCGCTCACGAGCACTTTTCCCGAACGCTCATGATACACCGTTCGAGCACTTTTAGGAATGCTCAGAACTCGCAAGCGATTTCGCTTTGCAAAACAACTCGATGCTCGCGAGCATTTTTGAGACAATTAAGACAATATTATTATTATTATTAATTTGTGTAGGAGGTAAGAGAGGGGGATTAGAGTATACCGCCAATTCACTTTACTGCATTTCAACTTTCTTTAAGTTAAAGAAAGAGCAATGAAACTGCTAGAATTCTAATTTGCATACAGAGGGGAGGGAATTATAATTTTAACGTATAATATGCATTTGGAGGAAGCCGCCCAGAAACCATGACATTACACAAATAAATTCGGCTCCATCTCCCTCAGTGATACTTTCGCCCGGGAAATTTGTTTGAAATAACAACTTTAAAAAAAGGGGGCCATACATAGTTCTAATTCTAAATTGTGTAGAGAGGGCAAGAGGTGAGTAGTAGAGGCGCTGGTGTAATTTACAAATGGCAAGTGTAGGGGGGAGCGGTTTGTAAACATTATTGGGGTATTCTAGCATGATTTTAAGTGAAATTCTACTCATTTTAAAGTGGATTACCATTTTTGAGGTTTGAAAATATAACCTCTTAATCGTATCCTACCTTAAGAACTCGAGGTTATCTTGAATTAGCTTAAACACGCAATTAACTTAATTAAATTACAGATCAGAATGTATCATTCAATTTCCAGCGCACTCATACAACTGTACACCAACTCGCCGACATTCCCTTACGGCGATTATGCGAGACGCACATTGAGATGCCTTGATGCTAGTGGGTATTTCGACGCGATATTTAAAAAAAAATCGTTTCGTAGATAATTGGAAACAAGTGAAAACCGCCATTTTTAAAAAGTTCAAATATTTTAGTAACAATCAAATCAATGGGGGTAGAAAAAAAAATTTCAAAATGGCGGTTTTCAAGATATTGATATCGACTCCTTTATTTTAAATTGACACCACATTGGATTTTTACGTCACTCAATAAACAAATGAATTTCTTATGAGACAATAAACGAACGAATTTGGTTTCAATCACGATCAGCCATGGAATTATTGTCAAAAGAAATACATTGTAAACTTCGAGGCAAAAATGCAAAATTGAGTCCCAATGAAATACTACCTATGTGTTTAGTTTCACTGGTTTTGTAAATATCGAGTGACGTAAAAATCCAATATGGCGTCCATTTATAAGGAAGTTGACAATATCTCGAAAAACGCCATTTTGAAAATTGAATTTATCAGCCCTTTGAATTTTTTGTCGAAATTGGTTTCTAGTCTATAACTTTTTTTTGAGAAGTCTAATCGAAAAAGTACGAATCGTTTTGGATTCTACGCACCCAAATGAATAAGAAAAAGTATTTTCCCGAGAAATTTTGGTGTAGTCGATTTTTGGTAAAAAAAGAAGGTTATACACTGTCTTTTTTTGAGCGCCGAAGAAAAAATTGTCTCAGATCGACCCGGGAAAAAAATTTTCTTATAGAATGTGGCCTGTAGAATCAATAATTTCAAACAGTTCCAAGATCGGCCTACTAGATCAAAAGTTACAGCCCTTTGAATTTTTTGTCGAAATTGGTTTCTAGTATATAACTTTTTTTTGAGAAATCTAATCGAAAAAGTACGAATCGTTTGGGATTCTACGCACCAAAATTAATAAGAAAGTGTTTTCCCGAGAAATTTTGGTGTAGTCGATTTTTGGTAAAAAAAAGGAAGGTTTATACCCTGCCTTTTTTTGAGCCCCGAAGAAAAAATTGTCTCAGATCGACCCGGAAAAAAATTTTCTTATAGAATGTGGCCTGTAGAATCCATAATTTCAAACAGTTCCAAGATTGGGCTACTAGTTCAAAAGTTACAGCCCTTTGAATTTTTTTTCGAAATTGGTTTCTAGTCTAGAATTTTTGATTGAGAAGTCTGATCGAAAAAGTACGAATTGTTTTGGATTCTACGCACCAAAATTAATAAGAAAAAGTGTTTTCCCGAGAAATTTTGGTGTAGCCGATTTTTGGTAAAAAAGGAAGGTTATACACTGCCTTTTTTTGAGCCCCGAAGAAAAAATTGTCTCAGATCGACCCGGAAAAAAAATTTTCTTATAGAATGTGGCCTGTAGAATCAATAATTTCAAACAGTTCCAAGATTGGGCTACTAGTTCAAAAGTTACAGCCCTTTAAATTTTTTGTCGAAATTGGTTTCTAGTCTATAACTTTTGATTGAGAAGTCTGATCGAAAAAGTACGAATCGTTTTGGATTCTACGCACCAAAATTAATAAGAAAAAGTGTCTTCCCGAGAAATTTTGGTGTAGTCGATTTTTGGTAAAAAAGGAAGGTTTTGTAAATATCGAGTGACGTAAAAATCCAATATGGCGTCCATTTATAAGGAAGTTGACAATATCTCGAAAAACGCCATTTTGAAAATTGAATTTATCCCATTCAATCTTGCAACTTTTATTTGAAACTTTTTTCGATGCTTCTATGTTACTAAAATATTTGAAGTGTTTAAAAATGGCGATTTTCACTTTTTTCCAAATATTATCATACATCAAAGATAACCATGTTGTCCTACTCAATTTAAGACACCCTGTAGGTGTAGGTATCTCTTATTTTTCGTTTTGGAATTGCACTGTTCACAATTGAAGACTGAAGAAATATCATGAGTTAGATGACAATTTGTAAAATTATCCTTATTGTCGGTTGCATAATTGCACTGACCACATTTAACATTTTTGAAAGTACCGTGGTAAAATGTGACGTTTTAAACTATCCTTGCTCTTTATGCAGCCGTAAACACTACAATATTGATTACTTTTGACCATTGTAAATAAACAAAATGGCGTTCTTCTCCCTTATTAATTACAATGATTTTTCAACAATAGTGCATCTACTAGGTTACTGCAAAGGTTTGCACTAAACATTAGAATTACGTCACTAGTTTGTGGCCCAATTTTGCTTAAATTTAAATATTGCCCACTCAAAGAATGATTTGTAATTTCCTTTCACATTACTGACCGTGTACAAAGCGTGCCAAAGTAGATGCTTTCATTTTACTAACCACTTTCTTCTGGGCTCAAATGATGTAGTAAAGTCACTGGTTCAAAGGGAGTTTTTTCTTTGTTTTTCACAATAAATTATTATTATTATTATTACATCTTATAATTTTACACTTTCCCGTTTATTATGCTTATAAATGTTATACCTTTGTTGCATTACTAGTGACATTGTCAAAACAGTATAATAAATAATTATAGCATGGGGTGTACCGCGTCGTTTTGGAGGCTTTCTATTGGCCAGTTTGGAATTTAGCTCCAATATGGTGACCGGAACCAACGAAATGCAATTGTTTTAATAATAATAATAATAAGCTTCCCCACAAAAATTGAGTCAGAGCTTCCCTAAGAAAGCACCTACTTTGGCCGATGCTGTAAATGTAACAAATACATACGCAAGAAGCTCCAATAGATGTCGAATAAAATCTCCTTGTCCTAACAATAAATATCTCCGTAACGCTTGCAAATGTTCCAAAAGCCTATACTTGTCTTTCAGCATGCATAGAACCCGATGCGAAGTCTCCTTGTATACGTTCTCCAAACTTATATGCAAATCAATACTTTTATCTGGAATGAAAAGCGAATCGGCCGACGTCGCCGAGAACAGCTTCTGTATGGCCTCCCTTCCCGGAAGCTGATTGGAATCCTTGCAAATTTGCCTTAGAAAGTTAATATTTTTACCAGTCGCCAGAATCTTTTTCGCTTGATCTGTGCTGATAAACGATGGCACCATGGAGGTTCTAAAAATTTACCGTGAACGACTGAAACAAGTGCTACGGTGAGACTAACTTCACATTATACTTATCGTACCAGAACCGTTCGGCGCTACTTATATTTCTAGCTTCAATGAAGAACTCATTGTGAGGATCGCTTATCACGCCGTCCAGTAACCAGTGCGACATCATGATGTATAGCGGCCGACAGACTGCCAGTAAAATTTTTGCGGATATCTACGGGTGAATTGATTAACTGATCGATACCGTAAAACAGAAGAGTACCTTCTGCACAGACATCGCTCCGTGCTGTAGAAAGCTGTGTATTGCGCTAATTAACACGCCCCCTTTCTTATTAGAGCACTGCTCGGCTATATAAACGAGCCACTGCAATCGATTGTTCGGTTCCGCTATCCACACAAGGATTCGCCTTAGTGTTAACTCAGTGTCGGTCTTTTTTAACTGTTAAGGGGATAACTTGAGCGGGTCGCGTTCGCGCAAATTAAGACTCACCTGCGCCTGCAAGATCGCCAACGTTTTGTAATACTCGGAAAGTTCCTCTCTGAACGTCGCAATTAGCGATTGGGCGATAACGCCTATCTGCTTATCGGCATCTTCGCAGTGCTGCTTCAGCTGGTTGTGTAAGAAACCGACGCACGCTATCCTCTCGATTAGGGAGATTTGAATTATGTTTAGGGATTTGCTCGATTTTGAGTCGATTACGAAACCGCATCCTCCCGGTTCCTTCTTTAAGACTCGCCCTTCGATGCCTTGCAGTGAGTAAATTACTTCTTGCATTAATTCCATTTCTTTCATGTTGTTGTACGCTAATGAACAAGTGCTTTAATTGCAACATATTAGTGGAAGATTATAGGTCCCCCCTCCCCCAATTTAAAAAATGACAACAACATCCATCCTTTCAAACTGTCAGTTTCTCACTTTGCCGATATAAGAATCGTTTATTGTATGAATGCGGCCTTCTTAAGACACATAGTCACTTAGAGACTGGTGGCCATAAACCACGCCCTCCACTAACAATGTTGAGTCATGCGCAAAAGTCAGCGAATCATTTCCACGGCGGAAATGGAGACTCACTTGAGTTTACTTTCACTGGATCATCGGATCAGATTCTCGGGGCAACTTGGATCTTAGCTCCGAAAACACAGATAAACAAACAATGGGTAAATTCTCAAAGGTGGTGGAGATAATAGGAGGAAAGTACTCAATAAAAGTATTGAGATAAAAGGCACCACCCCAGGCATATGTAGCTTGAAAGCGGACGAAATTTATATCTCAGTCTTAAGCTCAAATTTGAAATATATGTAACACTGAAGGTCTTACATCTTTGGTCATGTCAATGGAATCTACAGGGTGTTGTTTTTTCACGTCATTTTCTACCCACGAACTTTTTTTTGGTACGTCACTGGTAGATTGCACACTACATGGCATTATATGGAAATGTTGGGCAATATCAATGTACCCATATACAGTCTGTTTCAAATTAAGTCGGCACTATATTGCTAACTTTCGTAGAAGTCGAGTTAAAAAGAGGTTAAATTACCAAAATTGTGTCTAAATCTGTAATTTAAAAAAAAAACAAAACAACATTGTATTTTACAGATACAGTGCAATCTTGATAATCCGGTCGTCCCTTAATCCGGCACGTTCGGTAATCCGGCGTCTCTGGGACGAATACAAGGTGTCATTTTTGCTACACAAGAAACCAAAAAAATTAATGATTATTTTTCCTAGTGTGTAAAATTATGTATTTGTGGTTTTTGTATTTCTTTGTATACAGGGTGTTACACGACCGTTCGAAAAAAAAAAATCGGGTTGTAGAGGGCATCAAAACAAGCACTTTTTCCAAATAAACCGAGGGTCCAACGTGTTTCGTTTGGGAGCCACCCCCCAAAGAGTGTTGAAATCTGCATTTCTTCTTTAATTTTTTTCTCAGCAACCATAAGAGTTACAAAGTCGGGTGGCATGTCTTTGAATAGGTTTTTGGGTATGCTCTTTCCGATTTTGCAATTTTTTTTTCAAAATTCCTACCCCTAAAGGGCGCACCCCTAAACTAGGGTGCAAAAAAAAATTCTGATTTCGACGAAATTTGGTATCTGGGTTTTTTTTAACATGAAAATCACGAATTTGAAATTAGTTTTTGAAAATTCGAAAAAAAAAGTTCCACTGCAATTCTTGGCGGGACAACGAAAATAGAGATAATTCCACGAAATTTGTTGTGTACATACTAAACGAGTTAAGGAACAAAACTGTCGAACAGTTTTTTAAAATAACTTTTCAAACAAAAGTTATACTCATTTGAATGTTGGTCCTTCGGGTCGCGAAGTGTCCCAAGCCTACTAGTAAGCCAGGAGCGTGTTCTTTTGGAAGTTATTTTTCAACCTAAGATTATGAAAATTTTTGATCATAGTGAAAAAGTATCATACGGAAAGTGATTTGACTTTTTCCCCTACCTTATTTAGATAATAAATAATCGATCAGCGCTTTAAGATACCTTGGTAGGTGTTTTAATCGATACATCGAATTTTTTAATCATTTAATGACCGAATTAATTCCAAATAACAAAATATCGACTCAAACCGTTAATCTTTTGTTTTTGCGACATTGTCAACCAACACATGCGAAATTATGGCTTACTAGTAGGCTTGGGACACTTCGCGACCCGAAGGACCAACATTCAAATGAGTATAACTTTTGTTTGAAAAGTTATTTTAAAAAACTGTTCGACAGTTTTGTTCCTTAACTCGTTTAGTATGTACACAACAAATTTCGTGGAATTATCTCTATTTTCGTTGTCCCGCCAAGAATTGCAGTGGAACTTTTTTTTTCGAATTTTCAAAAACTAATTTCAGATTCGTGATTTTCATGTTAAAAAAACCCCAGATACCAAATTTCGTCGAAATCAGAATTTTTTTTTGCACCCTAGTTTAGGGGTGCGCCCTTTAGGGGTAGGAATTTTGAAAAAAAAATTGCAAAATCGGAAAGAGCATACCCAAAAACCTATTCAAAGACATGCCACCCGACTTTGTAACTCTTATGGTTGCTGAGAAAAAAATTAAAGAAGAAATGCAGATTTCAACACTCTTTGGGGGGTGGCTCCCAAACGAAACACGTTGGACCCTCGGTTTATTTGGAAAAAGTGCTTGTTTTGATGCCCTCTACAACCCGATTTTTTTTTTTCGAACGGTCGTGTAACACCCTGTATATTTTCATGGTATGCACATATATTCATAGTCAAATTGGTGTTTTTTCTCTATTACTCTCGGATTATCAACCGGATTATTTGTGTCAGATTATCAAGATTCTACTGTAATTACAAATATGTTACTTTTTCATAGAGAACACCCTGTATATATTGCATTATGAGAACTTATAAAATTCTCTACATTTCTTAATGCACCATAGCCAAAATATTCCAAATAATTGAGATTTTTCAATGGTGCATTAAGAACTTCTGTAGAGAATTTTATAAGCTGTCATATGATGTAATGGTATACAGGGTGTTCCATATAAAAAGTCGCATATTTGCTCTTATCTGAAAAATGCGATGTTGTTTTTTTTAATTAAGAAGATTTGGATTCAATAGAAAAATAACATAATTTTGGTAATTTAACTGTCTTCCTAACTCTAAATTATTGCCATTGGCAATAGTGCGGACTTAATTTGAAACAGACTACAAAATCGGGTCATCATAGCTTTAACTTTTACACGCAGTGGCGAATAGACTGTCAAAATCAATTAAACAGGTCTAGCAGGCCCTGACTTTAATTAAATAATAAGTCAATTAAAATGACGGCCATTTTAATAATAATACTAAAGGTCTTTATTGTCTTATCCCGTTGCACTATGACATAAAAGATAATTAATACATAAAATAAAAAATAAATAGGACAAAGATAGTCTTAAAGCGCAGTTACAAAATTTTACTTTCATTTAGTTACCTACCGAAACTTGTTTTTTTTTTCTCGATAACAGTTGGAAATACGCAAAAATACAAGAGAACAAAATGTTTCCAAACAAATCAGAAAATCAAATTCTAATTTTATAATCTACCAGTGGCGCACCGAAAAAAATTCAAGGGCTGAAAACTGAATAAGACTCCTGAAAAAATGACACCTTGTAGATTCTCACTACCATTGACATGGTTTCAAAGTTGAATGAAATATCTCAAAATTTACACGAGGGCTATCCAGAAAGTAACAGACGTTTTGAAATAAAAAATTAAGAAAGTGTAAGAAACAACTTTATTTATACATTTGGAAGCGACACTCTTAGGCTATTTTTCAACATGGTCAACGTGGTATAAGTGTTTTGATTTCAACTTTGTATACATCCGCCGCCTGAGACTTTAACCACTGGTTAACGCAGGGTAAAAGTTTGGCATCACTGTCAATGTGCTGTGTTGCGGGAAGAGGTGAAAGTCGCTTGGCGCTAGATCCGAGATGTATGGAGGGTGATCCAAAATCATCCAAGAGCTGTCCAGTATGGTTGACTGTGTGAGGGCGGGCGTTGTCGTCGAACAACAAAACTTCCACCTCTTTCCAGCGATGAAGACCTGGTTCGCAACGCAGCGATTCGATAGGGACGCCGAACTTCATGTCGGCTTTACCCAGTGCAGGTTAAAATCTCAGGCGGCGGATTTATAAAAGTTGGAATCAAAACATTGTGATAAGTGCCTCAATTTAAATGGCGATTGTTTTGATATATAGCCCGAGAGTGTAGCTCTCAAATGTATGTAACAAGAGATTTTCTTTACAAGTTTACAATTATTTATTTCAAAACGTCTGCTACTTTCTGGACAACCCTCGTATTATCTAGTATTACTCCCAAGATCAATGCCGGCATTTTTTGTAATGTCATTTTCATTTTCAAGATCAATGCCCCATTTTTGTGCAATTCGGGTTCGCGTTCACGTGGCACGGGGTCGTCGATCTCCGATGACCTTAATACGAATGCCTTTGAGCTTCACCTTGACCTACTTCCAACGTCATCGCCACGTGGCACGCGACCATTCAACTATTTACCTATTTTTCAAGACTACCGCACAGTGGCCACCGCCCTTAAACCAGTCCAGGTCCACTAAACTAAAGAATTAGCCCCTTCCGCATTTACATCAAACTAGGAACACCCTGTATATAAATGTAAGAGTGGGCATTAAAATAAGGAAGCATCTCCAACCTCAAGAAACGCTACTGGTATCTACAGTTCAGATGGAATGTCTATTTTTTATGTGTTTAACTCTCAGTTTAAAAAAAAACCATCACACTCATTTACCACCAAACCAGTGGCGCCGCCAGGGGTAGGCCCTGACCCACTCGTAGTGTTGTTCGGCCCCCCTTGAAAAAATGATCCAACGCTCCCATGAACAGATTGCGAATTGCGCCTTGAATACGATTCGCGGATCGTTTCATTTTTTTCCCATTTCTCCAAATATTCAATTAATCACTTTTTTTTGGTAATATACAGGCTGTTTCAAATTGTTAACTTTGTTAGTAGAAGAGTTAGAAAGACTGTTAAATTACTAAAATTGTGTATTCATTTCTACTGAATCTGAATCTATAAGTAACTAAAAAAGGAAAACATCTCATTTTTCAGATAACTACAAAAAACTGACTCTTATTATGATGGAACATCCTGTATATTAGTACATTATATGACTGCTTATTAAATGAGCTACAAAATTTCTAAATGCAGTATATCAAAAGTACTTGAAATAACCAAAATTTTTCAATTATTTTAATTTTAATCTAGTTATCCATGGACCATGAAAATGATACAAATACATAATAGTATTTAAAATAATTGGAAATAGTGTGTATGGTAGGTGGTTAACAAAGCAAGAATGTAATATATAAAAATTATTACAATACAATTCCATTTGATTTTTTTTTAGGATTTTGGGGTCATAGTGTCAAAACTAGCTCCCTGGCGGAGAAGGATTCAACTAAATTAACTACATTCATTCTTATTGCCCAAGAAATGCTCTTTTCAACCATACCAAATTTGTTAAAATCGGTCAAACGGTTAAGAAGTTAAAGCAGGTTATTGCAAAAACAATTGAACGCCCCACACCATCTTTGTTTGTGAAATAACTGAGTTTTTGTTTTTACGGAAATGATAAATAAACTGGTTCTCTTTAAAAATGTGAAAAAAATTTTTTTAGTTTATTATGCGAAATTTAAAGAAAATTCAATTTTAAAATTTAAGATGGCGCCCTCTGTTGGTCATTTTTAGAACTTGATAATATTTTTCAGCGATTCTTCTTGAGCGATTTACCCAACAATTTTTTTTACCCCTTAAGTCATATGACATATGACGAACAGTTCTCGAGATATGGCCGAGCAACGGTCTTATTGGGTCACCTGGTACAATCATTCATGTAAACACAAACAGGATCCGATGTTGCCATTTAGGTATCTAAACTACTTTGATTAATAATGCATAATAAATAAATTTTTGTATTTGTAAATTGATTTGTCGATACTCGTACACAATACAAGTCTAGCGAATTATGACCCACCCTAAAACATATTGGTCCCAGGTTAGCCCACCCATTGAAATATTTCTGGCGGCGCCACTGCACCAAACAGTCTCACTGAGGATAGTGGAAACGCAGCATTTGCATGTGCTGAACTTCACCTCCGACTATGTAGTGATTAAAATAAAGCCATTTATTATAATTATTATGCTACACATGGTATTCAATATACTCCAAAGCGACAAACCTAATAACCTCCATATTTTTGGGCTACCCTATACATGAATTTGCCATTAAAAAATTTAAATCGACGGATCCAAGCGTTTTTTTCAAAGACGCACGCCCCCATTTAATTGTTATTGAGTTTATACATTATTTCTGGGACGTAGTGTATATGTAGTTTAGTCATCAGTTTAATCAGACTTAACAAAATCCTTTTTTTCGATTGTTTTATCTACAATCGAGTCTAAAATAAAAGAATTCTTTGATTTCCTAACGAATTCAGTGAGTATTGACAACGAAATGAACATATACTTCCGATATACATTTTGCACATTAAACTGAATGTCGTTTTTGAACGTATTTTTTAAGGAATTCCATATCATGAAACTAATATTAAGGGGGGTTGTGGTCAGACCACAAAGACTACTTACTGGTAGCAGTCGAGCACGAAGCAGCGGAAGACATCCGCTCCTTAAGTGTGATCTGAAACTGATATTCGCTACCGGTCGTTTGAATTTCGGCCGCCCCACCTAGCTGGGTACCCTAAAACGAAACTTCAACCGAGCTCACTAAAGCAATGTTACGTACGCTAGTATTCGTCGAGCTGGAAAAGTTTGCGCTCGGCGCGCAGTAAATCCTCTTCACCCCGTTGCTCGCATCATCCGGCAAGAAATCAAGCTCACTCGATCGACTTGTTTCGGGATACTTAATGTAATCGTTACACACACTGGATTGTTTATGTAGATTATACAAGAGCGATAATATGGCGGCACGGTTTCGCAACACTGACTATAAATGAAACAGTACACTTTGCTGTTCAGTTTAGGGCCGGTCCTCCTACCTCCTCATTAAATTATTCGCCGAATAGAGGTAGAAAAAGCAGCCCGTAGCGAGCACTTACACTTTTCTGCAGCTTAGCATAGAGAAGATCGAAATCGTGCTCCGCGGAAGGGTCGCAAACGGCCAGCATCTTCTTAATGTTATGCACGACGTGCTGCTCGTCTATCGACAAATTTGTGTTGACGGACGACAGGAATTGCGATGAGGTCTTGAATAATCTCGAAGAGAGTTCTGTAAGCTTCTGTGATCGAATTGTAAGTGAAGTAAATTGAGACCTACCTGGACTGCCCCGGGAGTAAAAATTGCATAGTTTATTAATAAGTGCGGATATTGTCGCACTTTCATTACCGGAGCGATTCATCCTTACATTTACTAATCAGAATATAAAAACGATCATAAAATTAAAAAAATTAAGCTTGTTAAAAATTAATTACAAAATTTAATTTCTGGTAGAATTTGACAGATTTAAAAATGTGTAAATATAAACAGCAAAATTGCACTGTAGCCAACATAACACTTAAAGGTTTTGCAGGTGGCGACACTGTATCGATGAAATACAGGGTGCTACAATGAAAGCGCAATTTCTGCAATCCCACATTCGAAGATTATACTTTAGAAAAACGTTTGGGCACTTATCGCGGCTTTTGTAGTAATTTAGTGACTGGTTTGGCTGTTGTTGTCTTCCCGGATTGCTTCAAAACTTACGTACAATTCCTTCTAGGCTCTAGGGGCCCTCCAGCCCGGTGCACGTTTTTATTGCTTCATATGCGTTTTTAAACTTTCTTCATTAAACAGTTATCTATAAGAAGTCGCACCCACCCCCTAAGTCTGTACAGATAATTCGCAAGTGATAATCATTCAGTTAGTGCACCATAAGTACACGTTTAAGTAAAATTCATTTTCATTGTTTCATACCATATTCTACCGCTAGGGATTTGTAGATAGCTATGAGAGCCTCATGTCTGGACTTTCCAACTTATTATATGTGGCCGCACCTAACCCTGGAAAAGTTCAGATGAGTTCCAACAGCACTATTTCAACAAGGTGGTCCAGAACACTCATACAGGTTTTCCAGAACTTTTTGTGCTCTTTCGATGGCATTTTGATATTTGTCAAAGGCGGTTTCATCTCAGAACTTCTTGGTCTATATCAGAGCTTTCTCTGAAGAGTACATATAAAGTCCCTGCACAGCACAAGAAAGGGCGAGATGTTTTAAGACAATGAAAAGATCGCCAGAGCATTTTAGGAGTCTCTCACAGCCTTTTTGAGTTTTTTAGTATTGGTCAGATGACTTTCTTTTCAGGACTTTTTGATCACTATCGAAAATTGTAAAAATAAGGAAATAAAATCAATCCGGCAACGTTTAAAAATGGCAACCGAAGTTCCCTCCAAATATGCCAACCAGAATATCCCGCTTAAATATGAAAACGAAAAGTGACATATGATGAATCCACCATAGGCATTATAAAGATTTTGGAAGCTCGGAAATTTAAGTTGAAATAAATCAAATTCCAACAATAAACTTTGAAAATGGTAATTCATCGAGTCAAATAAATATATTAAACTGTATAGCAAAATGAATTCTTTATGCGGGCTTCGAGAGGTGATTATTCAAGTTGGGTGCAGTTAAAAACAAGTTTAGCATACAGAAGCAACAAAAAAAAAGGGTGAAATACACAGGATGTGACTCATCTTTGGTGCAATAAATCCTACTGTTAAGCGCAAGATGGAAAATTGTATGACCTTGTAGGGCAAATTCAATGTTAACAACAAAATATGTGGCAATCAGTGAATTGCAACTCATATCGCACATAGATTTTAAACCAGAGTTTTGTGTTAGCAGAATCTTGCCCCCGAGATAGGTAACTCACCCCTTGTCTGGGGTATTTAATCCTACAGCTGAGAATCGACAACAATCCCAGCATTAGCTGTCATAACTAATGTGGTTACAGTTAATTACCAACCCCGTGACCGCCTCATTCATGGAGAAAATGTTAGTTTACAAACAAGTCAGTGCATACATCAAACAGTTCGATAACTTCCACGTTTAAAAGAATGGTGAACATTTAAAAATTTAATTTGGGGCTTGGGGCAAAGACTAAGTAATCAAAACATAAATTGAATAACATTTTCATTAAAAATGAAAAAAGATTTGAAACAATAAAGCTTAACGGTGTTTCCCATACACCTGATGCATTGAGGTTAAATCATGTCAACTTCAAAAACAAAGATGGAAAATTATACTCAAATATAAAATGTTGTATACAGAACACAAATAAATTATAACGAAATGCAAAGATTACTACCTGCATTAAACAACACAAATGTTTACGGAACGATGCTTTCTCAACCGCCATTAAAACCATAATACCAAACGTAGTAGGGTTCGTGCTCTCCAGATGGCGCAGACTTTTCCTCATCTAAAGATTGCGGGGTTGCTAGCCCTTAAAATGTGTGGACCATCATAGATTGTAAAAATCCGGCATTTTGCGAAATGACCAATGCAGCAGACAAAGTGAGAAATGGAACTAGAGTTTGCACTTCTCCTGCCTCTCCTTAGGGATTTCGCGAAATGCCTAAACATTCAGACAATGTGAAAATGCTTGGTTATTTTCCACAGATTGCGCGTACAGCGGTGCCAAACGTAAAACTGTCGCGTTAATACCTTCCCCAATCTGATATATTCTCCTCAGTAAATCCAAAGCCAGAAAAACCCATAGAAGAAATGCAGTCTAAACGTGAGCGCAATATTTAGCGAGTACTTAAATACAATCGCAATCGTCGCGTCGTTTACGATCCAATGGCAACGCTGTATCCGCAATCGGTGGGAAATGACGAAGCCTTCGCACTTTGCCTGCATGTATGGGCATTTTGCGAAATCCCTAAAGAAAGGCAGGCCAGCTCCATTTCTCACTTTGCCTGTTGCATTCGTCATTTCGCGAAATGCCTAGGCATTTTGCAAAATGCCGGATTTCGCAGTTTGCCGGTAACATATATACAGAGTGGGACAGCTCAAAAGAAAGGAATTACTTACAACCAATTAATATGGTTTTGGAAAGAGAAAGAACCTTTTACAAGCTTTATATAACTCCATGCGCCGATACCAAAGCGTTTTCAAAGAGTTCTAGCTCCTAAAAATTAAAAGAAAAACACTAAAAGGCTTTTCAATATTCTACAAGCAGTGGCGTACGTAGAAATTTATTCTGGGGGGGATTAAACAAGTTCGTGGCACATACAGTTACCCAGTGCGTATTTCCGGTCGATCTGAGACAATTTTTTTTCTGGGCAAAAAAAGGCAGTTTATTACGTTCCTTTTTTCCCAAAAATCGACTGCACCAAAATTTCTCGGGAAAAAACTTTTTCTGATTAATTTGGGTGCGTAGAATCCAAAACGATTCGTACTTTTTCGATTAGACGTCTCAATCAAAAATTATGGGCAAAAACCAATTTCGACTAAAAATTCAAAGGGCTGTAACTTTTGATCTAGTAGTCCGATCTTGGAACTGTTTGAAATTATGGATTCTACAGGCCACATTCTATAAGGAAATTTTTTTTCCGGGTCGATCTGAGACAATTTTTTTTTTCGGGGCAAAAAAAGGCCAGTGTATAAATCTTCCTTTTTTACCAAAAATCGACTGACCAAAAATTTCTCGGGAAAAAACTTTTTCTTATTAATTTGGCGTGCGTAGAATCCAAAACGATTCGTACTTTTCGATTAGACGTCTCCATCAAAAGTTATGGGCAAAAAACCAATTTCGACAAAAAATTCAAGGGCTGTAACTTTTGATCTATTATTATCCCTCTCTTGTTTTGAGCGCCTCAACCGAATGCGCCCAATTACAGCAGTGACCCGAAATGCTATTAGAGGTGCCTCTGCAGAAGGTTTAAGTGTCTATACTACTCCGGTATTTACCTTACGAATTAGGAAAACTGCAGGAAAACCTAATTCGGAGAAGCCGGTAGAATGCTCGGAACTGGTCAAAGGTAATTTCCATCTCCGCCACAGATGAAAAATTCACCTCAACCGAGATTCGAACACCCAACCTCCAGATTTATAACCCAATGCTCTACCACTGAGCCATAAATCCATCAATCTAGTAGTCCGATCTTGGAACTGTTTGAAATTATGGATTCTACAGGCCACATTCTATAAGAAAACCAAAATTGCTCTCTATATATACCTATATATTATTGCCTTTATTTTAAAGTGGGCGGAGCGGAGTATTACCTAAATACCTAATAGCTATGATGATAACTCAATTCTTCCTTGGGGAGGATATATCCCCTTAATCCCCCTCGGTAAATACGCCACTGTCTACAAGTGCCTCTCCAATGATTTCCAAAGCTCTTTAGGCCCTTTCCAAGTCATTTATAGAGCTCATGATGCTTTCAGAGCATTGTGGGTAATTATAGCACTATAGTGCCCTCCAGAACTGTCTCACTCTCTCCTCAGAACCTTTTCGGATTTTTTCTGAACTTTATACGCCCTTTCCAGAAGATTAACAGTCCTTTTTGTGAAAGATGTAGGTCCTGTGCAGAACTAACTGTACTCTCCAATCCCATTCCAAAGACCCTTCCTAGACCTGGGTAGACATTCCTAGAATTCAAATCTTAAGTCATCTGACAACGTTTCATAAGATGGCCTTGCCTTAAACAATTCAGTCATCGGCCATTCGAAAATTAAAAGTAAAAACATGATACCTTTAGCCGGTGATTGTCAACGTTTTCGGGCGGGTTAGTTTATATTTACACGTTTCTTTAATAAAAAATTAAAAATTAGACATGACAATTAAAATGGCACATTACTCAATATCACAATAAATAACTAGTTCTAATCAGGTTACCGCAATAAATAAATTATAAAGTTCTCACAATGTTGGTTTATATAAATTTAAAACACTTCTGTTTATCGTGTGGAATCCTAGTCTTAAACAATATTGAATCGGCGCGATATTGCGTATTTAACAGTGGCATATAACCAAAGACCTAAAAAGTGGCGGTATGAAAATAGTGTTTGCGCATAACAGCTTACCTGGGTAAAGAAGTTAATGCACTTGTGACGTTCTTGAAAATGGGTATCATCCTCCGACAGACTTTGTGGGCATCCAGGACACCGAAACGTCCATCGCGATGTGACCTTAACTGGCGGCTGCCTTGTAATGTGACTAACTAAAAAGTTCATCGCTATGTCTTCGCAATTCATGTACTCGTCGACCTTATCGCGAATGGCCTGTGGTAACCACTTCCAATACAAATGGAAGTAATGTCTGTGTATAAAAGCGGCACCAGTTAATACCATGCTTAATTCACAACTATAGTTTGAGTTATACAGCCAACTGCTACCAGTGTTTAGATCCCAAGCGTGGAAGCGGCCCGGAAATCCGACGATCCGATCCCGATGCTCACGCCACACCCGAAACCCGAACAAAATTTCATCGTGCCTCAAATGCGCGTCATCGTCAACTGATAATATTGCTTCAGTTTTTAGGTTGTCCAATGGCAGAAAGCGATTGTTTAGAGAGTTGCGCGCGGCTTTGATTATATGCAAGGGCGCACCGATATCCGGCCAGCGTAGTTCTGGACTGGGAGGCTTGGGGGAGTTCCAGACTACCACCACAGAATTTAAGTATGGAAGACCTCTGAGCCTCGCGATCGAATCTAGCAACACTTGTTCGCGCTCGTAAGTCAACAGAAGCACCGTAAACTGTTCACGCGGATTATTACCACCGAGTGCTTCCGAAAACTCTTTGCCTGCTCCACCTTGACCTTGGCCAATGGGACGAAATCCTCGCCCTGAGCCTAAGAACTTGGCATCGGAAGGAAGCAAAGGGTCGGTGGGTAACGTCGGATACAAATGGAATGGATCACCCCAATCGTTCCACACCTCGTGACCTTGAGTCAACAAGAGGCTATAGTTCCGTCGGTACGACGGAGTGTTGTACGGCGGTTCGATCGGTCCCAAACTCTCATCCTGTTCCCCATCAACATTAACAATGACTTGCGTCGGTTGAAAGGTGTCATTAAAAATGGACATCGCCGGTACGTTTTCGACAGGCAAAGGTGGAATATTCAAACGATCCCGAAGTATCGCAATAATTGTGTCTAAAGTGCTCTGAACCGAAGCCAGGTACTTCTCCCACATCAGCCTCCCTTGGCGGCGCATGACCACTATGTCGGCATCCGGAAAAGTTCGCAAGAGAAAATGCAGCTCAGTTATTCGCACGCGCGGTAGAAACAAACAGATCCTCTTCCACTGAATCACCTCGTCGTAAGCCAGTCGCACCTGATCGCCTCCTAAAACAACGGGAATCGCACCGGAACGCAACGCCTCGTAAACTCGCGCCTGTAGAAGAGTGGTCGAAACATACTCGTTGGTCGCGGGCGCAAAAATTAGAACGAAAGTCGAATCCTTCAGGTACGCCTTGCGAGAACTATCGGTACCGCACAGCGCCCAGTCTTGCAATCCAACGTGGCCGTTATCGTCGTTCGCGGGTACGCACTCGAATTCGAAATAAAACCTATCGGAAACACTCGTCTTTTCCATTTGCTTCAAATGCCCGACGATGAATTGGTCCAGCTCGTAATAGTAACTGTCGCCGTTGACGAGGTCGGAGTCGTCGATGCCGTAAATGTAAGTCGAAGCTGTCGATCGCTTGCTGACGTTCCTTTTCATTTCGCCTTGAAAGGATAGCAGATATTTTCTACGCGCTGGAAGCATTGGGACGCACTCTTGCCAAACGTCGCCGCCTGAAAGTATTACAAATGTGCTCGATTGTTTTTGGTAATTATGAAACCAACCGCTAGGGTAAAACTGTAGATTTCTACAGTGGGTTTTAGGTTATGCAGTGTTTCCTGTTTACCGTAAAACTGTAAGCAAAAGGTTCTCGCAAAATCTGTTATTTCGTCGGTGCTGCCCCATAGTGGTTGGTTTCATAATATAAAAAGCGGACAAAATACGGTTTGTTGGGATATAGCTTGGCATTGCATATTATATGGCTAAAGCTATGCTCATTTTGAATGTCATGCAATACGGTCCAAAAAATAAGCGTCTGGTCTCATGCAATGCAGTATTTAATGCCCCAGGGGACTATGTTTTCGATATTGTGAGCCTTTTACAAGATATTTTTATAGGTACATTTTACCCCCACCACTTAAACACAACTTCGCCGAGGGGGGCCTAGGGTAGTCAGATTGGGCAACAAATGAAGTCATTAAAACAATAAAACCTCTTGTAGGTACGATTTAAATCAGATTTAGATTTTAATCCTACCTAAAGCAGTGGTTCCCGGCCTTTTAGACACAGCGACCTCCTTTTTAGGTTGAGGATATTGCCGACCCCCCTATGAATTATAATTTTTTTAAAAATACATAATCAAAACGTCTACAATAGTTGTTTTGTGTGGCTTTATTAAAGAAATAGCGATAACAATAATTGTTTTTATTTTTTTCCACGTACTTCGCGCCCCCCTCGGATAAGTTCTGAGACCCCCCAGTGGGGGTCGTGAGCCCCCGGTTGAGAATCTCTGCTCTAAAGTCAATCAATGTTGTTCTCGGTTAGTATGTGGATGGGAAATGACTCGAAAACTAGAATATGAAACGAAATAGCAATTGTTATACAGGATGGTTTATATCAAAGTAGCATTTTTTTAAATACAACCCCCCGAGGGGGCAACAGGTAGAGGATATCACTAGACCTAATAGGCACCGATCCTTTTCGTATCAAAAGAAATGATTTGCTGAATATAAAAAAGAAGTACAAAACACTTAAGAAAATTCAGTAATTGAAATTATTATTGATAGGTATACAGCGTGTTCGTATTTATTGTTTGACAATTTTTTTTTGTGTTTATATTCTGCGATAGAGAATTTATTGTTTTTTTTCTTAATGTATTTTTTACAAATATAAAAATATTTATGTTGCTGGAAGCTTAAATATTTATTATACAAGACGATAAAGGAATGTTTTAACCATTGAGATGGTTAGTTTCCCTTTATCGTCGGGTATAATACAAAACTTTATTTTACAGCAGAAGCCAAATAAATCATTAGGCTTAAGAAAATTCTGAATTTAATTTCGACGTCAAAAATAGCAAACTTATGTTCCGTCGCTGCCATGGAAACAATATTGTATTCTATTCTCAACTTCATTTTATTTCGTGCTCCGCGTCCCATTTTTAATCAGAATGACAGATGTCATTAGAATGCACAATCATTTGTTTCACTTTATCTACCCTTGCGGTTAAAGCAATCACTTTATCTATCCTTACGGTTAAAGAGCGAGTTGCCTACTTATTCAAACCTATTAAAATGTTAATTTAGTTAACATCTGCTATAAGATAAAAAATTTATTATTGTTTATTGTAGGTATAGTAACTATTGCTCACGTACTTACTTATTTACCTATTTCACATAAATCCAGTTACTAATTACACAGTACGTAGTTATACCTATAGACCTCTCGCTAGGCTAGACGTTCGAAACGAGGTTTCAAATCACTTTTTACTATACTTTTAGAAGGCCATGCATATCAGTGAATATCGGAGGATATCAAGGGATATACTCAAGGATATCTGAGGATATCCGAGGTTATCTTGTATACAAAGGATATCTGGTGTACACAATTTTATGACAGGATGTCCCCTCAATGACTGCATATTTCAATTCCTTGCACAATTTTCAATTTTTTTGTAATAAGCTAATAACACAAGCATAATTGTGTAGGTTGTACACAGAAAAAGAAAGTCTTTCGAATAAGTTCATGAAACTTTTGCGTTAGTGCTATTTGGGAAAAAATTGTATGATGCCAGGGCGCTAAAACTCATTTAAAAAAATCGTTTTTCAGAGTCTTCCATCCTTTATGCCCAATGTACGGGGTGTCCTCAGACCATGGAACCGTTAATTGCACAGCTTAGGGAAAAGATATGGTTAACAAAAGAAATCGTTGGAAATTATTTTCAAGTTTGTCGCTAGAGGGCGCACGATTCATGGTTAAGTGGAAAAATTTTTTCTTCAAATATGCGTAAATTCTCAAGAGACCCCCACGCTCATTTTTGCCTTTACCTTTAAGGGCCGGTATTATAAAAGCACCGTTTAAGCGGAGATTAATCAATCGGCGATTGAACGTCAAACCAAGATTGAGAGTGGTTGCGTATTATAAACACCGTTGGAAAAGCGTTTGGTGAATCTCCGTTTGAGTTTACGATCCCTAGTATGGTAACACTGCGGGCGAACCGTGGACCAATCAGAGCGCAGAATTTTCAGTCGCCGATGCATCAGCTGACAGGTGATGACGTTCTTCGCACCGATCGCGCCCGCACCGTTCGTTCTTTTCGTTTCTGTGCCATTTGCCGCTGCCGCTGTGACTGTGTTGAATCTGTTCATCCCCTTGCGAAATCGTTTTACATAGCGCTATTCTGCCTGCCACTGTGCCAATGACAGACAAGGGAACAAGCGAGTGGCTTTTACGGACGCGGACGCCCATCAGCAAGCGGATTGCGTTCAGTCATATTTGAAAATAAAGGGCAGACGCCTCTACTACCAAGAACAAGGTTATGCATCAGGATATCATCAGATATAAGTTTTTTGTTTGCATCTATATCCCTAATCATTCTGTGTGAAAAACCTCACAGGTAATGAAGCTGGAGCTGGTGACGACAGCCTCACCATTGATGGGCAATTATTAATTAATTAAAACACCCAGTTGCGCAAAATGTTTGTTTGGGGGGCAATTAGTGCTCTAATCCTGTTTTCTAGGGATCAAACAATATCCTTGGATAACCGAAATCTCTGCCCAAATTCCTCTTCATCCCACTTGCCGAAATGATCAACACGTTCTTTAAAATTTCTGCTCTTCTTCTAATGAACTCATCCTCTGCTGAAGAGTAGAAGAGTCATCGTTGCTTAACTGCCCACAGTAACCGACCTTTTGCACGTCCAATTCCAATTATTTCCTTTTCGTTATAAATCGAAACAATGGCACAAAACAAAATAAACTGGTTATGATCACCTTAATTCTTTACACGTTTGCGCGCCTAATCTCCGTTTGGGCCCCCAAAACCCGAGAAAATTGACGGATTGACTACAATCGGAGATTGAGCTCTGGTTAAGACTCAAGCGGCGTTTATAATACGCGCAATCGCACTCAAACTACGATTGAACGCCAATCTCCGTTCAAGCGGGCTTTATAATACCGGCCCAAAATGTAATTTGATATAGATAAATAAGTAAAGGAATGTTTACTAGGTCATGTACCTAATAGTAGTATATTTATGCGTTAATTTCTGAATGCACTGATGCGGGGATATGTGTAAATGCATATTATAGGTATATTTTATTCATGTTGTACATTCTTGTAACGAAGCACCCGTTCTTCGGCTGGAAAATACCAGTTTTAATGATCACTCTGTAGACGAACACCTGTTATCAAGAAGCGATTTAAGCTGGGCGCTTCGTTACGAAGATTCCGACTATTTGGATAAGTATAATTAACTGTAATTAGTTAAATGGGTTACAGGGAACAGCCTCCGATTAAGTCGAGAATACATTTGTTAGGTGCGCTCTTAAAAAAACTTGAATTTTGACACCAGTCCTGTATTTTTTAAGACGTCTGCGAAGGACGTTATTTATAATAAATAAATAAAACACGTGCAAATTATTCATTCTACAGCGCCATCTTGTAGGCGCCGCGTAACACTAATTTAGTTTGGATTTAACTCACCAGATGCTTAAATCCAAACCACAGTTGCCTAAATTTAACATGCCATGATCCATCTGTAATATACAGGGTGATTCCTATAGTACCTGCCACCGTTTGGGAGCGTGTAGGTGGTGCGTAGGGGAGTATTTTGATATAGGACACTTGGGGTCGGAAATCTAAAATAAGGGTGCCAGAGCCAAATTTACCTTCTGGAATTTCGCGCCTGTAGGTAGGCAACCCAACCGGCCGGCGGTGCACACGGAGCGATCTCAGGCGGCGATGTGTGGCTGACACTTGATCAGAATTTTGTTTAAACCCACGAAATCCCGTCTGCAACGACGCGTATCAAGTGAATAAACACTATGGCACGTTTTACTAACACGGAATACGCGGACATGCACTTCATGTACGGATTGGCAAATGGTAACGCACGAGCTGCACGACGAGCGTACGCTGAGCGGTATCCAAACCGTCAGTTACCCTGCAGACAGGTCTTTCAAGAAGTTCACTTCCGACTGTGCGAGACAGGGCAATTGCAGGTAAGCTGACGGAGGCTTAACTTTACACACAGATTCGTGATGCACATCGATACTTGGGTCATTTAAGCACCCATTTCGAAAAGTTTGTTTGTTTACACCGACCTCCTCCTATTTCGCAGCCCACTAGCGCCCGTGATCGCGATCGCCCGTTGGTAAATGCCTTAGAGGAGGATGTGTTGGAACGTTTCGAGGCAAACCCGCGTACTAGCACTCGACTTGTAGCAGATCAGGTGGGTTGTAGTCAACACACAGTGTGGAACATCGCCAACAACAACAACTTACACCCCTATAAGTTTAAGAAAGTGCAAGAGTTACGGCCGGGTGACCATGAAAGGAGGCTGGAATTCTGCAACTTAGTCGTCCAGGAGGAAGAAGCTAATCCGAACTTTCTGAGGAGCGTGCTAGTTACTGACGAGAAAGGATTCTCAAGAGAGGGGACCTTCAATCCTCGTAACAGCCACTACTGGGCGGAGCACAATCCTCATGAAACGTTTACGCGAGGATACCAGGACAAGTTTTCTTTAAACGTTTGGGCTGGCATCCTGGGGGACAACCTACTGGGGCCTTACATCCTCCCTCCGCGTCTAAATGCCCATAATTACCTGATTTTCCTGCGCGAGGTGCTACCAGAACTTTTAATGGATGTTCCAGTGAACTTGTACTGGGACCACTGGTTCCAGCACGATGGGTGCCCTGCTCACTACGGGCGGCAGGTGAGGGAACACTTGGACCAAACCTATCCGGACAGATGGATCGGCCGTGGAGGTGCGGTGGAGTGGCCTGCCCGCTCGCCCGACATCACCCCATTAGATTTTTACTTGTGGGGTGTGATGGAAGCGCACGTCTAGGAGACTCCCGTCGAATCCGAAGAGGACTTAATTGCGCGCGTCGTCATGGCCGGAGAGGCTGTTCGCCAGGACATAGGAGTCTTCACGCGAGTTCGAGGGGAGTGGTTGGCTAGATGTAGGAAGTGCATTGAGAACAACGGTGGCCACGTTGAACACTTGTAAACGTTATTGCTTTTGACTGTCGTTTTCCCTCCTTCCCTCCCATGTCGCTTCCTCGCGCTAACTCGCTCTGCATCGCTCCGCGCGAAACGTCGGTCGGTTGGGTTGCCTACATACAGGCGTGAAATTCCAGAAGATAAATTTGGTTCTGGCGCCCTTATTTTAGATTTCCGACCCCAAGTGTCCTATATCAAAATACTCCCCTAGGCACCCCCTATACGCTCCCAAACGGTGGCAGGTACTATAGGAATCACCCTGTATTTATATCTGTGATAGTATCAGCGAAAAACAGGTAACCTCGAGGGTAACCTTTACATATTTTTGGAGGAGTCAGACTCCGGAATATCTAAACAGCTCTGGAAATGGACTTAAGCACGTTTTGGTAAGACAAGTGCTAAGGAACTCTAGAAAGCCTACACGACGTCCAGAGCCTTATGTGTTTATCACAGCATTTTTGGACACATCTAAGGAAACCCTGGAAAGCCTTCTAAACGTGTTCAAGGATATCAAGTCGCCAGCATGCTCAAATATCCAAAGGAAGACTCCCCAAAACCTTTTAGGCGCTTTCCAGAGCTTTATGCTGTCAAAGTCTTTTATTCCCCTCCCAGAGCCGTCTGGGCCTATTCCAATACTAGCAAGGTACTGGAAAACACTAAGAAAACTGCCTACACAATTATGGAGAATTTGCCTCGAAATTTTCTGCAAATCAGACTTACCAAGACTATGGAGCCTTCTAAAGTCGACAGGATTTCCCAGAATTAATAAGTGCTTGTCAGTGTTCCAAGCTCCTAAGCCTATCCTCAAACGCTCTATTGTTTTTCTAGAGTTTTCAGGGAACTTTCCTGAAAATCTTGACCATTCTATCTTTTCTCCAGAGCTATCAGGACTGGTCTAGTCCTGGAAAAAACACACAAGGCTCCAGGAAGAGACTAAACAAAGTCTGGAAAGCATTTTGGGGATTCCCGGAAGCCCTGGATAGCCTTTTCAGTGCAACTTTTAGAGCAATCAAGGCTCCTCAAAGTCTTATAGTCTTTCCACACCTTCCCATAAAAAGAGTTTTACCACTAAAAGAATCTGAAAAACTTCTACATGTTTTCAAGAGCTTCTCCAGAGCATTTTACAGCTCTCCACAGCCTTCTAACCGCTTTCCAGAGCTGTTTATCATCCGGTTAGAGTTTTATTGTAATCCCCTCTCAGAGTTTTAGAGACCCTTTCGAAAATATCAGAGGGAAGGGAGTGTAAAAGCTATACCATGCTCTAGCAAGACATAAAAAGGTTCTATAAAAGGCCTAAAAGCCTCTGAAAAAATCTAAAAAGTTTTGGTAGGATCGCAATGCATAAATCTCACATGTCACTCTGCTAATTATTACCACTAATCCAGCGGAAAAATGCCATGTAAGGCTTTTCTAGAACTAAACACAAAAAAGCAGACAAAATCTTTAAATAGAAATACTTACCAGGAGGGCCTAACACTGGTGATATGATTAGATCAAAATTGGCTCTAAACAATTGATACGAAAACGTAGACTGCACTATTAGGGCTCTCCCAACGTCCACGTTAGCAAATATATCACCGGACGCGGCAGACAGATCCCGTCTGGCCAAATTTAACAAAATGTGATTCCTGCCGTCGCCGCCCCAATACGGCAGTCGCCTCAGAGCGAGCGTGTTTAACGGTGGTAAACTGACACCGCCGCCGAAAGTATCCGTCATCTCGTCGCTGTCCCTTAAAGCCTCGCCCACGAGAACTAGAAATACGCACGCCTCCTTTGGATCGCCGGTCAAATGCGGGTTGTAGCCCAACGCCTGTTTTAAGGTCGTCTTCAAGAAACCGTCCACGTCCCAATTGCTCTGCATCACGGTGAACTGATCCGGATCGTATAAGTAAACGGGAAATCCGGACGTCAGGGCGCAGCGAGAATGGTCGAAGCACGAGAACATTCGACAATTTTTCACCGCACTCTTAGATAACGACGGATAAATTGCCGGTAACTGATTGGGTGTGAGACGTTTCGGTAATGCTAACTCCGGCGTGTTTTGCTCCAAGGCTTCTCGTTGGGCCACTTGGGCTTGTTCCACCGATATTTTTAGCCGATTCAATTCCGTCTGGTAATGATTAAGTTCGAATTTGAGCTGCTCGATGTTTTTAGTGTACGCCTGTAATTCCTGCTGTAGTTTTTGCCGCTTGCTCTCCATATCACGCAGTTCACTGGAAACGGATCCCTTAATCCTGTACAGTTCCTCGACCCTCGTTTTTAAGTCCATGTCATTTAAGTAATTTAAATCTTCTGGTAAATCTACATGCGAATGGGCACTGTGTGCTATATGTACAGAGTTACTTTCGACCATCGATAGGTAGTAATGCGTAATGAGCGGTAATAAAAATAGCAACGCCGATAAAAGGAGTATTATTCTAGATAGCTTTAAATGACCAAACCAATGGCACACGTTTTTACTGGACGTTTCGCTAGTGCTTACCATGGCGTTATGCTTTCGGATTTAGTAGAGAACGAAAAACATCCTTGAAATGTAATTAAGGCTGAATTTGTTGCCTTTTAGTCATCTTACATCCATAATTGACTAACTTTACTAGCTTATTCAATCACAATTTATAAGATTTTCTCATTTTATTGATAAGTATACAGTTTTTTCTGCCATCTTTTCCATACTGATGCTAAAGTGCGACATTTTACCTACTAATGGCACAGTCTAACTACAATGTAGACCATTCGAACTACTTTTTTAAAATGCAACTACCACACCAGCATTTTGTACAACAGAAGTATTATACAGAGCGCTTCAGAATATTCAAAACCATTGTAATCCTACGATATATAATTTGAAGGCGGAGAGGTGTAAGAAAACTGCATAGTACGCGTGAGAATGAGGAAAACTTGAGGGAAGCGTGAAAAAGCGGAAAACGCAAATGAAACGTGAATTCAGTTCATAAAATGGCATGGAGAAAGTTCGGAGCACACAGGAACAATAAGGCAGGAGAACATGTGATAAGGATATATAGATGCACGTCGCTTATGAGTGACTGGTAGCAAAAAAATTGTATTATATAACTTATTCTAGTAAAAAATAACAGTACAAATACCTTCGTTTTTTCTATAATTTATGCCGCCGCCGGTAATTTGAAGCCATTGAAGTACACCAGTACACGATCATTGCCGACTGCGTGACGTTACCTGCGCGACCCGAAACGTACTTTCTCTGTAGCACCTGTAAAAAATAAAAGGGCGTGTAAAGAAAAAGTAAGGACGACTTGAAGAGAGCACGAAGAGCCTTAATGAACTGTAGAGAGGATATGAGGAAAACGAAAAAGTGTAAGAAGGATTAATGGAAGCCCGAAAAGTAAATTCAGACCTAGATGGCGTGAGGGACACATGAATATGGATTGAAGAAATCGTGAAGATGGTTTGAACAAAAGTATCACTGGCGTATTTACCGGGGGGGATGAAGGGGATATATCCCCCCCCCCAGAAGAATTGAGTTATCATCATAGCTATTAGGTATTTAGGTAATACTCCGCTATCCGCTCCGCCCACTTTAAAATAAAGGCAATAATATATAGGTATATATAGAGAACAATTTTGGTTTTGGTTAAAGTCTAAAGTCACTAAAATCTAAATATTCTGTAGTATTCACTATTCAGTGAGTGATCAGTGTTGGCAGTCAACGATTTGGCTAGTCGGCATCGATCGGCAATTTGCTACATTGATGCCCAAAATAACAAATAGGTATCAGGTACTTAGTACTGCTACTGAGGTGAGGTACCTGCGTCCTGCCTTTCACGAAATGATGAAAATAAGAATTTTAAATTTTAAAAACAGGAATTTTTTTTGCCCATAACTTTTGATCGAGACGTCTAATCGAAAAAGTACGAATCGTTTTGGATTCTACGCACCCAAATTAATAAGAAAAAGTTTTTCCCCGAGAAATTTTGGTACAGTCGATTTTTTGTCAAAAAGGAAGGTAATAACTGCTTTTTTTTGAGCCCCGAAGAAAAAATTGTCTCGGATCGACCCGGGAAAAAAATTTTCTTATAGAATGTGGCCTGTAGAATCAATAATTTCAAACAAATCCAAGATCGGACTACTAGATCAAAAGTTACAGCCCTTTGAATTTTTTGTCAAAATTGGTTTTTTGCCCATAAATATACTTATTATTCAAAGTTTTCGTTGACTAATTAAAGCAAAAGCAATAAAGGGGCCTGTCAGCAGTAAGAAATAAAATACCGTTCTAATCTAATCTTTTTCGCCTGTACAATAATAAATAGATAAGTGACTACCAGTATCAGCAACCTGCAACCCAATTTCTATTTCTTACCCCCCCCCTCCCCCTTCTAGTACGCACTGGGTGACTGTATGTGCCACGAACTTGTTTAATCCCCCCCCACAATAAATTTCTGCGATCGCCACTGAAAAGTATCATGTGTGTAGAAAGTAAAGGTCATGAAGGAGGAGGTCGGCCGATACGCGTGGGAAAATGGAGACATAGAGAAAGCATAAAAAACATATAGACGTAACAAAACAAAACATGGAGAGGCGGCCTTGAAGGATATGTGAACTGGGGAGCGATATATTTATTTCTAATAATAATATTTTTCATCAATCATTTATTGTCATGCCCGCGGGCTTGGATAATGGATACATCAGTCATAGTGAACGTGTCAGACGGACATACAAGTGGACGATTCCACGACACCTCCATGATATGCAGTTGTCATACAGCCTTTACACTCAAACAGCTCAGTAAAAATAAGAAATTGAACCGTTCTCTCTCGACTTCTCGATCGAAACTGAATAATGAACACAACCGTTTGGGATAACAAATTACTGAACTGCAATAAGTGTATTACATTCTCTTACAAGCACTTTAAAATAATATGGTACACATAACAGGGCTATTTAGTAGGAATTATGTTATTATAAGAGAATTTCATCACAAGCATGGAATATTTTTTTATATATCGTACAAATTTAAAATAGAAAACTGAACTACTAAACTTTAACAGCAGATCGTATATACAAGATGGGTACAAAATTATTTACGCAACCCAATAAAGGGTAGGAAAGTCACACAAGGTGCGCCTTTTCTCTGAAATGACACCGATGTACTTAAAGGAAAATTCAAACCAATACATAATTCCAACAGATGGCGCGAATAGAAATGACAAATATGTGATGACACCTAAGGTAGTAGGTAGGTACATAAACAGAACCGGAACAATTGTTGAGGATTAACGATTAACGTAAAAATGATTATCACATGCAATTTAACAATTAAGATAAAATTATATGTTACAATAAACGATCATTATATATTTTTCTATTATACATTACGATATAATACATTACTTATCAACGTTTTTTTCTAAGTCCTTTTTTTTAGTATTACGTAAGTAAAAAAGCAGTTTCAATTCCAATAAAGCATTATATACGGGAAAACTTAAAAGTACTTTTTCCTTTACTATCACTTGTCGTTGTCTGACAATTCGGTTTCAAGTTTCCCCGTAAATATATAGTTATATTACACATTACGGGATATGATTTTATGTGAAATTATGTTTACATGTGCGCAGTGATATCTACATGTTCATTTCATTTAATTATTCTGTTGTATCTAGTATTGATTCCTATTATCAACTATTATATATTTTTATATTAGTTTGCACCATGCTGTCGAATAGTATTATATAAAATAATACCATCTGCCAATTATAAGTTATCTTCTTTTGCTCCGAACATTTCGAATATGTCTTTTAAATAGAACAAAAGTAATTCAAAAGGATATAGTCTTAGGTATATCTTACAGTATTTAAAGACGTATTCGCAAATATCCCGGCAAAAAGTTTATGCAATAATAGTAACATGATGACGGGTTGGTACTGACGGACTACTTTTCTTCGCCATCGTATCTTAGTTCACTGAAAAATACATTAATAAATGTTAGAAGATCTATTCGGATACAGAGTATACACTTAAAAGAGCATTTTGCATTATGTGGAACCCGCCAGCTGCACAGCTTTTTCTGACAGTTCCTATAGCATTTGATTAGGATACACCTTATGGCTTATGAGTTATAAAACAGGCTTGCTTAAATATAAATCGGTGCAGAGTGGCGCATCAAAAATGAATTTTGAGTGGAAGTAAGGCAACCAGAAATTAGGGCAAGTGAAAATTTAAAACGCACGATTACAGCATTTGTGCGCGGGTGCACCATCCTGTTGAAACCAACAGTTTCGACATTTTTTTGTGTGCCCTCAACACAATAGGCAATTTTTTTGCGAGCCACATAAAAAATAAGGTTTTTGATAATTGATCAGATACGAAACGCTGTATCTATTGAAAATCTCTCAACAGAGTCTTGTAGAGCCCAAAAAGTGGCAATGAGAACGCATTTTTAAAATTTTTTTGCATCTGTTCAAATAACACGAAAAAATTACAAACGATATCAGCTAATTTCAGTTTTTCTGGCATATCTTCCGAAGTAACCAGCATTCGTTTTCGTCTTGCATTCGGTAGCGTATAGCTCTGGCCCCTGCGCCAAGAAAAATCTGGACGATTAAACTGGGCAATGTCAACTTTCCTATTTACAGATATATTTTGAAATTTGAACCATAGATGTCTCTGGTAAAGATAAGCATATCGCATATTGTAAATATCAGATGTACGCATGCGCAAGCGCGCAACTGTCAAATTTATTTATGGAGAGAATTTGGCCCCTTACAGTTTTCAATGACATACAATCGAGGACAATTGGAAGTGCCTCATGGATTCTACCACACCTTCACAGGTTTATGACACCACCTCGCTGCCCTTTTTTGGCAACTAAACTATGGAGTGTGATGCAAACACATCCCCAACTCATCTGTACTGCTCAAGTTTTTCTGCAACCAATACAACCCTTGTGGCAGAAGTGGTTATGAGGCCACAAGTGAAGCTGGATCATGACTGAAAGAGGGGATGCTAACCACGAAAATGAAGAAGGAAGCAGCACTCGTGACCGTGTACTACGCCATGCGCACGTTTATTTGGTATCAGTACCTAAAATAACGAAGAGTCAACCTGTATGTGTTGAATTTTATTTATTTTTAAGTGTTAAATGTTGGTCGCCAATTCAGAATGAACACAATTTCTATGATTGTCAATTTTAATTAGAATTATTAGTTAATGATGTGCAATTTTTGTTTTAATAGTCGCTTGTATTTTGTTTATCTAATTGTAAAGAAATTCCCTGTGAAAAGATTAAGTTTATTCTTTTGTAAAATCTCCGGTCGTTACGATAAGAGCATTATCGCTACGTAAGTTAATTAGTTGGTAGATAAGCGAGTTTCACTTATAAAAAACAGTAATTTTGATAAGAACGGTAAATTGCTTTAAATAGAAGAGGCGGAAGTTAATTAGGGTTTTTCTGATAAAAGACGTTAATTGTTACTTTTTTGGTGGCAGGGGCTTTTGGTGTATTGCGGTCGGCGTAATTTGTTGCAAGTTCAGTCTTGGTGTGACCTAAGAGATTTTATCAAAGTGATTATGTTGAGTTAAGCGGAAGCGTGTATTACGTTTACGAAGAAGTTTAGTCGAACTGTTGTGTCTATCATACGTTTATCGTTTATGTGAAGCTTTTCTCAGTACCCGTTAAAGCGAGTTTTTTCGTCATCAAAGAGCCAAGTCTACATCAGTGTCGTATAAATTGAGAGTCAAGTGCAGTCAAAGAAGTGAAGTTCCAGAAGCAACATCAGTTGGTTTTTTTTGGTGTGTTGTTTGTTGAAAATCGCAGATTTAACAGGATTTGAATTATTAACACTTTAAGGCAGGCATGTCAAACTCATTCATCGCCAAGGGCCATTTTAAGGGTTCCACATACAGCTGCGGCCAAAATTTTGATTTTTTATTATTAACATAAAAAGTAGGTATGCAAAATAATACAATAAAACGAATACAAAGAATCATAAAATCATGAAAATATACCCTGTGTCCTATTTTTTTTTTTTTGAGACTGCAGTAGTGTATCTCAGCTGTTTTTAAAGATAAAAAACGTACGGTTTTCGGGACCCTGTGCCATGTTTTTTGTTAAACTTAACAACTTAAACAAACAGAATCAATCCAACTAAGTGCGTTTGTTTCTTATTAGATACAGGGTAAAAACGAAAAGGTTGACTTTTTGGGATGTTGTCAATCATATCTTACTACCGATGTACGATAGAAAAAAAAGGTAAAAACTACCTAAAATCCAGTAGCACAGTAAAAAAAATTGAATCACCGTTTGTGAGATTGAACCCAAATTTGATATTTCTTAAATGCAACACCCTGTATTTAACGTCAATTTTTTGCATTTCTTTTTCGTGGTTACATTGATGAATCATCCTATATTTTTTTATATTATATATCATATTTTTCAAAATGACATGTTTCTACCGCGTTAAAATATACAGGGCGTTTTAAAAAATACCAACTTTAAATCAAATCGCAGAAACGGCGATCCAAAAGTTTATTTACTACGCCTCTGAATTCTACGTAATAATATCTAAAATAGCCAATTTTTATCTTTTTTCTATCTTACATCGGTAATAAGGTATACTATTCCAAAAAGTCAAACTCTTCGTTTTCACTTTCACCCTGTATCTCAGACAAAACGTAGCTAGATTGGTTCTGTTTGGGGTATTATACGTTTCACCAAAAAGTGGCAGAGGGTCGCCAAAACCGCAAGTCTCAACCTTTAAAAGCACTACAGTCTCAACCAAAATAGGAAACACGGTACAATTAAATTTTATAATTTGCATCGTTGCGACCCGCGTATTTGACATGCCTGCTTTAAGGTAATTACGATATTCTTAATGAATTGTTTCAATCGATAGCTTAAGGCGTGTAAGTGTATTCCGGCACTGAGTGCCTATTTTTTTTCAGCTTATTTGATTCATTCTTGTTAAATAAATTTGTTTCATTTGTAAATATTCTATTTTCTGTTTAAGCGACCCCAATAAGTGTTTTCTAGTGGTACCCGGGATTCTATTAGGTGTCAATTCAAATTAGTCAAATTTTTGGAATTATGGGTACAGAGAGACCTGTTGAGATTGTTGGTTGTGGCGGATGCTAGTCGCGCCCTGGAAAACTTGTTGTTTAATTGCGCTAGCTGGACAGGTGCTTCTGGAATCTAATAGTAGCATATAAACAATAGGTACCTATATAAATTTACCAAAAATTTAGTGCTTCAATTTTTTGAATTTTGGAAGATTATGAGCAAACTAAAAGATATACATATGTGCTTAAATAAAAGCTTGTTACGCATGCCACAACTTCATTTCGCGTAACTCTTCTAGTGAAATAAGTATTTTCCTGAATATGAGGCCACTTTCAAACCAGGTACCCCCATGCCCATAGTCAAACATCTACCCAGTTGGCAAATATCTGGTTTTAGTAGGCGCCAATGATATTATACCAGAAGCACACCTGACTGGGTCACCTGATTTTTTCGGGCGCAACTCATTTGTTTAAACAATCTTTCCAAAACCATGACTGACCTCAAGAACTAGATCCGCCAGACTGCTAGACAAATATTTGCGACGCCATCTGGCCAATTCATACAGGTTCGCGCATGCTCAATTGTTAAAGTGCTGAGAGCTAGGCGGGCTCCACCAATAACACCTTGCAACACATTTGTGACCTTCACAGCCATTTTTGCAATTTACATGGAACAGCCGATATGCAATTTACAAGCTGTGGCATGAAAATCACTGTAATGTCTCTTTTGTTTGTTAAACTTGCAGTCGCTCACTGCCATGGCACATCCAATAAATTTTTGTAGTACATCCTATCCTTTTGTAAATTAAAATGAATTAAGCGAATTATGTTCATGGCATGATGCATGCTGCATATATGAGGTCTAAAAAGCGAGGTCAGTACAAGGTAACTAAAACATGAAGTGAGAAAGAGAGGTTCGTACCTACGTAACTGGTGAGCCGACGGTCGGCGTCTATACGCTGTCTACAAGATTGTGACGAAATCTAATATGAATGTTATGTGCAAGATAGAAATACATTACTTTAGTACGGGATGGAACATTACGCGTACTACTATCTTACACACTGAAACGAAACTAATATGAATCGCATGTGAAAGTGATAAGGTTACAATTTGAGGGAATCTAGACTAGCCATGGAACTGCGGCGAGATAGACCGAGGGAGGGAGGCCCACTAACCAGGGACGTCGTTCCAAACAGTTTGTACCATCCTATTACAATATTACTGAGATTTAAATCGTCCAACATTATTTGGGCAACACCCATAAACACTTTCTTGCCTTCGATGCGACCGTAGTCTCCCCAAACGGTAACCTAAAACGGTTTAACTCAACGAATGGATCAGACATCGACGACACGCACCTGAAGAACACAGCCTTGAAATTGTTCTCTAAATGCTAGTTGTTGTTGGTATAATGGATCCAAAGTTCTACGTGCTGACGAAGTTTTTGCTTTCGCTATACATTTTTTTCCATTTACCAAATATACTTTCACATAAGGCGCTAAAATTTGACAGATAACTATGGCCTGGATCGACTTTTAAAAGTCACCTGGTAAAACTTTCGAACCCGGCCTCGCTTGTAGGCCCCTCGCTCTGATTACTTCCACTTCCAGGAATCCCTTTTGGTAGCACAATGACAATTGTATATCTCCCAAAGCGGGCGCGCCAAGCACCTGGCGACCCACAAGCTGTCCTGGTCCCAGTCCATCAATGAAATCGGCAAGCTGCCCGCTCTCACCTGCGACTCTTAAAGACGGCGACCACCTGTACATTAAAACGCAAATTTTAGACCACTTACAAATACTAACTTGTCGGAGATTGTAGAAAAAAGTCTATCTACTTCAGGTTGCTACACAGTACTAATAACTAAATTCGTTGTTTCTAAAATATATATCCAAAGAATTTAGTACAGAGAACAACACAGAGTTGTACATAGAGAGAAATAGAAATATTGAGCAAAATCTACGGCTACCGAAGTGTTATAGGTGAATGTGTAATGACCGTGCCATAAAAACGGTGTTCCTCATGCGTAGCATGCTTAATATAGATTTTTACGAACCAAGTTTATTAAGCGGAAAATTAAAAGTGGCCCCTCGAGACTAACATCCCGATTACCTACACGGCGTTGTCACCTGTTTACCTACCGCTGTTGTAATTGACGAGGGCAACTAGAGCATTTGCGCACGAAAGTTTAAATTGAAAAAAAAGCGGCGGTGCGTCTTCTTTCTTCGCATGGTAGTCCAGGGTTCGGAAAAATTAAGGGAATGGTTCTTGATTCTAAACAAAATTTCTGCTAAACATCTCGCGAAGGGTCACTTACTAGAAAGAAACCCGTGTGTGAGAGAGACATAACTTTACCAATGTTGACATTGACAGTAGCAATTATTATAAATGATACCTATAATCTGTTCACCCAACAGATGCAGTTAAGCCACTCCCAATAAATGTTGGCCAATGTAATTATCAGACCCGTTTCACAGTCACAAAATTATAAAAACCGGAAAATTTAAAATCGCATGTCACATTGTATGACTAAGTTATAAAGTGTTATGTTTTTAATATTGACCTTTAAACATACAGCAGTGCATATAGTTTCAAATTGTTTATGAAGTTCAAAAAGATTAGTTATGAAATGAAATTAACGGCAAATTGAGGCAAGGCAAATACAAAACGCAATGACAGGTTTGACGTTAAGGATGTCAATTTAGATACGGCAATTATAATTGGAAGCAAATAGTTGCGGGTGTTACAGGTTTTGAAAATTCGGCCAATTAAAAATGTTCATTTAAATTTGCCGGGATTTTTTTGGGAGGAGCTTAACTGCATCTGTTGAGTGATCAGATAATAGCCTACACAAAAGACGCATGAATGGCATCAGCGCTTTTAAATTGTTGTGTATTCTATCTCACTTCACACTCATATAATGCTTATTGGGTTTCTTTCTAGCTTATTAAAAGTCAGACCTGCAATAATCTTTCTCCATACTTGTACATACCGTTAATGAATTAAGGCTCCTCTGTAAGTCAATTTGTATTTCAGTGTTATTGCAATTGGTTAGACCACCAACAATACACACTGCTACATGATCTCGTGGAGTGAAACCAACGATGTATCTATCCTTCTCAGTTTTGCTAATTCTCTTCATTTATTGTTAAACACAATAGACCATGTATAATGATCAAGGACTAATTATGTAAACAAGTTTATCGAAAAGCTGTACAATATTTGACTGGAGATGCACAAATTCTGTTACCGTTGAATGTTATTACTTATTCAATGCATTTACAGCATTTTTCTATAAAGACACCTTCTGTAAATTACCTGGTTTTCAGGTAATTAGTGGACTAGATTAGCAATGTTTGTTATAACATTTTTTAATTACCCCTTTATTTCTTGTGATTTGTTCTGATCATTTTTACTGATTTATAGATTTTTATAGTTATTAGGTACATGTGCATGAATGAATTCATTTAGGTAGTATGGTAGATCCTAAAAAAACCGGCACTTCGAACATCTAAAATAAATCTTTCTTTACTTATATACAAGGGTGAACAAAAAAAAATTGTATGTGTTTCATAAAAATGGTAGCTAACGGTTAAAATTCTGTTACAATGATTAAAAGTATAACATTTATACTGATTCTAAATAAATCCATATCTTTTCAAAAACTAATAATTGTACATTTAGCGTATTACTTATTTATATCTATGCACGACCCATGGAGAATTTTTCCGAACATCTTTTGTGCGGTAAGATGACTTCCACTTTTTTGCCCTGAATTCAATGGTAAAAATAAAATTTACTTGATCCTCCTATTTTTTGAGGGACAAATATTCCTGTTGATAAAGTTGATATAAATATAAATAAATATTAAAAAAAATATAAAAAATTTAGTGGTTTCTATCGCTACATAGTATTGGAAATTTGAAAAAAATTCGCCAAGTTGATGTGAAGTTTGTGGGCCTCCATCAAAAGGTATTCTCAAACGGAAAGCTAAATAGTCGAATTTTTTTAAAAGTGCAAGAAATATTTTTATATCCACCACTTTCACTAACTTGACTTTACATGAGCAAAACAGTGACACTTTGTTTTAAATAAAATTGTCAGTGTCGGCCATTAGTTATCGTATCCCGAATGAATTTAACTAAAAAGGGGACTTGTATTTATATCGGTAGCGTTTCTTTTATATATAATACCACGACGTTTTCTATGTTTATGTTCCGCTAATAAGTGAAAAAATGCCTGTGTCATTTGTTATCTATTGGGCACAACTTTATGGAAAGCAAAGGGCATGTGCATCTTTTGCTTTTGGTCGCATTTCTCGAAATAGATAATTTTCACGAAGACTTACTCTTAGTCCAGTATGCAGATAATTTTGACCTGCAAAAGGTGGTGTAAAAGATTTTATTGTTTTAAATGCTCCATTCGGGTCCAAATAACATGTATTTGAAGAGTACGCACAAATTTTTTCCCGGCACAACTTTTGGCAGTCAAAAAACCTCAAAATTTTTGGCATTTTTTTAGTTTTTCGCTTAAAACTCGAAAACGGTCCATATTTTATGAATAACACTTCTTTAGAAAATTAAAGAAATTCAAAATTATGCGTCGATCAAAAAAAACAAACAAAATCGGTCCAATAGAAAAATGTTTACAAGCGATCAAAAAACGCCCATTTTTTCCAACGAATTTCAAAAATTGGTCCAATTTTAAATTGTTGGTACTTTTTGAACTCTCTGATTGATGTTCTACAATCTTTAGGGAGGGGGAGTAGTGGATTTTATCGTTCCTTTAGGAGCCACAACGCATTAAAAAAAGTTTAACTCAGTTCTTTAGAAAAGTTGGAAAAAATGGGCGTTTTTTGATCGCTTGTAAAAATTTTTCTATTGGACCGATTTTGTTTGTTTTTATTGATCGACGCAGAATTTTGTTTTCTTTAATTTACTAAAGAAGTGTTATTCATAAAATATGGACCTTTTTCGAGAAAAATTGAAAAAAGTCCGAACGTTTTGAGGTTTTTTGGCTGCCAAAAGTTGTGCCGGGAAAAAATTGGTGTGCACTCTTCAAATACATGTTATTTAGACCCAAATGGACCATTTAAAACGTTAAAATCGTTTACACCACATTTTGCAGGAATCGGTCCTTCTGACTGCTCCGCATACTGGATTATCTGAGGTATTGTACGTACCCCCCGCCCCGTCAAAGGGAAATATTATTACAGCCTCATTATAGGTTTTTTTTTTATTTCTTGAAGCATCCTGATGGGATGCAAAAGGTTTTAGAAATAAAAAATTATTTCCAATGTACCTATAATAGGATATCCATTTTTCGTCTTGGGAATATGTGACATTATGATTTACAAATCAACAGCATTCAAATAAATAAATAATAAATAGTAATTTATCTAATCCATATCATTAGGAACGGCGTAACATGTGTAGGGTAATGCCAGGTAGTTTCTTTTGTTTTCCCTTTCAAGTAATGAGTTGTCGCCTCAGGCGTTATAAGTGCAATTTGAGTTGCCTATCCTTACGTTAGCGTTTTGATTTTTTTCTGAAGATCGCGAAACATATTTTTTAAAATATATGCCTTATCATAATAGATGGAAATAATATATTTAAGTACCGCCGTAAGAAATACTGTCGGATTTCCAAATTGGTGCTGTACGTTTTTCTACTCCCATTACAACGGCTGTTATTTACGCCGTTCTTTTCATCATTGCAAAGAATATCCACTATCGCGAATTTGTTAGACTTCAACTACAAAAGCGGTATTTCATAAGAAAGTTTAGCTATTTTTCCAATATGGCGGATTGACTACAGAGGAGCCTTAAGCATAAATGCATTTTCTCTAAAAGTAACCTTTAATAAGGGATTGATAGGTACATTTTTGTTTAGAATTGTCCCCTATTTTTTCCGAAGTGTGATCTCCCTGGACTATGGGAAGGGGGAAGCAACGCATGCGTCAAAAAATAATTGTGCGTGTACATAATTAAATGATATTAGAAAAAAAAATGTAAAGCACAAGCGGCCCCGAGCACATCTCGCACACCCACACATGTATTATACTTACGACGATCCCTCGGAGCTAGAAATGGAGTTTAAACTTGAAGCTCGCTGGCTGGAGTCACGGGTCGGTACAGGAACGACCTCTTGTGATCGCTGTATGTTGCTACTTGTCGAGATACGTTTTCTACTGTATCCGCTGTCTGAAGTTATAAAATAATAATTTAGCGCCGGCTACTTTAATTAATAAACATTGCCAATTTGCGTGTTTTTGTTGTTACTTCATTTAAGATTTATCCAGACAGCGTTCTTAGTTCAAATATCAATAACAAACATTAATTAGGCGTAGAAGAACTCTTGCACAAGCATCTCTTCCGGTACTGTAAAGTGTATTTTCAACGTGCGAGAATTTCTATATTCATTTAAAATTCTCGCATTCTGTACAATTACTACAAGACGTAGCACAAGTATACTATAGCACAAACATTATTAGCAGCAAGCATAAAATACTACGAACGCTAACTGGACAAGCAGTACCATTTCTAATGGCCTCACTAACTAATCTACTACTTTTGCAATCTACACGCTTGCAATTTCCTTTTCTACTGAGTATATTGATCGATATTTAAATACAACTAACCTCATTATAATTTATGAACAATTGAAACTGGTGTACATGTGTGATATGGCAACATAAAACTAGTGTAAACATCAGAAGCGACAGACTTGAACCAACCGACAATGATACAGTCATGCGAATGCACTTTCTACGTCTGCGCCGATTACCACAAAGAAGAAAACACTCATAAACTACCAGGGAGATTCAAATCTGTCGCCCCCTTCTGATGATTATATGAATCATGTAAGCTCTCTCTATGTACCTGTCTCCGTGTTTGCTCTTTAGGGATCAAATTAGGAAAGTTCAGGGGAAAAAGTAGGGGCAACAAAAGTCCCAACCTGTCACCGTCAACCGATCCCTCTCCGTCACTCGACGCCGACGAGCCCTGCTTCGAAAGTCTAACATCTCCCGGCAAGACTTCCTCAGAACGATGTACCGTAAACGAAGTTTTCCCCCTTCGACCGAAACCCATCCGCCTCTTTCGACCTGAATCGTTACAATTAGATTAAGAGAGGAAGGGGGAGAGTTGTGTAAGGAGCGAGCATAACACGTTAACACGGTTTTGCAATGTACAGATCCCGCGGATACCTTCACACACCTACCTGTGGCGGATAACTGACTGGTCGAATTGCTCTTTTTGCTCAAACCCATGAACTGACCGGAACGATCGCGATCTCTCTCCCGATGGCCCTCTTTCCTTATCGTTTCTTTTTGAGGAACTTCTAACCCATGTATTTGACCTACTGCCGTATCACTTAAACTACCATCTGCAATTGTACGATAGAGAGAACCGGTACGATGGCTCGGATACAATTTTACCAGTCTTTTCGTCCACGGGGGGATCGGAGTTGGAGAGGCTTCGAGTGAATTGGCCACGCTTGACGCTGCCCTCTCGATGGTGATGGTGACGGTGGTGGTGATGGTGATGTTCCAACGGACCTCGCAAGTCTGCCTCTTGGTGATCCCTTGAACCTTTGGTTGGCACTTCTCGATGTCTTGAGTATACGTAACGCTCGCCGGATCCGCTGAACTCCGCACTATTTGTAAGGGAAACACTAGCGGTAAAACTAGCAGAACTACAAGGGCTACAAGCGAATGTGACTTTTCCTACGCGTTTGAACAAATTTTGTATTTTCTCATCCGAATCACTTTCTTCGCGTCTAGTAACTTCCTCAAACTGCTCATCGTCAGAAAAATCCGATATGGACTCGTTTTGGATTGCAATTCCATTGACCGTACCGGATTTAACTTCGTCAATGATAGATTTTAAGGCGCATAATTTAGGCGAATTAATTTTAACTTTTTTTTCGATCGCGTCAGAGGGTTTGTGTTTTAAGAGAGACGCTTGGGAATCGGTGCTCGGTCGTTTGGTGGTTTTAGCACTATGATCTAGGGGTTTTTTGAAAAGTGCCGTCGAGGATTCGTTTTGAAAAATATCCATGGTTTCCACTTTGTTTGTTTCCAAAAAGGTGTTGATTGGGTGATTATTGATAAAGGAGTTGATTTTATTATCGTGACTAGCAAGGGTTTGAGCGCAGTGCGAATTAAAATATGTTAGTGATTTTGTGTCGTCAGCGGGAAGCTCAACATTTTTAGTATCACTACAAAAACAATTGACAAAATGAAACACTCCATATACACCTTTGAACATTTAGATTCAATTCAGTGTCGGACTGGCAGACTTTTGGATCCTCAAGTTAATTGAGCTGAAGGTTTCCACCCACCTCATTTTTCAAAGTAAATACTGACGTACCTAATTGCAGACTGCTATGAGTTCCAAAATGCGTTTTTAAAATGACATTTGCATTTACTTTGTTAAAATTTCTCTGCGCCTTATTTTCTAAATAGAATTAGCACTATTTTTAATGAAAAAAAAAGCTAAAAACAACAAACCAAAAATTCAAGATGGATGTTGTAGCTGAATGGTTAAAACCAAATTATAGCATTAATTAAGTTACCAATTCATTTAATAATCAATTTTGTTCATATTAGTTAATACTTGATAATTTTTTTCGTTAAAAAAGAATAACAAAGTCGAATTAAACATACAAAAATTCAAAAATAAATTAAAAGAATTTTTAGTTAGTAAAGCTTACTACTCCATAAAGTTTTTTTCTGATAAATATCTATCTAGTCTAAAGTAAATACCTACCTATCTATCTTGTTTTTATATTTATACCTGTACCTTTTATGTAATATTTTATCTATATTTGTAATATTTGTTTATAATTCTTGTTGTGTTAGTATGTAGGCGAAGGGGATATACCCCCCCCAGAAGAATTGAGTTATCATCATAGCTATTAGATATTTAGGTAATACTCCGCTATCCGCTCCGCCCACTTTAAAATAAAGGCAATAATATATAAGTATATATAGAGAGCAATTTTGGTTTTGGTTAAAGTCCAAAGTCACTATAAAATCTAAATATTCTGTAGTATTCAGTGAATGATCAGTGTTGGCAGTCAACGATTTGGCTATTCGGCATTGATCGGCAATTCGCTACATTGATGCCCAAAATAGCAAATAGGTATCAGGTACTTAGTACTGCTACTGAGGTGAGGTACCTGCGTCCTGCCTTTCACGAAATGACGAAAATAAGAATTTTAAATTTTAAAAACAGGAATTTTTTTGCCCATAACTTTTGATTGAGACGTCTAATCGAAAAAGTACGAATTGTTTTGGATTCTACGCACCAAAATTAATAAGAAAAAGAGTTTTCCCGAGAAATTTTGGTGTAGTCGATTTTTGGCAAAAAAGGAAGGTAATAGCTGCCTTTTTTTTGCGCAGAAAAAAAATTGTCTCAGATCGACCGGAAAAAAATATTTTCTTATAGATTGCGGCCTGTAGAATCCATAATTCCAAACAGTTCCAAGATCGGACTACTAGATCAAAAGTTACAGCCCTTTGAATTTTTTGTCGAAATTGGTTTTTTGCCCATAAATATACCTATTATTCAAAGTTTTCGTTGACTAATTAAAGCAAAAGCAATAATGGGGCCTATCGGCAGTAAGAAATAAAATACCGTTCTAATCTAATCTTTTTCGCCTGTGCAACCCAATTTCTATTTCTTACCCCCCCCCTTCTAGTACGCACTGGGTGACTGTATGTGCCACGAACTTGTTTAATCCCCCCCAGAATAAATTTCTACGTACGCCACTGGTACGGTGATTTGGACGAAATTTTTATGACATGTTTTTGAGGCCATTTCGCATCGATTTTGAGAATTTGACACCTGGGAAATTTCGCTGGGCGGCCGGGGAGCATCGTCGTCGAGGTACACGGGCGCGTTTAAAAATTCGCCGCTTCCGTACGGGTCGAGTTAGGACGTCGCTGTTCCGGCTCGGGAGGGTTCCGATTTTGGTATTGTTAAGAAAATTCCTACGGCATCCGTCGGGGTAGTTGCCATAAGAAGCGAAAATTTTAGAAAAAAATTCGTAGCTCGAAAACGTTACCGGATTTCCTTTTGCGGTTTTCGTAAGATCGCGAGGGACGTAGAGGAGCGTGTTCGTGCGGCGATAGGATTCTGGGGGTAAATCGAATTTGGAAACTCCGCGACCCGGAGCGTCACTCTCGAAAAGGGAGTTTTTCGCGTTTTCCACCTTTAGTGCCGCAGTTGGACTTCCACGTAATTGCGCCACACAGGCCGGCTAATTCTAATTCAAATGTTCTAGACCAAACTTGAATCAGTACAAAAAATCTGCCCATTTAACCTAATCTCCATCTTAAAAAATCTGATACAATTGAATACAGAACGATCCTCGAGATCTTCACACATCCATCATCTTTACAACACACCTTAAGGGGTTGATTCTGTCCCACCAGAACAGAATTGCTTGTAAAATAAATTTTTGGAACCGGCATTTAGTTTTACTTTTATTAGAGGTGCGTAGGTACATACAAAATTTTATTTAAATTGCGCAAATACACAAGTTAGGTTGCGCATGCGCATTTTTTTATTCGTCTGCATAATTGCTTGAGGTTTAAGGAATATTTACTAATACAGAAAACTGGATATTCATATGTTCTCTGTAACAAGAAAGCTCTTTTTTGGAGATTTGGTTAGTTTTTGGACTGCAACTGTTTGGCCCGTTAGTCTACAAAAAACAATAGCGACCTTTAGTATATATTCCGAAGAACATATGTATCAATTTTATAATATTCGTACGCATGGAGCGACAGACAGCAACACAAAATTACAAATGATCTCGAAGACCGTAAGTAATCACATAAGACTTAAGACAGCCGAAAAGAATTCCCCCCCTCCCCCTGCTGAACCACCTGCGTGCTCTGAGGCTGATGGAAAATATACAGCAATTGGCAAATTGGTGAAAATTTCGATTACCCACTAAAACCGACTTTGTGATTCAATGGTAGAGCGTTGGGCTATAAATCCGGGGGTCGGGTGTGGGTGTTCGAACCTGGGTTGAGGTGAATTTTTCATCTGTGGCAGAGATGGGAATTACCTTAGACCAGTTTCGAGCATTCTGCCAATTACTCCGAATTAGGTTTTCCTGCAGTTTTCCTAATTCGTAAGGTAAATACCAGAGTAATATACAACACCTTAAGACCTTCTGCAGAGACACCTCTAAAAAAGCATTATGCGGGTCACTCTGTAATTGGGCGCAAGCCTGTTGAGGGCGCAGAACAAGAAGGGATAATAAATAAATAAAATTACTCATCTTTGACAAGTTTTTAAAGAGGAAGCCCAATCCGGGGCTTTTGAACTCGCCAGTCCGACACCGACTCGCATCCGATATTACAGGCGCATGCCATTTGGCCGTACTAATGGCGCTTTGTAACCTTACCTTGGCATTTTAGTACCACGTGGGCGTTCGGATTGTGTTGAAAAAGCACTACTAGTAACGGAAGCAACTGATTCCATATCACTATCAAAGTCAACAAGTCCTAAAGGGTCCCTATCTCGCTCGGGAGACATCGGTCTTCTAATACGTGAATGGTTAGCTAAATCACTATCACTAAGACCACTATATCTTCTCTCCCATCCGTATCCACTACTCCTATACGTGTGTATGTTTCGTATTCGTTGCCGATTCGCCCTTTCCTCCAAGTCTTGCGCAACTCTCTCCTGCAACGCTCTGGCCAAAGCATGAGGCACTTGCGGAAGTTGCCTTTTCTTTGGCGAACCCGTCGGCGTCGCTGTGGCGGAGCGCGATTGAAACCTCGGGGCGGAATAGGACGTCTGGTAATCCAGAATACGGCCGTCGGGCGGTGAAAGTGACCTGTGGTCGGTCGCCGATCTTCTAGGCGATTTCGAACGGGAGCGGGACATATGAACACTAGGTGATTCGCAGGGTGCCGCCGAATGAGATCTTTGCCCAGGCATTCCACTCTAGAAACCACAAATCGGATAAGAATGCAACTCCGAACAGTGCAAGTAATTATAAATTGCCCCATCTTACTGCCATCGCGGCCTGAAAAACACTTACCCTCCTAGAGCTACCGTATTGCTGGGCCGGCTCTTGGTCCCTTCTAGATCTCCTATCAGATTCTCTAGGGGGACTAGTTGAACTTCCAACGCTACTTACGCTAGCGCCGTCCGCGCCCCTTCGTTCCCTTCCGCCGTCGATTTCGCATTCGGAAGGCGTATCGGAATCGGAAAACCGAGAGCCGGTACTCGGAGGCGACAAATGTTCGCTGGGCGTTAACGCGACGTCTTCGTGAGGTCCCAGGGTTCTCCACATGGGCTGCTCGTCGAGAGGCCACAGCTCGATCACGGCTTCGCCCAGAAAATCGTTTGCGCCGTACCGAACGTAATCCCACACCGTTATTTCTAAAGCTCGCAATCGTAGATCGGTACGTCGCAAGCCCGAGTACACAAAGGTTTGATTCCACATCGGGTCGGTCGTACCTGAAAGCATGTGTGGGTTTTTGTGATGGCGCCGTGCGGTACTTTACCTCCAAGTGTTCGGGTTCGTCGTTTCGACTTCTCCGATCTATCGGGCAGAAGAAAAAGCTTACAGTAGGGATTTCTCGGTTGGTGAGGTGAGCGAGGGATAAGACCGGCGGCACATACAATCGTGACCAGTAGTTGAAGCGTTGCCGGTTCAAAGGTTAATCTCAGTTGTATGCGTCCGCCGACACTGGGAGCTATCGGGGGTACGGCGCGAGGTCTCTCGGGGCTCCCCGGTGACGTCACGAGAACGTGCGGTCGCTCGTACGCCTCCCTGCTGGTCCATTGCATTCCTCCCTGACCTATTCGGTGATAGCGCCTTTAGTGTAAGACACTCACACGGATAAAATTGTATCTCATGTGCAAATCGTCCAGTTTTAACACTAGCTGTTGTTGCTCCCATATATTAACATTTAAAAGTACAGCTACTAACGCTAAGCTTTGAAGAAAAGAACTAAATTAAGTAGTGTGTGCTATGTGTAAGTGCTCTAGTGTTAAAAAAGGGCAAACAATGTGTCAGGTGTAAACGATACAATTTGAGAAAAAGCCATACCTCTGTGGGCGACCGATTGCCTCCAGGTGGCCTGTGCTGCTCTCCGACTGCACATGCTACGAGATACGATCAGTTCGACGTTAGCCTCGTGCTTACTTTCGGCGATTATATCCGAGACTTCCTGATAGGACTTGCCCTGCAGTAATCTGCCGTTCCATTCGATCACTTCGTCGCCTAAAATTAGAAAGTGTAGACGAGCTTCACACATTTTACAAGACCAAAACCTGCTCTGAGCTGCCCTTCAATGTCGGCGATACTTCCTTTTTTCACTTTCTCAATAACCGCCCCTTTCTGATTATTTTCTAGCATTTTACCGCCGATTATTTTCAATCCGAGTATAGCGGCGCTCGAACCGGTCGCCTCGCGCGTCCCCCTCCTCAGTATCATGTGCCCTATCATTCTGGTACCGTCGGCCGACACTTGCCAGGATAACGGGTGCTGTTATAAAGACGGAGTTAGTTTTTTTGACAGGCTTTTTTTGCGGTTTTGCGTTAAGCTGCAGTAATAAATTTGACACAATGCATCTAACCCAGAATGTAGTAAAAAGACATTGTGTAACTGCCAACGATATCAAATTGTTGGGAGGATGCCAATGTTGTATGCGTAAAACATATCCAATAAGAATGATAATCGCAGCTAAGGATTTATCACCCTTATACTTCGCTAAGTTTAATTCTTGAGAGTATTTCGCGTGTAATTAAATGAAGTTATGCTATACCCTCGAATGGTCGACACATTCAGATTTCGAGTAATACAAATAAAACACAAAAATGAGAAACATCCACATCTCAGAGCCATGCAGGCGTTTGAAGAGACACGTAGGTCATGCTCATCACAAGGAAGATACTGTACTTACAACAGTAAGGTTTTTTTAAGACTCGACAAGTGACGAATTTTTATGTAAGCTCTACATTCTAAAAAGTGGCACTTCTATTCTAACTAGTATAGTTTTAAGTAAGCACCTTTGGCCCGTCCCCTCGCGTCGAGTCTTCGCTGGAAGTAAAAGTAGAAGAAGTGTCAATTCCAGAATCGCGATGCGAGTCTTGCGAACCTTGCCTATCCCAATTTTCGTGTTGATCAAATCTGACAGTCTTCTTTCTTCTTTCGGTAAAGCATCGATTGTCGGCAGTAACGTCTTGGAGCGGGCGATGCTGTGGGGCCACAATGTAGTGGCTCAATGGCGCCCAATCTCCATTGTCCCCTAAACATCGTTATGACTAAGGAGCCTATTCTTTGCCTAATATCCTACACTAGCCCCTCCCAGGTCTCATTTTTACCTACGCGAAATTTTGAGAAAAATACTTAAAATGCAGGAATAAAGAAGTGCACAGAGCGGCGTGTACACCACCATGCAGTTTACAACATCAACCAACGATCTGCAAAAGAAAACCCTCACCGCTAAAAAATTTTTTATTTTCTCATCGAGAATGGCTTGGCGACTCAACGGATCGGAAATAATATCTCGATCGTGGCTACCTGTAAACGTGAGCTTATTAAAACTGAACAAGGCATTTACTATAACACCCTCATCTAATTGAACTTTTCGAAACATACTACTATGGGAGCAACAACTCAAATTTTAATATAAAATACGTTTTATAATAGCTCACACGCAGTCCCCTTAATTACTCACTTACCTTTCTCACTATCCCGCTCGTCGCTTCCACACTCGGGCGTCGATCTCAAATCGTCTTCCGAACTAGAGAAGGACCGCTGAATTTGAGGCTGAGGCGGAGGAGGTTGATGTTTCTTCGTCGAGCCGCTTCTTTTATGCTTTTTGTTCGTGTTCGTCGTCGAAGGCAACCTTTGTTGGGGTATGTCCATTGGCGACGTCTCTGGCTCGTTTGAATCGGGATATCTGCAAAACGCATTAATTACCCGATCAATTTTTATTATAAATTATCAAACAACTTAAGGGTTGTAGTGCATTACCACCTTTTAGATCCTTTTCTGGGTAAAGTAGATTAAGATTGACTTTTATCTAAACTTTGGCACTCAATATCAAAACTTGCCTTGCATATTTTTGCATATTTGCGACTTACGCTACCATTACATTAAATATGTATATAACGACTACCTTTTTCAGCGTATGCGAAATAATCGCTCATTCAAAACAGAGATTCGCGTTTAGTCCAGGCTATACACGGTGTCCATTTTTCGAGTGCCACTATGGGGATCTCACTTATCTTAAGAGATAGAAAGTTGGTTAAATGGGGGCAAAGTTGCCAATTTTCGTGCCGAATAAGAATCTGAAAAGAAATTTGAAATATCTTCAATAGTTTTGAAGATATCGCAAAAAAACGAAAATTTCTGATTTTCGTTTTTAATTTTTTTATGATAAACTAATCGTATAGTAGACATTTCTAATTAACACATTATTGGGACACTTTTTAATGGAGATTTCAAATATGGCATCCTGTTTTTAATAACTTTCAAGATGACGGAGAAACACGTGGCAACTTTAGTTTTTCTTATGGGCGCCATTTTGAATTTTCACATTTTGGGATTACGTCTTTTTTTCTCTTTACAAAGATATATCACACATGGTGGTTCAGTATCACATTTTTCCTAAAAATACAATTTTTAATTTTTTGAGAAGAGTGCTTTGGAAAAACAAAACGTTCTTTTGTTGTAAACAAAAGTTTGACAGTTTGATCCATCTGTCTGGTTGCAGCGTTGTCAGAGAAGTAGAAATTCGATTTTCATCTGAACAGAATTGAACTTTCGTTTTGCAAGAATTATTTTTAAAATTAGAACAAAATACATAACAACATGTGTTCAAATTGCTCACCTCCTAATTCTGAGCACAGTGCCACTCTCGTCCTAAGATTTGCTATGGCTCTTGACACATCCCTGCTTCTAATCTTGTTCCTGAGAGTGCTCACAATTCTATAACGAAGTTCATCAAGGTCGGCTGGCAATGTTTTGTAAATTTCATTTTTCATTGTTCCCCACAAAAAATATTCCAAGGGAGACAGGTGAGTGACCGCGCCGGCCAGCGTACGTCGCCATTATTAGCAATAACATGATTGGGGAACAATTCCGATAAGCATTCCCCAACCCCCCTTGCGTTATGGGGCGGTGCGCCATCTTGCTGGAACCATATCGAGTTCAAACGATGAAGAGGAACGTTATTGTCAATAAAATCGGTTAGAAATGTCCTCAGGAAATGGAGGTACCGATCAGCATTTAGAGTCTCTTAAGGACCGATTATTGTATCGCCCAATAAACCGACCCATACTTTAACGCTAAAACGTCGTCGTTCTTGAAATTGATGAGAATTTTCAATTGACCAGTAATGTTCATTACCAAAATTTCAAAATTTTTACCGCTTGCAAAATTGTCTGCACCTATTCATTGGGTCTATCACCATATTGTTGTCTACATCTTTTAAAAGAACCCCAAGTTTTTATGCAGCAAAGAAAAATACCTCAAACTAGATTGTTGCCGCTCTGGATAACGCTGGAAGTATGTCATGTGGGCATTTCGATGAGAAGTGTAGTAAATTTGGATCATATCTATTTCATCTGCACTTGAAAAAGGCATTTTCGCATACAACTAGCATAAACCTAGTAAATGGCACTACATGAAATAAGTCAACCTTTTGTTCACAACAAAAGAAGGTTTTTTTTTCCAAAGCACTCTTCTCAAATAATTAAAAATTGTATTTTTAGGAAAAATGTGATACTGAACCACCATGTGTGATATATTGTTGTAAAGGGAAAAAAAGACGTAATCTCAAAATGTGAAAATTCAAAATGGCGCCCATAAGAAAAACTAAAGTTTCTACGTGTTTCTCCGTCATCTTGAAAGTTATTAAAAACAGGATGCCATATTTGAAATCTCCATTAAAAAGTGTCCGAATAATGTGTTAATTAGAAATGTCTACTACAATTAGTTTATCATAAAAAAATAAATTTTCGTTTTTTTGCGATTTCTTCAAAACTATTGAAGATATTTCAAATTTCTTTTCAGATTCTTATTCGGCACGAAAATTGGCAACTTTGCCCCCATTTAACCAACTCTCTATCTCTTAAGATAAGTGAGATCCCCATAGTGGCACTCGAAAAATGGACACCGTGTATAATATTTTTGTATGAAAAAAATTAGTTACCGGGCGAAACCGGGTTTTTCAGGCAGATAAAATGAATAGAAATTAGGAAAAAATAATTAAAACAGCTGAATTTTTCCGCGGGTGAAATCACGAGGGTTGAAAGGGGTGGAAAGTGGTGGCACAACTATTAATTTTAGACGAAAATGTTCAATGTAAAAGTTATAGAGATTAAAAAAATGAGCAACTTTTGTATCTACACTATTTTCACATAACCTCCAATTTTCCTAGAAAAACCGGAAAAAATGTTTTGTTCGTTTTTTATTCTTATTTTTGCGAAAAAAAGTCGTAACGGTTTGAAATTTGGAGGAAACATAGCTTGTTTCATGATAAAAAGAAGATAATTTTTTGGGCCCGTAAAGTTGAACCGTTTCCAAGATCTCACGATTTCTGAAAAAACCACCTCTTTTTCAAGGGGATGAAAAATCTATTTTTTTTCATCGTACAGAGGTGCGCGGGGTAGCAAAATTTTCGGGAAGACTTATATTTTAATAAACAAAAATAAAAAAATATTATTCCTATAGCAAAAATTCGAGAAAATCGCCAAGAACCGGAAAAACAGTTTTAAGATATACACAGGTTTTGACATGATAAATCAACATGTTGGATGTTAATAAAGATTTTTTCGAAATCTGTCTTCTTCCTTCTCTTTAATGTTTGCCCAAATATTCTCTTTTGTTATCTTATGCTCAACTGTTTTAGTTAAAACATCTTCATTATTTCTTTTTTAGCGCATTTTTGCAAATTTATTTGTAAAAAGTAGCTTTTAATCTCACTTTGGCTGGCTGGCTGGCTGCTGGCAGCAAATGTGGGCGCGTAGAAGAACTCTTGTAGAAAGGCAACGGGTGTACGTGTATCTACAAGGCCGTGTAATTTGTAAACCTTGGGGACAGGGCTACATGATGTGGGGTTGGCGACATCTGGGCGTCATCCTTGAGCGTAGTTTATTATAACGTGAAGGTTTTTCAGTTTTTTCCTATCTTCTACTACAGTTTTGGTCCGATTCTTTTGAAATTGGTGTCGTCGGAAAGATGTTGTAAACGCGCACAACTCCTGCGTGGCGGAATTTTGTTTTTTGGCCTAGGGGCGAAATTAACGACCTTTTGCAAGGCGCGCGCGCGCGTCTTCGAGAGGTAGTCAACTTCGGGCACCTTTTACCTTCCGTTGCGAATTCTGTCACGCGTTTTAACGTTTCGTAAACCTCGAATGGCTGTCTCTCTTTCTCGTGTCGCCAATAGAAGCTCGAGCAATGAGAAGTGCCCCCCAAAAATTAAGTACTATCTTGTGGAAGGTTTTTAGCGAGATCCACCAAAATGTGGGTGTAATATAAGTATGCACCGAAAAAGGAAAAAGGAGTAGCCTCCGACAAGATCTAACTGATGGTGGAGAAAAATCTTCAAACGCGAATTGCGGGTGAACGGGACATCGGAAGTGGGTACCGTCAAAGGGAATGTGGTATCCTTCGACAAGATTCATGGTTGAGTAAAAAGTGGCTAATAGAATACTGATCTGCCACACAAAAATGCGCTGAAGTCCCTTCGATCTCACACGAGGACTTTGATAATTTTTCTGCATTTTTACCGCAATAAAAGCAATTCGAAAATAAAATCGAATTATGTATCTTGCTTTCTGATTCTTAAACAATTTATTTTTGTTCACTGACTCTTCTTCCTGCTTATCTTATAGCTGATGCAATTGCGTTAGGCCTGTTGATAAACTTGCAAAATCTGCAATAAGAACGTTGGTTTTACCGGCCAAAGCAAATGATTTGAGATGTCAAACCTGCAGGAATAAACTTTATGAGGATTTTATTCATAATTCGTGTAAATTAACGATCAACAGGCCCAGCTTAATCCCATCAGCTGTAAAACAGGCAGGAAGAAGAGTTAGTGAACAAAAACAAATTGTTCAGGATTCGATTTTACTTCGAATTGCTTTTATTGCAGTAAAAATGCGCAGAAAAAAGAAACAATAAAGATGTTTTAATTAAGGCAGTTGGGCACTGGGAAACAAAAGAAAATATAATAACATTAAAGAGGAGAGAGAAGACAGATTTCCAAAACTTTTTATTAGCGCGGATCCAACACGTTAATTTATTTGCAAAAAAGCCTATTTACTTACTGTCAAAAACGGTGTATCTTAAAACTGTTCCTCCCGTTTTTGCCGCTTTTCTTGAAGTTTTTCTATTGGAATAATATTTTTTATTTTTTATTATTAAAATGTAAGTCGTTACGAAAATTTTGCTACCCCGCGCACCTCTGTACGATGAAAAAAAATAGATTTTTCATCCCCTTGAAAAAGGGGTGATTTTTTACAGAAATCGTTAGATCTTGGAAACGGTTCAACTTTATGGGCCCAAGCAATTATCTTGTTTTATCATAAAACAGGCTATGTTACCTCCAAATTTCAAACCCCTACGACATTTTTCCGCAAAAATAAGAATAAAAAACGAAAAAAACAGTTTTCCCGGTTTTTCTAGGAAAATTGGAGGTTATGTGAAAATAGTGCAGATACAAAAGTTGCTCATTTTTTTAATCTCTATAACTTTTACATTTAACGTTTTCGTCTAAAATTAATAGTTTTGCCACAATTTGCAAAATACCACTTTCCACCCCTTTCAACCTCCGTGATTTCAACCGCGGAAAAATTCAGCTGTTTTAATTATTTTTTCCCAAATTCTATTCATTTCACCTGCCTGAAAAACCCGGTTTCGCCCGGTAACTAATATTTTTTTGAAAATAAATCATTTTAGAGCTATTTAGCCTGGACTAGTTGTTAAAAATGATTTTCGAAAAACTCCCGAACCGGAAGGAATACAGTTTAACGAAAACCTAAGTAAATCCGCCGAGAGAAAAATCACAGGAGAAACTTATTTAAAAAAATATGAAGTGTTGGTTCCCTCCACGACACCATTCCGTTACATACTTATACGGTGATATTTTTTAAAAAGTAGACATAGGGATTTACGTGTATTTTTCCCTATGTCTACTTTTAAAAGACAAAATTCTTCTGAAACGCAACGAAAACAAATAAAGATGTCATTTGAATATTGTTACTTTGGCTTTACAGAAAATAAATCTCTCCTTATATCTTAATATCATTGCTAAGAGACGCCCCTAACTAGGTCCATTGGTTTTAGGATACTGAATTTATGCCATTATCAAAAGTATGGTCAAATTAAAAGGAATTTAACGTTTCTCTTCAAGCTGTTTCTAAGGGGAAGATAAAAAGGAGCCAAAAACCCCATAAATAAACGCGGAAACCTTTTCGAGTATAAAACACGCAATCAAAGGAACGAGTGATGCAAGTACTTTGCTCGCGCTCATCTGATCCCCTTTGGGGAGACTTGCGTAAATTACGAATTAAAAAGTGTACCGCAAACATGAATTATTTCTGATGCGATGCGCCTACGGAGTGAATGCGGTTGCCATGGAAATTGGATTTTAAAAGCATACGTGGGAAGGCAAGCAGAAGTAGGTGAATGACATCTCACCTTCTAGGAACCAGATGTGGATGTTGTCGCATCAAGCCTTCGAGTTCGCCTTGGTAATACCTCGGATCGTCTTCATTGTAAGCCTGTTGGTATCTCTCACAGGACGGCCCTCTGTTCGAGTCCTGCTCGGAATACTGGCGCCTCAGGGGACAGCCGGATCGCTGAAGGGGCTGATTTTCTTTTTCGGCGGCGGAATGTGCACGTTCTAATTTCGGTCGTTTATCTGAAGGCGCTTGCTGATGATGTTGCTGTAGAAGATGTTCGGTTTCCGTCGTACCGCCTAACATCCACTGTCCCGTTTTTCCCAACAATTCCTGCTTTTTCCGGCACAATATGCACACCCAGACCACCTAAAAAAGAATCAGTTACACAACGCGAACCGCAAATACATCACGTAACGAACGCCGACGCGAGCGGGCACAAAATCGTATTCCAATATGTCAAGAAAACAGCAATAAGGAAGTTCTAAAACTCAAATCAGAAAGGGCGCGAAACTTGATCTAATACAAGTGGGGAGAGAGCGAATCAATAAGCAGTGTGGTGTCCTTTGAGCATGACGTCAACCCCCCTCCCACACAATCCCATTGCATGTACAATGAACACCCACGCGCCCGGGCTAACCGTCAATGGGTGTTGTAAATCTTGATATACAGGCATATTAGTACTATAAGGAACACTCATTGCAAACTTTTCGAAATCACCCCCTTTCCTCCACTAAAACAACAAAGAGTTTCTTTGGAGACCCACTTCCTCCCGATCTAATGTTTACGTTGCGTAGGGGTAGGCTATAAAATCGAGGGAATTCTATTTACTCACTAACGAACTCGTGCTCTATTTAGGGTAAGTATACAAATGACCAAGATTAAAATCACTTACCTTGTTTGATCTAAGAGTCACTTTACCGCCGCATCTCGCACAACATCTTATATTACAATAGTTACAAAGGTGTCCTACACCATCCGCGAATTTGGTCTTAAGGCATATTTGGCAAGTTGCATCTAATTCTATTCCCGCTTTCTTATGTTGTTCGCTACGAGCCCGTATCGTATCCTCCAAAAGCTGTACCTCGGTCGCCTTACGCCTAAAAACATTCTCCAACTAAGCACTCTCGCTCAAAATCTCCATACCTCATGATCTCTTGCTCGCGCTCCTCCTCCTGCTTCTGCCGTAACATAACGGACTCGATGATGGCCCGTTCCTCAGGAGTGAGGTGCGAGAGATCCGGCCCTTCCTCCATGCTACCCCCCGCTAACCATCACAATCCAACTACCCCGCGATGGACAGCCGGAGTTGTACGCGAAACGTTATCAAACTGTCCATCTTGCTGAGATTAGGCAGGAATCGAACATGCGGAACTGCTTCGCAGGCGGATCCGTTCGCGTTATCTTACGCACGTAAACTGAAAGCCGGAGACACCCGCACCTGAATCGCGCGTCGCTGCAGCTTTCGATAATACCGCGATTGTCTTTGCCTTCGTCGGCCAAATATCACAGTTTGCAATTACCCATTCATGCAGCTTTAATAAATAATAAGATGAGTTAAGAGGCTACCAATGGTGATTGTTGTACATCGTGACGTCACGATACTGGGCTATTGATTTTCGCCACTAGGCGTGCGCACTGCTCTCTTTTTGACTTGCCATGTATATCTGTTAAAAATTAGTACACGTAATAATCAACGCGACATCTATTGATCAATTATTACAGAATACTACTTCTTTATGCTCATACATTTCGGCACATACAGTACAATTCGTATTATTGTTGTTCTATTTACGAGAAAGACAACTTTTTGAACTCGAGTCCAAGTTTTTTGTAGGCATATAATAAGTGAGTTCCGAGCCAAATATCTTTTTTTCGAGAAGACTGTGAAAAACAGCATCTCTATATTTTTATATAAAAAACGTATCTAAGTGAACAATGCGGCATTTGTGAATATCCCTCTCCTTTCTTTGCCAACTCCCCAGAAAAAAATACGCCATGACAACCATCTGGTATATACCAATCATATTCCAAGAGTGTTAAGTTCAGTAAATGAATAATGAACCGACAGAAATGAATTCGTGCACACCCACACCTGCAGAAAATCAGAAAAACTCGTCTCCGTCATTCACCCCTCCTTTCGACGTAAATTGAGAAAACGTGAAGGAACGGCGGAGAAGATTCGAAAAAGTAGAGAAAGCTTAAAGAACACGCATTAAAAATGTTCAAAGGAAGCGTGGAGAAAGCTCGAAGAAGGTTCGAAGGAAACGTCTAGAAAAGGGACGTAACGAAGGATCGGAAGTGTGGCCGAGAAGGTTTGAAGAAACCCCCAAAAAAGTGCCGAGAAGAATCGAGCGATGTGCGAAAAAGGGCTGAAGAAGGCATTAAGAAGGTTCAAAAGTGACGCGGGTCCGTTAACTTGGCCCCCCCACTGAGAGATTTCATAGTCGTATTATTTTGAAATGAATGCGCTCATATGCGCCACCGATAATAACTCTTGCGCCATTATCGTTTTTTAGAAATCCGAAAAAACATTTGGGGGGGCCAAGTGAACGTAGCCCCCCCCCCCCAGTACGTATTTTGTCCCTTGTAACTAGGTCACCTGATACATTTGGTTATGCGCTCAATTGCGCCACTTGAATTAAAGCTAGCGCCATTACGGTTAAGCCGTGACAAATTTTCAAAAAGTGGGGGGGCCAACTTAACGTTTTTAAAAGTTACTTTTTTTTAACATCTTTTCATACGAAATTGTACTCTCAGGTATGCGCTGAAATGCGCCGTAAAAAGATATCTTTGCGCCATTATTGTTTTTTGGTTATCCTTAAATATATTTGGGGGGGGCCAAGTGAACGGAATCCCCCATAACGCATTTTGCTACCGGTATTTGTGCCACTTGATACATCTGGTTATGAGCTCAATTGCGCCACTTGAATTAAAGCTAGCGCCATTACGGTTAAGCCATAAAAAATTTTTAAAAAGTGGAGGGTCTAACTTAGCGTTTTCAAAAGTTATTTCCGGAAGTGCGTCCATTTTGAAAATATTTTACATCGATTCGGCCTTCGGAGTAACTCCTAAATACAAATTTTTAAAAACCTACCTATTTTACTTTCCCAGAATCGTTTAACTAAAGCTCCCAAAAAAACACCCTGTAGAGTGTTTCTGAAACACTATAATGGCGCCAAGATTTTTGTTTACGGCGCATTTTAGCGCATGATGAAAGGTACGATGTAGTAGAAAAAACATGTTAAAAAACGTAACTTTTGAAAACGTTAAGTTAGCCCCCCCCACTTTTTAAAAATTTTTTATGGCTTAACCGTAATGGCGCTAGCTTTAATTCAAGTGGCGCAATTGAGCGCATAACCAAATGTATCAGGTGACCTAGTTACAAGGGACAAAATACGTACGGGGGGGGGCTACGTTCACTTGCCCCCCCCAAATTTTTTTCGGATTTCTAAAAAACGATAATGGCGCAAAAGTTATTATCGGTGGCGCATATGAGCGCATTCAGTTCAAAATAATACGAGTATGAAATCTCTCAGTGGGGGGGCCAAGTTAACGGACCCAAGTGACGCGGTTTGGAACCCTTGCGGCGAGAAGACTGGAAGACGTGTTGAAAAGGCTCGAAGTAAGAGGCATGAAAAAGGTTCGAAAAAAGCATCGAAAGAGGTTCAAAGGGAAGTAAAGTCGGTAACATGCCAGGGTAACGTATGAATTTCAATAACGGACCCCCCCTTCGCCCAACCTTTGATGATTTTTTTATGTGTAATCGATAAATATATAGCCGTAAGGCTAATAGTTAAATATCATTAACTGTCGTGATATTGAAATAGTACAGTAAATTCTAATTCTGGTCTAAAATGATTGTTACTTATACATAGCGACCAAAAATGAGTGACCGTCGAGTCACCTTTGGAATTTTTGTTTACATGGGAAATCGTACTTAACTCGAACTTCCAAAGGCGACTCGACAGTCACGCAAAGAACAATTCGCAACGCAAGCGACAGAGCCCCCGGCACCCCTTCACTGGCTGGGAGGATTCCATACCCAGACCCCCCGGTGTTTTAAGAATGGCCCCCCCCCCCTAAACATAATCCTGTAGTCGCCCCTAATAACCGATTACCGTATTATGTTCCTGATGTTATATGTCGTTGCCGTTCTAACACCTAACATTTCTGCTAAGACGTATGTGGGTATCTTGTTTGGAAATTGGAAGGGAAGATTGGAGACGGTGTCAATACAGTCGTCATGGGTGGTCTGCTCGCCACGAAGAGTACATTGGAGGCTCCCAGAAAGTGAATTCAGAGTAGACGCCACCCATACCGGAGCAAACTAGGAACTAATATTATACAGAGTCCTGCAAAAGTACGTCGGTCTTTCCTAGCTCATATCTACGTATATTCAAAAAAACATTTTGTGCAAATATGTTAACAATAGATGGTTGAGAACCTAGACAATTTATTTTTGAATATACAGGGTGTCCTAATTTTAGGGTACCAATAAATAACTTTTTTTTAAAATATTGTGTATACAGGCTGATTCAAATTCGAGGGCCACCATGGAGATCTCGAGAACTGTAAGAGATAGGTAGGTAGTTTAAATTTGGCAAAGTATTTTGACGCTTAACAAAATGCAATTTTGAAACTGAAAAAAATCCGACTACTTTCGGAGATATCCGGAAAAAACCGAAAATTTTGCAAAATCAATCAACTACTACAGTTTTCAAGATATTTAGTTCGTTCTTTTTGCATTCGTTAGCTTATAGCTCCGGCATCTCAACCAAGAAAACTCTTACCGATTAATGTGCGCATGCGCAGGTTGAACCACAATGTCAACTTTCTTATTTATAGAATTTTGTTGAAATGTTAACCAAAGATTCTTCTAGTAAAGGCAAGCAGATCGCATAGTATTAATATTAGCGCTAATCCGATATACAAACTTACTCATTTTAGAGACTATAGCTGCCATCGCTGTATCGAAATTTCCCGGGACATTCCGTCGGATTACTTGATAGGCTGACGTCACTTTGGGGGCCATTAATCTATGCTCTCGAGCTTCTCTTACCGACCGTTAGGGCCTTACTAGTTTTGCATAGACCCTTCAGTTTTTCCCACGTTAATTGCTTTGATACTCTGTAATGGACAATAAGCCACGAGGCAGCCGAGAAGGCCACTACGCCACTCAAAAACATAAATCACTTCCGCCACAACTAACTGAAACTCATGACACATGACCGTCAAGTAACAAACCTGTCAAGTCACATTTGGGACCTATGCAAAATAAGATGATGGAAAAATATTACTGCAACCAAATTCAACAATCACATTCCATTCCCACATAAACAAACAAACAAAAACCCTGATCCATCGTACCAGCCGAAAACAAATATCGTAACTGAATTCCAAAGCCGCCTTCCTGCGAATGGTTAAAATATAAAATACATGTAAACAGTTGCATAGCACTCATTCATTTTTTCGAAAGCTGCAGTCTATCCGAACACCTCGCGGAATGTTCAGCCGCACTATCTGGTAGTATTCCAAAGCATCAGTCACAGTACTGATCCATGTGGTACCCCATTCGAGTATCACGTGAGTCGTTCCTGACGGCAATCTAACCGCCACTTATTTTCTAATGGGGTGGTCCAGGGGCGGACTGGCCCGGGGGGGCGGGTGGCGATTGCCACCTGGCCTGTACGTCATAATGGCCCGTTGGAAATTTATAAGTATGTGCTGTATTTAGTTTCTTGCACTATTAATAAGTTATTAACACGTTTCTCTAACTGGGGTTGATGTTGGTTGTTAAAAAATTAAAAAATTCTGTTTTAATTGAAGTGTTTTACAATGAATTTATCATTTTTTGTCGTAGCATGAAAGTGATGAAATACAATGACAGGCGACGCGCCTCGTTTGGATTGTATATTTTATTACTTTTAATTATCAGCTGCAATTTAAAAAAAACCTGTATTGTAATTGATTTCTGAAAAAGGAGTACTTTAAAATGAAGCAAAAAATGTTTTTGTGGTGCACCGCAGAGCTACCCTCCCGCCACCTTCATTACTACACTAATACTTTAATGGCCCGTAACCTATGCAATTCCACCTGGCCCGCCGCTGACTAGAAACCAATTTCGAAAGAAAATTCAAAGGGCTGTAACTTTTGAACTAGTAGCCCAATTTTGGAACTGTTTGAAATTATGGATTCTATAGGCCACATTCTATAAAAAAAAGTTTTCCGGGTCGATCTGAGACAATTTGATTTCGGGGCTCAAAAAAAGGCAGTGTATAACCTTCCTTTTTTACCAAAAATTGACTGCACCAAAATTTCTCGGGAAAACACTTTTTCTTATTAATTTTGGTGCGTAGAATCCAAAACAAATCGTACTTTTTCGATCGGACGTCTCAATCAAAAGTTTTAATTATCAGCTGCAATTTAAAAAAAAAACTGTATTGTAATTGATTTCCGAAAAAGGAGTACTAAAATGAAGCAAAAAAATGTTTTTGTGGTGCACCGCAGAGCTCCCCCCCCCCCCCCATGCAATTCCACCTGGCCCGTAAGTACCCAGTCCGCCCCTGGGGTGGTCGCTGGAATTTTGTTCATGGCCTCCATAATTATTAATTCGTACGTTCCAGACAAGGTCACACTTACTTGTTTAGGGAAGAGCTGGTCCCTACTAGCCTCTCCATTTTTCTCTGATAACAATCTTACAGGAGTGCTCCAGGCGTCATGCTCTAGCTCGTGAGGGTGGCCGCTCTCCGTGCCCTTGTTAGCCACCCCTGCGTTTTAACGCAATTTATGCGGCGGAATGTAGGTATTTCGTAGTCCCACCGTGGCTTGACCTTAGGCATGGTTTCTTCGAGCTTCTTGCAACACGTGCGGAGAAGATGGGCAGGACGAGAACAATAGCGGCTACCACACATGGAGATGTGGGGTATCGTACAGCCTAATTTATGGCAGGCCACAGAGAGAATTTCCAGCTGCCTACAGAGGATAGGCAAGAGATCATCCCTTTCTTGATGCCGCAAAATAGAGTCGCCTAGAAGCAGTAAATGGGAAACCCCCAGAAATGTTAAGGGGCGCCAAGGGGGCTATAAGGAAGCAACGAGAAGACTCGACGGAAGAATAATTATAGTATTGTATTAGGAAATATGCCCTAAAAGGAAGAGGATAGATAAACCATGTGCCAAATAAATGAGATACCACCAAGGAAGTTGAAGACGTGGATAGGTGGAGGGAAGGGAGGGCGAAATTTTGTGTCCAGGCATCTTTCACCAAAATTGCGGATGAATCTAGCACTCCAGTCTCCAATAGTTTGGAAGGAAGTGCCAACGTCGCATTCAGGAAAATGTTCTAAAAATCAATTAAAACTGCACTAACAAACTGCATATTATAAAGATAGTTTAGAATTACGTCGGATTACACGTGCCAATTGTTTTCCCCAGTCGGCACG